AGAAGGGCTGCCCTACATCTGGGTCTCAGCTAAACATGGGATCGAATGAGACTCCTTTGGTGCTCGCTGACTACGGAGGCGCGTCTTGTTGTGGCAAGGGCATTATTGACGACAATGATGATGCGTCCAGGGGTTCTGCGGGCTCGGAATTCAAACAAACGGAAGACTTCCTCGCAGCAGAAATGAATAAACTTTCTTTCCAGGAACGAAACAAGGCCCTGGAAGATATTCACTGTGTTGGAGAGGGGTTGAAAGAGGATCCAGAAGTTGTGGAACTACACCTTCAGGAATTTCAGAAAGAAGTTGAGATCCTCCGACCAGAGACTCCAGTATATCAAGCCGCAGAAGCAATCAACGCAGACTATGTAAATGATCGAGGTTTTCGGCTGAGATTTCTTCGTGCGAAGCTATATGATGTGAAGAAAGCCGTGAACCAAATGATGAAGTTCCTCCAATGCAAGGAAAAGTACTTTGGAAAAGAGAAACTTTGCAAGGAAATTGACCTATCAGACCTTACGGAAGAGGACCGAGAATATATGCGGAAAGGCCCTTTTCACGTCCCAAAACATAGAGATAGATCGGGAAGGGTGATCCTTCATATGTTGAACACAAGACTTAGGCTTGGTACTGCCCAAAATTTGGTAAGTAGCATTTGGCGAGTTCTCTTTCGTGCTATAATGGGATTTTGTCTCTCACCATGTAATATATCTCGTTTCTGGTACTGTCCATAAAGATACGTGTAAGCTTTTACGTTTTTTGGAATTTGTTGACAGCTTTAGAGGACGTGCAGCTGAAAGGTGTAAGTACCATGTCTTGCTATTCCAGAGTTGAAAAAGGTGGAAGTCTTACATTCGATTGACAGGTGGTGAGCATTTTCTATGATATTCAGAAGCCCGGCGAACAATCCGAACCGTTTGCTTTCAAAGAGGCGATCGAAATCATGAGCATGGCACTGACACTGCCGTTCCGCTATTCGAGTCGCTTGTGGTGCCTCAAACCAAGGAAAAAGAGTTCTTTACTAAATAACTCTATTCTCGCAGTCTCGACGAAATTTTTCTCGAGCTACATTCGTGTGCGGACTCGGCTGAACTATGGCTCCGATTTGGAACTGCAGTACTATCTTCAGAGTCTTGGCATCCCAACCGACGAGGACTTTCCCGTTGACACAGGTGGCAACATTCGTCAAGGTGTCATAGACCGTTGGTTGCAAGGAGAATGGGACAAATGCAAGAAGGCTCCAGAGCCACCAGCAACGAATCCTACCACTATCAAGGCTGTGAACAATGTCACAGCCGCAGTCCCCAACAAAGAGGAAACTGATGATATGACAATTGATGTCATCAACAATAATCTCCCAAACATGCGAGTCTTGCCCGTCATGGGAAAGATTCTGGGCCCTCCGATGTTCCAACCGGCGATTATTCAACCTTGGCCTAGCGATGTACTTTTCGGCCGTGGGGTCGGTTGTCAGAACCACCCTGGCAACGTTCGATTCCGAGAGATAATGGATGGCTACAAAGAGCAGTATGACAATTTTCCAAGATCGAAACGGCGAATAGTTATGGCCAATTTACGCGAAGGTTTGAAATCTAGTGGGACCCGATTCCTGCGGATGAACAAGGGTGGATATTGGGAAGAGTGCAATGCTGCTGAAGTTGACACGAAAATAGGGCAGTACTTCAGATCACTGCGCAAGTTTAAGAAGGAGAGTTTAAAATCGGCTTAAAATCGGAGAGTTTGAGTAACAGTTGTATTAATAATGACAATGATGGATGTTGGAACGATCGCAACGCTGCTTAAGTACCTGGTAGGTGCAGATAGATACCATTTATAATAGTTTATTGCTCATGTTGCGGTACCGTATAGACTGCTATATGTAGAGAGTAGAGAGTAGTACGCTAGGTTCGGATCGGAGGAGTCAAATTGTTGATCTAAAACAGTTTCGAATTTGAATTTTTTGAAAAATGACAGAATTAGGTGCGATATAATATATGAAGGACGACCGTCAATATAGTATTGGAGCAATACCGCAAATATCACTCTGAGGGATCCACGCTATCGCTTGTTTAGCTAGCATTCTTTGTAATCTCCTTCCTGCCTTCTTTGTCCTTGTGATCCTGCAGATTGTTCCCCTTTTATCCGAGAACTTCAGAAACAACATTCAGGAAAGATGGTTTTCATATCCACCATCACTGCGTTCTTAATGACAGCCTTTTCCTTGGCCGAGCTTGGAGATGGATTTGGAATGTTCTTTGATATGTATTTACTTGGCCTTGGCTGGTCTGAAACAAGTGTCATTGTCTCTGGAATTCTTCGGGGTGTTGTCGACTTTTCCCTCAAAGGAATTGTTGGAGACATCATTGATAAGACAACCTACGATCGTCGGGTTTTCCTTGGAGGAGCAGCATTGGCAATCGCGTTGTCGTCTTGCATGGTCTTTGTGGTCAACGGAGCCGACGACGTTGACAAAGCCATTGTCTACATTGTTCGATCGCTTGAAAGCGTCGCTTTGTCGTTCCTTGGACCGGCCTTTGGAGCAGTGACACTCTCTGCGTTTGGGCCCGAACTTTTTGACAAGATGCAAGTCCAGCGAGAATTAGTGTCTCATGCAGGGTCAATTGTCAGTGCTGCTCTCAGTGGTGTCGTGGCATGGTACATGTATCCGAATATTCAGATTCTTTTTTTGTTGCCTACCATCTTTGCAGTGAGTGCCATTTACTTTGTTCGATACATCCCAAGAGGAGACCCACTGATGGGACGAGGTTTCCATGGAACGACAGAAAAGAGAGATGAACAAGGTTGCGTTGTCGATACACACAAAGACGAACCAGAACCAGAAGCTGCGAGCTATTGGGATGTCTTTTCGGACAAACGCATCCTTTGGATCATTGTTGCTGACGTATTCCATGTGCTGGCCGAAGCAAATGTTGGACTGGTATTCAATGAGACTTTGGCTGATGTTGGGACGTATTCGTCATCGAATACCGCCGAAGTCTACGATGATGATCTTGCAGAATACATGGAATATCAAAATGAAGACGATGCTGTCATGTCACGGAATGCCATTCCTCTTCTCGCAACAGCTGGCTCGGCTGCTCAGCTGGTGATGATTGCTGGGACATTCATGGTGGGGTACTTGACAGAAAAGGGATGGGGGCGTAAACCATTCTATGTCGCCCACTTGTGTGTCCATCCTGTTCGTGTGGCGCTACTAATACTATGTTTGTACACCAATGCCGGCAGTGCTTGGCTTGTGTCGACGGAATTCGTAGGAGGCCTGACTGGAGCATTTGGTATTGTGAATGCATTCATGAGAGCTGATATCCTTTTCGGATCAGGACGGTTCAATGTTGTGGGTAAGTTGCCTTGACTTGATGATTGATGGAGAAATGCTGAACTAAAAATTTCGACTCGCCGCAACAAAAACTGAACGTCTTGTATAGATGGATTCCAAGCGACCATCAGGGGCATTGCCGCCACTTCGTCTTCTTATATTGGGGCATATATTCTTGAGAACAATGGGCCCATGATGGCTCTGAGCATTTCATTTTGCATTGCGATTATCCCACCGATTATTGGGGCAGTATTTGTGCCAGAAACTTTGGGTATGAGGCAAGTCGACTTCAAAGAAGAAAAAGAAGAAGAAAAGATCCAGCGAGCATTGTCACGTGAAGAAGATGGCGAAGGTCTAGGTGGTCGTCTATTATCAATGTTATCCGGAGACAATGAAAATAGAAATACTTCAGAACCAGCTCATGAGAACTACACGGAATTGCCAAATGTTTCGTCATCAGGTTCAGGCTCTCAAGGGAGCAAAAGACAACTGGTCTAAGTATTCATTTTTGGGCAGCTTACAGTAAGCTACACTTTTTTGAAATTTCAACTTGGATGACACGACAGAACGCATGAAGAAAACTTTGGTGTTGAATCCAACTAAGCCGAAGCCATGGGTAGTTTCTTAATAATCTCTATCAGCTTCAAAGCATTCTTCTCTACTGCTTCTTTCCCGTCCAGAATTTCATGCTCAAAAGTCACAGCTGCAAACTTCCAGTCGCTATTGTCCTGATTGGTTGGATCGTGGTCTTGTTCCCTACTTATTGTTCGATCTTCATCATTATCAGTGTTACTTTGAGAGGCTTCCCCTGTATAAAAGTGGTCTTGCCGAGATTGTATTCTCCGAGTAGCCTCTTCTTCTGAAGTATCTACCAATACCCAGGTCGCTTCTGGAAAATTGGACCTGAAAATCTCCCTCAAGTCGTCATTCACAAAGCTGAAACTGATGATTGTGGCATTATTGTTTATTGGTTTTGCAGGATCCGCTTCACCACCAGCAAGCTTTTCCCTCACATACTTGCAACACTCAAAGGCAAATTCGTTCCGTTGTTTCAGTGTTGGATACATCCCTTTGGAGAAGTTGTCCTTCATCCATTGGGGAACACAAACATCTAGGTCCAATCCTGTCAACACGAAATTTTTACGGCTCCGCATCATCATCATCATCATCGTTTGCTGGTCGTTTTCAAACGCCTCGATTGCCATGGAGGAGATTGTGGTTTTGCCAGCTCCTGGACGTCCGAATACCACAACAATCGAGCTGCCATCCGATTTCATGTTGCTGTATGTACAGTATAGGAAAGTTGGGAAGAGGATGATCGCAGCCAGAGGTATTATACATATATTGTATAATACCTGGTATGTATGGATGTGCGTTATGGTACTACAGCGTACTATTTTTGAAAAAATGGTGCGTTATTCTCAATGCGTTGCGCGTTGCGTTGCCTCATTGAGTCCCACCTCCAACCATACTGTATTTGGAAATACGTCAGCGTCAAAACTCAAAACGTTGATTGATAAGAATAATTCTTGTCGATCGTATCATGATGCGGTGGGACTAACACAAAGATACGCTAACAAACTCTCACAATAAAGCAACAAGGTCAACACGAATCACGAATTTGACATCTTCATCAATAGCAACTGATACCTCTAGACAAGCAATCAGAGACATCAAACCATCAAATTCGAAGCTACAAGAAGGAACACATGAGCATGGCGGGATATTCATTAATACAATGTATTTTGGCAACTTTTGTTCTCTTTGCGTCAACCTCACCTAACCACCTGGGGGCAACAGGGTTTACCGCATCTCCCACATATACAGTCTCCCCAAGAAGCCATCTTGGCCCTCTGTCTTCAGTAAATGGGAGTCCAGTGAAGGAGAAAGAACAAGTTGAAGTCAATGGTGCTTTGCCTCCGACATCTGTCATTGAGGAGAGCACAACATCATCATCATCATCATCATCATCATCATCATCACCAATTCAAACGGAAACAATCAAGGCAGATGACGATGAATACGATGCTGCAACATTCGATATTGTATCTGCTCGGGCAGCACGGTGTCTCTACGATAGTGAAGTGAAAAGAGACTCCAGAGTCAGTGAAGAACCAACGCCGTCAACCGCCACGAATTGGATCAATGACGCCTCTGCCTATGCCTTGCAAAAGGCGTTGGACAAACTCAAAATCAAGGTACGGAATATTCGTAATCTGTGCCATATATCATATTTGTTTCGCCTCCTAACATGTCGTCGTCGTCGTCATGTATCATAGCTTCCAGAGGAAAGAACAAGTATTGATCGAGATGAGTCATCCTCCTGGATGCGATGGATGAAATCAGCCCCAACTCCTTTGATCGTGGATCTTTCCGCCTCAACTCGTGAAATTGCCAATCAAACTATTTCTGACGCCAGTATTGATCTCATTGATCTAACTAGGGAAGACTTTTTGTCCAGATTGGGCTGTCGGTTGATTCTATTTCCATCTGGTTCCTCCCTGTCAACACCGTTACTGGAGCCACCAGCTTCCATGATTTATGGCAAGCTTTTGTACGGAGGGATCACACGATGTCGCCTTTTGTCTTCTAGCAACAACAGCAAAAGACCGCCTCGTAAAGCCGGGGAGCGAACGGATATCAAGATGAGTCCAAGTGACAACATTCCAGCATGGATCCAGTATGGAGGAACGGAGCGAATGTACGAGGCAGTGGATATCGGACCTGCTGCTATTTTGGAGTTCATCATTCTCCCAAAGTCCGTGATCACACGGGGGCTGACACTGGCGGACATTGCCGCACCAGGTTCTGCTGGAAACGACATGGTGGTTCAAAACCTGGCATGGAAGCCACAACAGATTTTTGACATTCTTCCAGACTCGAATAGCACCTCCGGAGCACAATCAGCCATTGACTCCATGGACTTTGTCACGGGCTATACCCCGATTTCGCAATCGGGAAAAGACCGGAATGACGCCTTTGAATCAGATTTCAAGACTTCCGTCGGAGGCCTTGGGAATCAAATTGACGCCATTGTTCGGCGGGTATTGGATGGAAGGGTCATTCGTCCGGCGGACGAGGACTCCAACAACCAGGACAGTAGCGATGATACAGCTACGGCACTAACGACGGCAGCAATGGAAGCCGAAGAACTTTCCGTTTTGGGTCTCACACCGGTAAGAGGACTCCTACTTTATGGTCCTCCAGGTACTGGAAAGACGCTTCTTGCAAGACAGGTAAGTTCGATCATTGAATCGTCTTTGCTTCTTATTGTACGTACTGACTGACTGGATGCATTCACTTTGTTTTTTGTGAATACTATTTTAGATTGCCAAAGCGCTTCGAGCAAGGGCACCCAAAATTGTTTCTGCTCCGGAGCTACTGGATCGCTGGGTCGGAGGCAGTGAAAAGTTGGTCCGAGGCTTGTTTGCTGAAGCCGAAGCCGAATTGGCGGCTTGCAATGGAGATGCTACTCGAAGCGCCCTTCATGTTGTTGTGATTGACGAAATTGATGCTGTCTTCCGCAGACGTAGCGGAGGAGAAGATTCTGGCGAAGCAACCAGAGCTAGTGTTGTGAATCAGATCTTGGCCAAGATGGATGGTGTCAATGTCGTCAACAATGTTCTCATTATTGGGTTGACCAATCGACGCGAGTTATTGGATAGTGCTCTTTTGCGTCCAGGGCGACTGGAAGTCCAAATTGAGGTACCGCTTCCAGACAGGGAAGGACGACGTGAGATTCTGCAAATTCATTTTGGAGCACTTCGCAACAGGGGACGCTTGAGCATGCCTCTGTGTGCTGCCATTGATGGAGTGGCGAATCGAAAATCAACAATGGAAGGTTCAGCAGTCAAGAGTGAAAGTAGTGATTCTGAAGAAATTGGAGGACGAAAGCGCGACAAATTCATGGACGCAATTAAAAGTGTATGGTATGAAGCTTCGTCGGCAGTTCGTCCATCCTATGACTTGGCCGCAGACTCGGCCACGGGTGGTTTTTCGGGTGCGGATATTGCTGGGTTGGTTCGATGTGCAGGCTCTTTGGCTCTCTCAAGGGCGCGGCGTGATGGGAATGGAGTCGAAGGTCTATTGATCACCTTGGAGGACGTGAAGTTGGCATTGGGTGAAGTGAAACCATGAGGCTTTTGTCTTGAAACGAAAACACAGCCAGTGTGGTCAGGACTGAATACAGTATTTCAATCCCTTGGGTGAGATGGAAACTGGATGTACAAATAGAGGTATTTTGCATAAAGAAGTTCTGATGCTATAGATTCATTAGTCGAAATTGTTGTTCAATACCATCGCTCCACCCCAGCATTATTGTCTATATATCGATACGGTCCTCTGTGCACACATTGAACATACATGCAATCGATCGAGTCAATATAAAAGATATTATGAAATGTCTCGTGCGTAAAATTTTAGTCATATCAAAAAATACTGGAATAATATCCTATAACAATAACAGCAAGATATATATGCTGTACTTTTATTCATCCGCATCGCACTCATTCCTCATCGCATCTCGCCCGCCAACCCATGGCTGAACTTGTAATACTATAAGTCCACCGATAGAACAACATCACTGCATAAAACGCCAATTTAAAAATAAAAAAAGTATGGTGGAGAAAAAGAGTCAAGCAAGAGCCGAGGCAGAGGAGTTCTTTCGAGACGATGGAACCCCATCACCAATGGAAGATGTTGCCAGAAATCTAGCAGCCTACTGGATGCTGTATCTTATACGAGGAATAGTAGTTACGGCCTTTGGTATATTCTTCTTGGCAGATCCATCAACATCGATGGGAGTCTTGACAACAGTATTCGGTACTCTATTCGTGCTGGAAGGAATGGGAAACTTGTTTAAGACCTGCGTTGTCTGTTTTGGAACAGATAGCCAGACAGCTTTCTGTCTATACTCGATGCTCTTCCTTGGAAACACTATACTTGGAATCGTCATTTTGGTCTACCCGAATGAAACATTGAATATGCTGATATGGTTTGTGGCACTTGCATTCCTGATTGTGGGTGCAATCCAAATTATTGTGGGTGTAATCTTTTGCATTGGTAATGTCGGTTGGGAGGCATCATTGGGAATCAGTTTCTTGGGACTCTTATACACGATACTAGCTGGCCTTCTCATGTCTAATTTGAATGAGAGTAAGGATTTTGGTGAGTCTTCTTCTTATCATTGCTCTGTTGCGTTTCAGTTCTGAAGAACAACCAAAGTATGGAGCAGTCATGTCTCACTTTTTTCTTTTTTTCTCCACTCCCAGTGATTCGATTAATTGGAGGTGTCATTACACTTTTTGGAATTCAGTTACTCTATCTTGCCAAAAGGCTGAAGGAGATGAACGAAACTCTCGAAGAGGAAGCAAATATGCCGAAAAGTACTGTCACAATCGAAGAACTCCCCGATGACAATGATGAAACTGCCGAGCTGACGAAGCTCAGCGGAGATCTATAAAATTTTAAAATGAATGCTACATGTTTTGTATGATGATTCCTCTAGCTAGCGTCATGTAGCATCCAGTTGTTTCCCTATCACCGCAGTATTACATATGGGTGCACGAGCAGGTCGTCTGTCCCTATGGCCAACTGTTCTTTTTGTCATCGCATCGCTTAAAATGCATCACAATCAAAGAATTCACAGAAGTGACAATAATGCTTTCATGAGAGAATAACAGGAATATCATTATGCTTGACAATATCATCAATGCTGACATTGCAGCATTACTATCATGGGTCTTTAAAGCTTTTCTGACTGTCCAATTTGCGAGATATCTTCGGTATGCCATCTTTGGAGATGAAGTGATGAACAAGATTCCCACCATACCCGGAATGTCCTTCTTTCAGTTTGTAGCCAACGTCACCAGCCCAAAAGGACCAGAATTCATGAGGGGAGTTTGTCAGCAGACTGACTATACCTTTCGGATTCCGGGGACACGATGGATAATGGGCGGTGAAGCTGTGGTGACTGGAGATCCAATGATTGTTCGGCCCTTCCTTGAGAATGGAAAGAATCAAGAAAAGGGCAGTCGTGCCTATGCATTGTAAGTTGTCATGCCGATTCCTTTTTTTCAATGTTGCTTGCTGATGCTTTTCTCGAACCAAATAAATAGGTTCGATACTTCCGCGGGTGGGGTTACCTTCTTTTCTGCTTCGGGTCATCGTGGAACTCATGTTCGAAAATCAACGGCACCAGCATTTTCTTCGAGCAACACACAGCGAATGACTGTAACTATAGATGGAATCATCAGTGATTGGATTGAAACGAGGCTCGAACCCTTGTATGTTCAAGCGAATGAGTCGATAGATATGGATCAAGAGATGATGATGTTGACTGCTGACGTGATCTCTCAGGTTGGATTTGAACACACGTTTACTCCCGACGAGAAGGAAGAATTTGTGAATAAACTACGGAAAATTATAGACGTCAACCTTGCTCGAAGGAAGAATCCCTTAAAAAGGGGAGAACGCTTTGCGTTTTTGTTTGCCGACCTTCGGGCCGCCAAGAAGGCCACAGCGGAGATGATCGACATGGGCAAGGCAATGCTGCAAAAGTCCCGAAAGAGGCACAAGGAAGATTCAGCGAATCCAAATCATGAGACTTCTTTGGTTCACTTGATCGCATCTGATAGCGAATACGAATCGGATGATGAAAGAGCCAGAGATATTCTCGTATTCTTTTTTGCAGGATTCGATACCACCGCCCATTCCATTGCCTGGACACTCTTGGAATTGGCCCGAAACCCAAAAGAGCAAACAAAACTGCGAGACGCCCTGAAGCTTTGGCATGAAGATGGAGATTCGAAGAGAGTGGATGCGAGAAATTGTCCACAGGTGAAGTATGTCACCAAGGAGTCGCTCCGACTCCATCCACCAGCACCCATTGGAGGCTACCGTATCCTTGGGGAGGATATGAAGGTACCCCACAAGGATATGACGATTCCAAAAGGGACAGTGTGCGGAGTAGCAATCTATACGCTGATGCGCCACGAATCTGTCTTTGAGAATCCCGATTCCTATGTTCCAAGCCGGTGGGAAAACCCATCCGAAGCGAGTATGAAGTCCTATATGCCATTCCTCGTGGGCCGTAGAAACTGCATTGGACAGGCTCTCGCCAATGCGGAACTCACAGGTGTCGTTGCCAAACTATGTGCGAAGTACGAATTCGAGATTGCAAAAGATGGGGCTAGTCACTTTTCCGTGACAATGCAACCGCTAGGAAGTCGACTGAAGGTGAAGCGTATTTAATTAAAGCAACTAAATCCATTATCAAAAGAACAGAGAGAAATGGACAGAGCGACGACTGGTTGCATCAAAGCAAAGCGATCTTAGTCGGCAAAAAACATTTGCCTTGGCCGTATGGATGATGATTCCCCCAACGATTTTTCTTTTTGAGGACAGTGCGAAAACCGCGTTCCAACATGGGGAGCGACTAGAGGCATGGAATAAACTATGTGATCGATTGTGTATGATCACTGATCACAGCATATATGATGACCTATTTTTACAAAATGATGACAGTTTACCGTCTTCTCGTATTTCGGAACACTTGCCCAATTTTCTTCTCCGCTTCCGAAAAATTACTTTCCATCCATTCGCCACTCTCATTTTGTTGGAGGAATCGAACCCCTTTGGCTTTCAGTGCATGTACCAATTCATTTGCAATCTTGCGCCTCTTGTTCCGTGGGGCATCGTTGTAGTCATCTCTGAATTTTTTAAGATATTCGCGAAACTGGATATTCCCCAAATGATTCTGAATGGTACGACCCCTTCCTAGCAAGACATCATGCTGGCGAGGAACTATTGGAAGTGACGCTGCAGCAGTATTTGACTGGTTATCTTGATCCCAGCTCGGTACGGCACTGGTCTTTTCTTCTTCTTCTTCTTCAGGGAAATCTGCCACGAGAGATCCAAAGTCCTCATCCAAGAATAAAGGATCAGATAGCTCGGGCAAGCCTGCTGAAGTGATGCCCCCTTCCATGGATTGTTGGTGCTTGTAGAACCACTTATTGATGATATCCTTGCGAATGTTCCCAGAGGAGTCAACTGGGCAAGTCTCGATTGGAAAGCCATGTTGCCGCAACTGGTAATGCAACTCCATGTCACTTCCGTAGTGAAGCCGAGCTCGAACTCTTGCCTCCTTTGGAAAAATCTTCATGCCAATACCAATCAGTGCGTTGTTCAGCGCGAGAGTTCCTTTCCCCGTCTTGAGGCAATGGTGCATAGCGGAGAAACGCATTGGGACGGCAGTATTGAATTCCAGAATTTTCATCATGAAATTCAGTCCAGGCATGGCAAATTCCTCTCCCGGTTTCGCCAAGTCATAATAGTTGGTCACCAATCCTTTGGACTGTACCTCGGGAATGGAGCAAACTATGTTGAAGAAAATGTAATAGGAAACACGATTCTGAAGAACAAATCATGACAGGATATGAGAACATGCTGTTTTCTGAATAAAAAACATACACAAAGAGCAATGCAATAGTTCTTACCAATGATTCAGCACTACACTGACCAAGCATACTGTTGAAAATCCACACAATAACCCTGCCAGTGCGGTCTCTAGAGTCTTGTATATGAAAGAGTCCACCCAACAATAATTTCATATCCTCCTCGTTCAGATCATTCAGAGTAATGTCACAGGCAACCTTTTCGTTACCAAAGTACATCGCCTTACATTTCAAGAACGTCATCATCTGACGAACTGCACGATCCACATTGTGCATTTTGGCTCTCAGAAACTTCAAACGAAAGCATGGATCTTCGACATAAGCTCGATTTTGCTGGCATGCTATTTCATAAATTGGATTTCGCTCCTGTTGCACGAAACATTCAAACTCTACAAGAGATTGCTGAATCATTTTCGGTGTCTCCTTCAGCTCCTCACCGACACAATGTACGTCATCTAGAGCCTGAGAACGCTCTTGGACCGTCAATTTGCTCATCTCGGCTGCCAAAAAGTCTTCAGTTTGTCTCATTTCATCTCGTACATTTCCTCCTTTTCGTAACGGAGGGGCTTTATTTGAAGTAGGGTCACGGCCAAAGTCCAAACATGATAGATCGGTCATCTTCGCGCCGTTGCTTTGAAGAAAGGATGATTCCATTGAAGGCTATAACAGGTTGTTTACTGTAATTACAGGGATGAAAACTTCTGCTGTTGTTGTTGAACTGATATCCCGCATGCCGGGAGAGATGGAACATAGAGGTGCGTAGACATCGCACACGTTCTGTCTTGGCACCATCATCTTTATTATGGACGATTCCTCAGACCCGACTTTTGAGCCAGAGCGAAATCATCGTACATATGGTAATTCGGTCATTTCTGGTGTCCTTCCAAATGTTTCATATGTAGAGGGCAAACGAAACCGGCAAAACTATTCAAAAGGTCATGAAGACTTGGAGCTCAGTGTTGTTCTATTACCCCCACATAGTCTCGTATTCTGTTTAAAAATCTATTGCGAGGTTACCGGTACGGTTGTTCTGAACGAGAAGGAAATTTTTGTGTATTGTGAGTGTTCATACGGTAGAAGTCGAAAAAGCTTCGTGAGAATTGCAAGTTGAAAGTTTTCTTCTCTTGTTAAAAAATTCAGAGTCACGTTTCTCTTTGTTTCATCAGTGCCAGTAAAGGTACCGGTAGTCAAGAGGTCCTGTTGGTACGGTAGCCTCAAGTAATTGGATACAGTAACTCTTTTAGAAGTGTCCTTACAACGTTTCTTAAATGTGGAGCGCAAGCGAAACCGGCAAAACTATTCGATTGGTCATAAGGACGAAACAAAACATCATGTAGTTTGGAGCTCAGTGTCGTTCTATTACCCCCACAAAGTCTCGTATTCTTTTTTAAATCTTTCGAGAGGTTACCGGTACGGTAGTTCTGAACGAGAGTAGAAACTTTTGTATTTATTGCAAGTGTTCATACTGTAGAAGTTCGAAGAAGATTCGTAATAATTGCAAGTTTCTTCTCTTGTCACTTTCGAAATCGAAAGATTCAGAGTCGCGTTTCTCATTGTTTTATCAGTGCCGGTACAGGTACTGGTAGTCAAATGGTCCTGTTGGTAGCCTCGAGTAAGTGTACACAGTAAATCTCCTGGAAGTGCACCAACAAATGCATTGCATCTGTTTTTAATGCTGTTCTTGTTTCTTTTCGTTTTCGCATCGTGCGCATGCGCATATAAAGCCATACTCTAACAGTGCCATTGCTCGTTGTCTGGGATTGCTTCCATCCTCCAATTCGCTGGATGCCGACTGGCCATCTGGTTTCTCATCTCCTGCAAATTGTTGATCCGAGCTGCTCAGGTCATTCCGATCTCCGGGACTCATTTCATATCCTTCTTCGGCACTGGCATCTTCATGGTGTGACCCAGAGCCACTAGAATCGTAGCCATCGTCATCATCACTTTCGTCACCATCTTCTTCTCGGTTTGAATTATTCAACCACTTCCAAGTCTGTGTTGGTTCAAAATGCTTGAAGTAGTCCCCATCATGTGTATTGCCAACACCTCTTTCTGTTCCAGCACTAATTTTTGTCTCCACCTCCTGGTCATTGCCACCTTCATTTTGATCTTCAAGATCCAGATGCGCACGACCATTCGGCACATATGTAATGCAGATTTCCTCTCCTGGTTTTATGGAACGAAGAGCAATCATCGAACCAAGATTGGATTCTCGAAGAAATTCGATGGAAGCATTTGGATTGCAGTGATGGTTTGCGAGGGTCAATAGAGGATACAATCCCGAGCCAACCACCGGTTCGGGCGACGATTCCATGCCATTGTCTAGTGCGCAGCTTTCGTTGCTTTGGGCATCTTCCTCCTTTATAGGACCATTCCAATACTTCTTCCTGAGCCAACGGCAGCCAAGTACCCACTCGCTATGCCTTGTGGTATCGACTTGATCGGTTTCATCATCATCATGGTCATTCGTGCTCTCATCGTGGCAATCGGCACTCGATGATGATTCGATGATTGCCAAATGTTCTTCATCCATAAACTGTTCTGCTTGTTCCATATACTGTTCGAGCGGCGAGGGATAGGAAAACTCCATCACATTACACTGCAACATACCCAACAGCGCACCAATGTTATTCACAGAAATGCCATCTGGAGAGAGCAGTATCTTATGACGGTAGTCTGTGCTATTCGCATCTAGTACTGTGGCTTCTGACGAGACATGAGAACTTTCCAGTTGGGGTCGTCTTCGTTTTTTCTTTCCCAGTCCATGTCCCGTGCCTTGCTTGTATCTTTCCTTTTCGATCCCTTTCATCAAGAAGATTCGCTCTTCAGACCAATCTCTAAGAATATCCGCAAACTCTTGAGCACTATCGAATCGGTCCTTTCGGTTCTCCTTGGCACCTATTGCCCACCAGAAAGGATGTGATCCATAATCTTCCCACCACAAGTAGTTATAGCTGGGCGTCTTTTGATTCTGGATTTCCTGTTCCGCGCTTCTCTCTTTTCGATGTTCCTCTCTGAAAGTCAATGACAAAACGAGCAAGGCCGCGTGGACTGCCAATTCAAAGATCTTTGGATTATCACGTTCCTCCAAAAACTTTTGCAGGCGTCGACTAGATTCTGAAGAAGGCTCTTTTCTTTGGTGGCCTTTGTTGGTGTTGTTTGCCATGTGATCGACATGCTTACTCATCTTATCAGTGGTCTTGAGCTTTTTTCTGTGCTCTTGGCTCATCTGTGGTGGTACCTTTTGAATGCAACACAGCCATGCGTGCAAGTCGTAGCCCCTTTCCCAGCAGACTTGAGAGCACCAAGCAACATGCGGATGGTAGGGAGATCGAAAGGTTTGACATGTTGAATTCCAATGATCCTCATTCACTTTCTCTTTGCAATCCTTGTCTTCGTCCTGCTCTGGTATCTTCTTTGATGTCTTTCCGTCCACACCATCCCGCTTGTCAAATGTAAAAACAAGGCCCACGTTACTCTTCTCGATACCAGGTAGCTCGAGATGAAGAGGTGCTTTCAAGTGGTCCTGTCGCAAGTTGCCGATGGGAGTTCCACATGTTTGACAGAATGGTGGTTTCAGCATAGACCTTTCATAACATAAGTCCTCATACTGGCCAACGTTGTTTTCTTCGTCCTGTCTTTCGGCTTCTTTATGCGACCCAGTTGTATCATTCACCTTCTCCACATAGGTCTCTTCAATTCGATCATTGCCGTCGTTGTTGTCTGCCGCAACCATTATTCGTCTTGTAGTAGCGGGAAATAGCGACAAACTAGTAGAAACAATCGGTGCCTCAGAATCAATGATTATGTCACCGATAGCGATTTCTTTAATGGCAAACATGCCGACCCCATTTGTCGAGGGGCGCACTTCAAAGCATCGGTCCGATGGAAACTGTTCAGATGAAATCTGATTGCCCTCTTGGTTGCAGGCTGCCTTCCTGATAGGTCGATTGGAATCACAATTATGTCGGGCATATTCTTGGTATTTGAAAGATCTAGAGAGCTCAGGGGCAATCGGGAGTAGAGAAGATGGCATATCTTGATAGATCAACCCGCATTATGATATCGTTCCGCGACAGGTATGCGATGGCAGGCATAATATTACCTTGGATTTATTTTGCTTGCATTTTCAATTTTTGTTTGCATAAAATATTCAATATGTCGATTCTGGATTCCTCCGATCCAATCATCCACGCGAGCTAGCACGCATCCAAACTCGAAATTAACGGCATCTCCGTTTGAAATATTTTCTTTCTCAAAAGGGGAAGAATCGCCATCATCATAATCATCATCGAATCCTTTTCCTTTTTGCACTTACTACCCTTATTGAACTAGATTCAACATTACACGCTCCAAAATAACGATCATCTTCTTGCACTGAGAAAGGGAGTAGTTTGTTGTATCGAGTAGACAGTAAAGAATTCAATTGTATTCTTAGAATTCAGCTTCTCGTTCTAAAGAAAAGGACGAGGACGACAGTCAATATTCATTCATATTTCATCACAACCATGGAAAAAGTGGTCTCCTTTCTCTCCCCGACAAAGGGAAGACGACCAAGACGCATCCGGTCGGGCCAGAAATCTGAAACAACGACTCCAGCGCCCGAAATTCATCGATGGGTCTTCCTACTGTTTGTCAAGTTGTTGGCTCCCTCTACAATAACGTTTCTGGCGTCGGAAACTCCGTTGACAACCATTCTAGGTGTCTGGTATCCGATAGTCTTTACTTTCTACTTGCTTCAAAGACAGCATCCTCGTGTCCTGTTCGGCAAAGCAAAGGCCAGAACGAATGAGCAAAGACTGTGGTTACATTATTGGAGTATGGTAGCCAGCTGGCAATTTCTTCGACGGGCCATCATTGATCCAGCCCTGAAATCAACCTTCGGGTTCTTCTTTTTACTGCCATGGAAGATGAAACAGACAATCCTATCATGCTTGGCGCAGGCTGAGCTTCTTGGCTACGTTTTGCTACTGTACCCAATAATCCATTCCAAGACTTGGGATGGCACCATTCGCCTTACCACTGCACAATGGAACCATTCAAGTGTCATTTATAGAATGTGGGATCGCCACATCTTGTCCAAGATTGTCACGACAGAAGCGACTACTTCACTTTTGTCGAGTGCGCTTGCCAGCTTTTCGTTGGCTCCTTCTCCAACGATCGATAAAGACAAAGCATGTGACGCTTTGTCGCCATCCGAATATACTCCGGAAGAACAGCAGCACCCATCGGACGTCACTTCCGCTGAAGAGAAATCTTACTGGTCCTACTTGGAAAGGATTTGCGAGAAGGCATACCAACTGGTGACACAGATGATCAGCCTTGCTCAATGGTTTGGGTTCATTTCAGAAGATACAGTAGCTTCAGCGAAAGCACTTTGGTCCAAAGTGAGAAGACTTCCTGCAGGGCTGGTGCTACCACCACTCTTTTTAGCAGTCATGCCAATCAATTTTTGTGCACAGCTGGGTCTCCAGTATCTTCAATGGTTCTATGCTGCCTCGTTTTCTCTCAAAGCCGCAAGCATGCACAACACCAAGGACATTGCAGGAAATCGCAACCAAGGCAAACAGTGTGAAGAAACCTACTGGTTACAATACTGGATCGTCCACAGCACGTTTGTATTTGGCGGCCTTGATTATGTTTCATCACAATTGCCGTCCTTGTTCAAGGGATTGATCCTGTGGAACTTTTGGCTGACGTTGGCTTGGATTTGGCTCTTGCACGACAGCCTAGTAGTCCAAAGCATGTTTGATATTCTGGCAGCAGAACTAGTAGGGCTTGGCCTCGTTGCAGATGAAGTAGACGATTCCAAAAGCAGATACAAGGCTAACGGACAAAGTGCTCGTCAAAGACCAAACGTTTCCGAAACCAAGACTGCAAGATTTGCCCAATATATACTGCAGCAGTTACCTCGAGCCAGCCCTCATTCCGATACCGAGAGGGAAAACCTTGTGGTCATGGAACAGAACAACAGGAAATCGACACTGGAAGAAGACGAGCGATCATCTTGTGGTGATTCCTATCCAGATCTGACAGAAGCCTCGTCATCCCTTTCTTCGACATCATCCGTTTCATATTCAACGTCATCATCACCTGTACCTTCCAGCAACAAGCAATCTGTTGTAGACAGTTCGGCTCAGTCTTCTACAACGGGCGACTTCGGTACTCCAATGTCTGTCAAGGATCGCCGCAAGAGGTTGCTACTTCGATATCGACAACAGCGATCGAAGCAGTCATCTCCTGTCTAATCTTCGACAATGCAAGACACCACATCAATGGCCAAGAATGTACAATAGGCCAAATGTGTGTTTCGTCGAAGCTTTGAAGAATCCAGGTTGTTGTAGTGCCAGTAGGAAAATCAATGGCAGGAAAGCGTCATCCTCCTAGTTTTCTTGGTGGAGCCTCAGTTGGAATACTACGGTAGGTATATCTGATAGATTCAGAAAATAGAAAATGACAGCGAATTGTCGTCATTTATAATAATATAACAAACCTGTTTGTGGCAACCGAGTGGTAGTTTCAAGAAGTAAAGAAATGCCAAGTGATGGGGACCCAGCATTCAATTCATTAAGAATCTTCTATCGGTGACAATAATGACCATTCTTGCTTCCCAGCTAGACATCAGGATGAATGATCATGCCAGCTAGCCTACCGGGGAGCTGAATGCAAGGGGGGGAAGCTTGTCATTCCACTATCTCGAGGAGGGGTCTTGTTATTTCTTTGATAGATGGGCGTTGGTGAACGATGGGAAGGGATCGACTGATTGATTCGCTCTGCTTCAAAGGTGGAATCGAAAGTGTCGCATTTGCCGAATATGTGAAGAGCGCATGAGTGGTTGATTCATCAGCCATGATTGCTCAATTTTTTCAAAATCATGACAATCAATTGTACCGGGAATCACCAATCATCTCCAGGCGTCACCGATGATGATTCAAAGAATAGATCGCCGTTCTCTTTTCACGATACCATCAATCAATCGTAATTCGTAATTCGTATCAGAATCATTCACATCATTATCTCCCGTCACCGGTTCATTCATTCATTCGAACCTGACGCGGCACCTTTGTTCACAAAAGGAGAAACAGAGAGGATGCGATCCTCTAGTAGAGCGATACCAGTCAGTTCCTGTGTTTTTCACGTCACCATTTGCACCCCCATGTGTGTGTGAAAATTTGCCGTCTCCTCTCAATATCAGAAACCCGTAGCGTAAGTACGTCGAAAGCTCCCTTACGGAAAAACGCTCTCTCAAAAAAATTATACTTATGGTCGTTCACGGAGTCTGACGTGATCGAAGGTTCGCCGTCAGTGGAAAAGAGGTCATACGATTTCCTTTCGGATACGAATGCGAAGACGCCAAATGTGACGTGAAATCCCAAACTCACCCATGACACCATGATGGCCACGTGGGACCTTTGAATGCATCCTACAACATACAAAATGATATAGTCAAAGTAACAATTGTCTAGAAATGTTGACAAGGGACCGGAATGCGGTTTCAAATGTTTCTCAGCCATTGCAACGGAAGGCAGGAATTGCTTCATTGTGGACGGAGATTTGGCTCTCCGGCGGCATTAAAAACATTACTAGTTTCAACTTCAAGTAATTTTAAAATTTGTATGTCTTTCGTTCTTTGTCGAAACTTGGAGGAATCTATTACTTAAGGACGTCTTGATTTCTCCGCATTTACTTAAAATAACCTTCGAAGCCCCCGACTGGTCCTAAATGGGGTCCCGTGCATCAGTGGCAAACTGAGTTATGGGAACATATTTTGCAATTTTTACCATTTACCCATCAAGCAACGAAAACAACGCTACTGACCCTTTGCTGACTGAATCCCATCTGATAGACACAGCTTAGATCGCAACAATGCCCCCCTTCCCGCATTACAACCTGCACAACCCTTCCATGTTGTCGTGTCTTCCCTCCCCTTCGCCACCGAATCTTCCTCAAGCTGGAGCCACAAACTTCCAAACCACGAAAGATGCCTCATCGAATGAAATGAAGCAAATGGAGGACTTTCTAGCTTCGGAATTCAACCAACTGTCCGTGGAAGAGCAAACTAAAGCTCTGAATGACATATACGGCGTTGGGGAAGAGCTGAAGGAGAGTCATGACCTGACTCAAAGGTCGCTAGCGGAGTTTGAGAAACAACTTCAGCTGGGCAAGTTTCCCATTTACGAGACGGCTGTGAGCCGAAACCGAGCTTACGTCGAAGACGCTACCTTCCGTTTGAAGTTTCTGAGAGCGAACATGTACAATGTCAATAGATCTGTGAACCAAATGGTGAACTTTCTGGGACACAAAGCCACGTACTTTGGCGTGGACAAGATTGCTCGTGATATCACCCTTGAGGATTTGAATCGAGAAGACATGGACCTCATGCTATCTGGTTTCTATCATATTCAAGACGGAACTGATCAAAATGGACGAGTGATTGTCTACATGTTCAATCACATGCTGGGGAAATGTAAAGCAGAAACTTTGGTACGTTTTACACCTCGTTATGTTGCTCCCGATTGTGTGTACTTTTCCCGCCTCTAACCCATCTGTTGACTTCTACTCTTCCAGATCCGAGTGAACTATTATATTTGGTTCAACATATTGGCTCCTTTGCCTGCTGTCCAAAAGAAAGGGCTAGTAGCCGTTTATTGGGACCTTACGAAACCAGAAGAGACGATAGTCCTTCCCGAATTACACTGGATGCTTGCTGTCTTTGATTACATTCAATGTGTTCCCGTTCGTTGCTCTGCAAGCCACATCTGTGCAAAGACAGGAAGTGGAAGTGCCATGCTGAACAACTTTGTTCTAGGATTGGCCCTCAAAGCCATGCCAGAATATGCTAGGGTTCGATCCCGTCTTCACCGAGGGAGAGATTTGGAGCTGATAGCTCAGCTTCAAAGGCATGGCTTTCCGAATACCTTTCCTGTTGATTCCCATGGAAATCTTCGAAGGGGCATTCTGAATGTATGGTTTCATTTGCACATGGCGAATGAAGCGTCCTGCGCTGAGACCTTCAACCGCTTTGTTGTACTGGAAGAGGGAGAAGAGGAATCGACTTCCACCATTACTATGGACTCATCAGACGAAGAGGAGGAGGAAGATATGGTTGTCATGGACGCAGGCACGTATACTGTCGGGCCTGCATGGGGATACATTGGAAATATCCTCCTCTCAGGGTCCAGCCTCTCTGGATCCAGCACGAGTCGCACAGACTCTGCTCGAAGCAGTGAAGACGGTTCAGCTGCTCAAGCGAATCCACAACGGATCTCCCCCGATCACAGCGAAAAGGATGTTCTGCTCGGACGTGGACGAGATATTCAAAACCACGTTGGAAACATTCGCTTTCGAGAGTTTCTCACGGCGCATCAGGACGAATATGATGACGCCCCACGAAATCAGAGGAGGCAAATTGCAACGAATTTGTACAATCTCTTGAAGGCAGATGGAATCCGATTCTGGCAGAAATCTTCTGCTGGTGAATGGGAAGAGATTGGCGCGATTGAAGGAGAGAAGAAAATAGGCCAGCTCTTTCGAACGAGGCGTAAGAGAAAATAAACGCCTTGCAGGAGTATCTCCAAGAAGTGTTGACCTATATTTCAAAGGTCTTTGCTACCATAGGACTAGGCAGTCAGTCCTACATTGTTGGTGAGCATGATTTTGACGACTTAATGTCGTTCCAATGTTTTCAACAATCCTTGTATTGCACAAAGGGTTGTGCATGATGACAGGAACGCTCTACTCGCCTATTATACCGGTAGACCTTACCAAGAGTATTCTTTTAGGTATGAATACATAAAATAGACTACCAAATATAACCTTATTTTATATATTGATTACACAGATTTACAGGCTGGTTTAGAAAATATCTGCGCGCACGCTACGACCGTTGCACCGGCTAAGTATGAAGGCTTGCCGGCGCTCAACTGCCCAACCATGAGAATTACTTATCGGCGTTCGATGCTCCAACGCAAGCTGAGCTCCAACTTCGAACCACTTTCCGAGATTCTTTCGTCATACCGTCATTGACTTCCACATCACTCACCCTTCAACTGCATCTTCAAGACAGACATTCATTTGGATTGAATCGCTATTGATTTTGAGTATCGTTGCCCATCATGGATTCTTCTACTTACAACGAGAGCACTACTGATTCTGGAGATTACTGGGCCAAAGAGGATGCGGAAGCTAGAGAAGCAGAGGCTGCTAGATACAGACGAGCCCAACGAATCCTAAAAGCCCAAGCTTACATGGAGCGCCAGAGGACTCACAAGTATGAGCCAAGCCAGATGGATAATATGATTACGGATGCATGTGGGGCCCTCGAGACGGTTGATGGAGGTATTACACATCTCTCTTATCTTGCCTTTGGCAACCCCACTCCCCCCAAGAGAAACGATCGCAGCAAAAATGTTACTGCAGAACAGGCTCAGAAACAGCAGACTGAGAAACAGCAGACTGAAAAACAGCAGACTAAGAAACAGCTGAAGAGAGCTGCTCGTCATCTCACAAAACAAGAGATTGAAGAGTACGAGCTCGAAGCACTACAGGCTCTGGTTGAGGGCAGGGAGCCAAATGTTCCAGCCGACTTGAAGAATGGCAAGCGTTCTGTTGATCCTCCAAATGGTTTCCGTGAAGACGAAACCATCGAACGAGAGGCTGTGCTAGCAGTTAAAGGTGCAGTACACAACGACCAAGCGAGGGACCTCAACGAGCTGGAGATCGAAATCAATTATTACATTGACATGATCAACAAATACGATGATATGGCAGCAAGGAAGAAACAAGATGACCTCGTGGGAACAAGGAAGAGACAGGATGACCTTATGGATGCAATCAAGGACGTCGAGAGGAGGCACGAGGAACAGCAGCTCGAGCAGTTCCAGTACCGACGACAAAACGTGGCACATGGAGACGAGCAACAAATCTGGTCATATGTTGGTGAATACTACACTGGAGGATCTAGCCGGCCAACCAATCCAACCCGAGCAGCTCCTTCTCCTGAAAATATGCTTGGGCGAATGGTACCAAGACGCGAAACCGAGGAATCGCGTGACGCTCGCGTGAGCAAGATGCTTGACGCATTGGACAACAGAATCGCCAAGCAGGCAGCTGCTAGAACACAGCATGAACAAGACGATAAGTTCGAACGGGCACTTGGCAGACGGCAAAAGCGAGATCTGTACGATAAGAGCTTGTTGCTTGGGATACTGGAGGACCTCCATTTGATTGAGAACGAGGATCAGTCAGAATCGAGCGAAAACTCCCAGACTAAGGAGCAAAATCTGTCGTTGACCTTGGATGAATTGGACAAGAAGTTCTACGAAGAAGTCGAGGAAGCAGCAAAGGAGGATTACAACGACTCTGATTCCACTGAGGCGAATATGGAAGATACTGGTATCGTTGCTTCTCAAGAGGAAGCAGATGGTGCCATCTTTGATAATAGCTGTTTGGGGTGCGGGACTGTCGAAGATGACCCAGGAACGATCAACGGAGTTCCTCGAACCGTCGCCGATACCACCAACGCCATTGATTCACAGCAGGTGGTATACATGAATGAGGAAGGAAGTGATGCATCTGAAAACAGCTCGAATCGAAAAAATGAGGAGAGGAACTGTCAGGAGCAGCAACAAGATCCACCTGAAAACAACTGGTTCCCTTTCCTCAGCTCGGCTCCGAAGAAGCGTGAAGCGTTTATCCCAACAGAGATCACGCTTGAAGATCCTCCTGAAGAGGTTCGGGAAAACCCTGAACAGGGCAAGTCGCAAGTTCATGTCAAGAAGGGCCTCAAGATTGTCGCTGTTTTGGAGGGCCACAACGAGGACGAGCAGGAGGAAGTCAAAGTTGGAAGTTCCAAGAAACCAATCATGGTACAGGAGGATCCTACTCCTGAAGCACCTGGACTTACTGGGTGCTGGGCTGGCTCACAACATGACCTCCTGACGAGCGAATAAAGGAGAAAGTAGGCTGGAACGCCACTCGTGGTAATGCGTTCCCAGAAAGTCCAAGACCCAAGACCCACACTTTAGCTGTGAATATTATTATTAAATAATTTCCATTACATATTTTCTACCTCATTCCTTTTGCCCTTTGGATTGATTCATTCCTCTCATACAGCATGCTGGAAAAGGGGACAACGTTGGCTTGGCAAACATATCCGTTTAGACACCCACCACTAGGAGACTGCAAGTTATGTGCATAGCATGGATTCCATTGTAGCTAGATCCGTGGTTGCCCACACCAGGAAATCGTCACGGTTGGCGGAAGCCTTATTATTGCAGTACTTGGTCACCCCATCCAAAGCCTGTTGTTTGTGCACTACGTCCAGATTGACTGCCCGATGGATCCATCCGACATAAAAATATATTTCTCGACTAAGCGCACAGCAAAGGTATTGAAGAGCTGGTCCTGAGATGGAGTCGACGTGTCGATGACTCTCACTGCCATGCGTATGGTTATTTCGCGGGGGAAGATTGTACTGAGTGGTAGTGGCATTCTCTGCACCGTCATCGTGCAACAGAGATTGCACGTGGTCCAAATCTTCCCACAAATATTCGGTTCGGACAACCATGGTCTCAAGTTCTGGACCTAATGCCAATGTTTGGTTCCAATAGTATTCATAGTTGAAATATATGTGACTAGAGATGGGCGAAGCTGCTCCTCGAATAGTCTTTTGGGCCAGTGCCGAGCAGTTGTTGGCTGCTGCCAACGATGCATCGTCTCGTTTCAGCGCTAGTCCAACTTGTGGTAGCGAATCAAAACATTGAAAGAATCTTGTAATCCACGATGATGGTTTGTCACCCCCTTTTGTACCTCTTTTCTGTCTCTTTCGAGCCTCTTTTCTCTCCCTTCTCAACGCCTTCTTGACATTGCAGGCAGTGGACTGTTTGTCCACAAGAGGATTGCAGTTGCCCGGATGAAGGTACCGGAACCATGATATCACTCGTTCGATCGGATTGCGAACACTGACCAAAAGAGTTGATGCCTTGGATAACGCATTTGCTGGGACCATCAAAAGGCAATGGATTGTTCCAATCGTTTGTTGATTCAATGGTGTTTTTCCAAGGCTTGGGTCATTCTTAAACTTTTGCAGACAGCTTTCTTGTAAGGATGGATTTTGTCGCATGCGGCATGCCACACGCAAGGTCTGTCGAATGGTTTCTCCCCCAGTCTTGCCAATATGTACAAATAGTACACGGCGAGGTTTGGTGCGGTCCAGTTTCTGATGGGGTGTCGAAGAGATCAACGAGTGAGATAATGTTGCTGATGAAGCTCTTGATGCCGTTGAAGAAGGACTAAAGTCTTGATTCCTTCCACTACCTGAAAGGAAGGGAGTCGTGAGAGGATCAGTTGTCACTTTCTCCACAATATGTTGATGGTGGTAGGTCGCAATGTAGGCATTGAACAGTGCCACAACTGCAATGCAAATACCAAAGATGAATCTCAACCGTTGACTTCGATTGGATCCGCCATATAACATTCTATGGTGCTAAGGACGATGGTGAAGAAGATTGATGAGAACCGGCTCATGCGGCCAAGGATATTGAGTGCATTCCCTATCTGTACTGCAAGGACGATGATGAGCGCAGGTTCAGCGGAGTGATGAATACTAATACGATGTTACGATACCGGTACGATAATGCCATTTTGCGCATGATGAAAATTCATTGAAAACCGAAATCTTACCCCCAAAAGCTTGGAAATGCCCCCTCATTAAAGACCCGGAAGTAGTCAACCAAAATTTTGTTTTTGTTTGCACCAACCTTTGTATTTCATACACAAGGCATTCAACAGTCGACAATGCGAAAATAATATGGCCGTCAATCGCATTGACATCCTTATCCGTTTCGAAAAACTCTTCAGAGAAGGATAGTTTCTGTGGTGGCAAAGCACACGCTTGATAGACACGATGAGGAATAGGCAAACCAAGTTTCACATCGTTGCTTACCTGCTGCTGTGCTCTACGATTTCCCTTCAGTCTTACTTCTACCACGGTCGGGACATAACCACCATCGCTTTTTGTAATGGATCGGATGTGTTTCAGCTGCAAGCGATCCCATCTTTACGAGACTACAGTCACCAATCTTCAGCATCAGTTTCTAGTAGCGTCGGATCAGTGATGATGAGGCCTCGAACCAATAACAATAATAGTGATTCAACGACAGCTCGTCATCATTATCATCATCACCTTAACATGAATTACTGCGTGATTCAAATCACCTCCCCACAAGGCTTCATCGATCGCTCCTCCGCCAACTTTCGGCCGTCATCAAAGGAGTTCACTCAGAGTCATGTGTATGTCAACAAATACAACAAGATTGTTGGCAGCCTAAACTTTGATGCCTTGCAGTCGACCTTTGTGGAAGAGCGGCACAAGTGTTCTATTGAAAAAAGTGATTGGGTGTTTATTGGTGACGACGATACCTTATTCTATGAACAAGGTATCCAGGCATTTATGCAGGCAAGGAAAAGACAACTCAACCGACTGTTTGCGCATGGCAACTTTTTTAATCCACGCAAGCCATATGACAAAGGATGGTACAATGGAGGGACTGGAATTGCTATTACTGGTAGGGTAGCCCGTCTTTTATTGACAAATACAACTGAGAACAATTCAGATCTTTTAGATATCATTCGGAAGGAAGAAGAGGACTGCGAATGTGGAGATCTTCCGTTTGCCCGTGTGTTGCAATACTTTCGAGTCCGTACCATCCACCAACCCAACTTGTTTTTGGACTCGTGCTTGGATTGCAATCACATGGAAGCGGAATTGGCACCTATAGTGGCCTGCCATGGTGCGGAGCTCTTTCGTGACGCCAATCCACAAGCCAATGATAAGGCAAGGAATATGAAGGATCTCTATAGCAATTACTTCAGCGAGATTGAAGTAAAAGAGTTTGGTGCTTACCAGCAACCACCAATGTTTGCTACCATGAGTCCATTGGAACGACGAGACTACATGGACCAAATTTGTAACAGAACCGGCTGAGAGGGAGCAATTGTGTACTGTACTCCGTTACTCTAGAGTATTAATTTTAAAAACAACGTACTGTACGTGTACCTACGATGCCTCATCAGAAAGTGGTCCCAACAACCACATCACACACAAAATGTGGAATGATACGTCATCGTTGACTACGTGAGTAAGCGCTAGTACATCAATAGTACCGCTCATTTTACTTTTCGAAGGCGTGGCGGCAACGGTGCGGTGCTGTGACCTTGTTTAGCGTGAATGTTTAGCGTGGATTTGGACCTATCAAAGTACTTTCACGCTAAACATGAATTGGACGATCGAAGTGCAGACGACGATATTCAAATAGCCAAACCTCACCACAATGACAATTCAACTCTACACTGGCTTAGAATTAGATCGAATTTTGTAGTCGAATGTTAATATATTGTATTCTACCTTGTTGTGGATGTCATGGGAGGAGGTTGTTGCCTAGATACAACTGGAAACCTGGTCATTCTTATTCCTGGTCACGGTGCAACAAGCAACAATGCACACCAAACATTCAGCCATGATCTGTAGGTTTTCGTCATATTTGATTTGCCAGGCGGGTTGTCACATTCCACAGTACTCTTCCATGTATCATCTTTGAGCGCCATTTTGAGGAAGCATGCTGGCTTGTAGGTATCAATCATTGGAGAATTGTCGCCAAGCAATTGCTGCTGCTACCACTGAAACCTTGTATTGCATCAGCTACAGTCGCAAGTTCCTTCATATGTTGTGCATTCTTGGTATCTCACATAATTCGCCTGAAAGCTCCCCAGTTCTGATTTCTTTCACTCTGCTCAGTTGATGACAGGCAGTGCCCATGCTGATTTGCAAGCCAAATAGAAGATTCACAAAACATCCGCATTCCATTTGCTGGCAAGAGTTTGCCTCCATCCGCTTCGTCGTCTGGAAATCTCAGATATTCTCATTTCTTTTAGTCTGCACAGTGGACGGCAGCGCTCATGCCGATCTTCGAAGCCAATGAGCAAGGAGATAGCAAGACAATATTATTCCCCTTGCGCGCAACACCGACTCCAGTAGTATCCACCTTGTTCGTTTCAGCCCCCACAGCGGTAGATTGTTGGCGAAACGTATGTTTCTTCCTCTGCTTCAGTTCATATCTTGTCTTCTTCTTCATTTGATGGCTCGGTTTTGGGTAACAAGGCTCGCCAGCACTGTGGTTTCACCTCGTTGGATTACAAGAAAAACACATCAAAATTGCCAACTGCCTCCGGCAGCTGTCATCATCAATCTATTCTTTGTCTCCCGTCCTCAGTTTCATTTGTCGTTCGCTATGAGGAAGCTTGTGAAAACAAGTAGCTACTGTATGGTCGTGAATGATTTGGATAATGATTTTGGAGTGTCATCCATCATCTTGTATATCCGGGTTACTTTGGTGCATCTGATCATGGGCCTCGCGACCTTCGGTCGCTCCGCCAAATAGTTTTACGTGCAAGGTCATAGTACCGCTCATTTTACTTTTCGAAGGCGTGGCAAAGAAACCAGCAGATGGTGGGCGAGCTTTTAAAATTAATGATAAAATAGAACATACACGTTTTATCTTATTTTTAATTCAATAAAGTCATATTTCCACAGAGCAAATCATCCGCCACTAACATCCTGTTCAAATGGTATTTGTTAATTGATTGGCGAGTAATGGACTTCTTGGGAAATTATTGGAGTGGCTCAAGGAACTTCCTCGAAAAGGAAAAGTTCGGAAGATCCCGAAAAGCCTTTTTTCTGTTGGCACTTTGGTTGTGGATACACAACTTCAGAGTCCGGTATGCAAGTTCGTACTGTAAGTATTGTAGTAAGTAGCTGGTTCAATGCTCAAAAAACATTTCCAGACCTTTCAAGCAATACCGGTAGCAACAAGATTGTAAAGGGACAGGGATAGCATATTCTATAAATGATGAGTGCAACGGCAGGTCCAAGCTAAAACTAAAAAAGTTTGATTTGCGTTTGTCTCATTCATATTATACTGTTTCTTCTTCTTGTATTAGCTTCACTCGGCAGAGAGGGCATTCCTCATTCTGTTGCACCCACTGTTGAATGCAATCAGCATGGAAAATATGGCCACACGACTCTGTTTTGGCCGAGCAAATCACTTGACCGTATTCGTAGGGTTCCAGGCAAATAACACACTCCGGTTCCATGCCCAACTCCTTGTCCAGCCTTCTTGATAGGGCTGTAGTTGACTCATCTCCATCAGATATTATTGCCGTCGCTATAGTCCTAGTGCTTGAGGTGACTAATGATTCGTCAGAGCACGTTCTGTTCGAAGAGTCACCACCTGAACAGCACTTCTTCAGACATTTCTTGGATTTTGTTCTGGGCGAGTTTTTGTAGTTGTCCTTCTTCTTTTCCTTTTCAAGGACCAATGTCGTTCTTTTCACTGCTCCTCTGTTGGTATCGGGTTGCTCTCCCTCGCCATCTTCCCCAGCCTTGCACTTGTATGATTCAGCTATCAATGGGACTGCCCCAATAGTTGAGTCTTCTGAATAAACTTCGTAGTTGAAGGCATACATTAACTTTCGAAGTCGCAACGCCTTGACCCTTCCATCTTCTCTTTGTCGCTCCATCTGATGTTCGAGGTCTTCCAATTGGCTCTCAGGGTCTACTTGCTCTGAAACAGCAGTAGAGGATAGTTCTTGGGTTTGCCGTAGTTGTCTCAGTACACATGTCCGCTTTGCCATGTAAAACAGACTCCACATGACATATAAAAGAAAGAAAGTGATGACCACATAGTAGTACCATGGCATTGGTTCACTGGAATCAAACATGATGGGGAGTGTTGGATGAAATGAACCTATCAGTTGTAGCACTTTGTTAATTTTGCACAATCGCTATGGGAATTTTTGTAATATTCTCCTTCGTTTTTTTTGGATGAGGTATGCAACCCAGCAAACGGTACTGATCGCCTTTGATAAATGTCTGTCACTTGCTACGGTTTGGGGCCGTACTAAGAACACGCAAGAATCAATCCCATGGTCGACCAGGTTGCGCCTCATGACAGAATGTAATATCCTCCTCCTACTATGACTAACATAAAACTTCCAAGTGGCATTCAGCATTTGGAGCTGGTACTGTATCGGAAAATATATATTTTTAGCGTACCGGTACAGTTGGACAACCATCTGTACATAAAATGCGTCTCGCCTTGTATCGTCTGGTCCTATCACAAAGTGTGTGTTGATCAGAATACACCACCAACAGAACACTTGACATGGAATTCCGATTGCAAACTGCTCAGGACTAAAGTTCAAGCCGCGTACAGCACATTTGAAGGAGGGCACCAGAATAATCTTTCCAGATGATGCAGTACCTGTGCAGTAACAGTACCACGAGCCCTGATGTACCATCGTGTGCCTCTCTGTCCTAGTATCCTCTGCTACTAGTACTAACAAGAACCTTTGGATCACAAGCATAGTACCGACCCGACCACACCTTGAACTACGACCAAGATCACAAAATGGAAGGAAGCGCGTACTATTAGTACAGGTGCCATTTCTTCATCTTGAAGAAGCGTGATCTTTATCCTTGGCGTGAGCAACTCCTCCTCTCCACGCCCCCTTTGACTAGTTTGTTGTGTCTTGGAAATGCGACAAACTAAAAAGTTTCCAAGAGAAGCAAGGTCGCTGAGAGAACAAGGCTTTTCCTGCCCTTCCAGTTTTGATATACTAATTGCTTATTCGCAGTACAGCACCATACTGTACTGTAGATTTACTTCTTCTGGCATTATTGAAAGTGATGAGAAGCGCACCAGGTACTGCGATAGTGATGTTTCGATCGTCAGCAGTTTTCGACTAGTGCGACTTACGTAAGACCGTTCAATTTTTCGGAACTGGTGATGTTGAAGATTTTTGTTCCATATCGAAGAACCATCATCACCTAAAGAGCACTCCACTAAGCAAACCCCAAGATGATGCAACGCCTTGCCTCCTTGCTTTACCTATCCAGTCTTCTGGTACTTGGCGATGCCCTTATATCTCCAAAGATTGGCAATGGCTTTACTAGTACCAGTTCTCTTGGAATGTCTACCACAGCCCCCGCCGCCTCTTCCCAAGGAAAAGCTACGAACTTGAAATCCATTCTCAAAAAGCCAAGCAAAGTATTGACCGTGGGAGTGGATTGCGATGTTTCAAACAAATCCGATATCTCTATGCTATCCATGCAGCTTCGAAAGTCCAAGGTCTCTTCCATTTGGTGTTCCAACCTTGAAGCCGTCAAGGAATTCACTACCGAACAAAAATCTTCCAAGGGATCCTTTCCTGGGCCACTTCCTGTTATTTATACCGGGGAAGACCGTAGCGCTGCCGTAGAAAATGGTGCAGCGGCTGTGGTGCTTTCTGCGGAAGATGATCTTTCTACCGCTGGTGATGCCGAAGTGGTGTGGAAGGTATCCAGTTTGGAGCAGGTGAAAATGGTTCTACAGGCAACTTCGGACGCTGCAGATGTCTTCTTGGTGGACGTGCCAAATGAAGAAGACTTTGAAGCCATCGTGGAATCGCTACCAAAAACGTCTCTCTGTATTGCATCTGTCGACCCGATGCAAACAGATGGAGCTGAAATTGCAATTGGCAAGAAATTGAAAAAAGTTGGATATGGATCCATCCTGGTTCGTTCCGCCATTGTGGGAGATGCCGAAGATTTACCATATGCTCAGTTCGTGGTGGATGGTTTCACCAGCAAGGCATCTTCGGAGTTCAAATTTACCGGTTTGACTGGGTCCACGAATGGCCACTTTGGAGGAATCCAAGCCAATGGTAGTGTCAAATGGCGCCGTACTATGGAGCAATGATATTCGTCTGCAGCTCTTGATATTAGTATTCCTCAGAAGCAGAAGAATATCAAAGATGTCCCATTACGGCCTTGCACCAGTCAGTGCATTGAAGCCGAAAAGTTAGAAGGCCGACGTCAGGTTTTTCAGGAGCGATGAATGCTCCCTTTGCAAAGTGAGTAAGTTCTCGGATGGCTACGAAGTGTGCGACAAGTTACAAGGTGATCTATGGAATGCGACACAATCGTAGCCGTACGCTGAAGATAGCAACCGAACCAATGCATGTATTTAACAAGAAAAAGTCATATTAATATATGAATACAGCAAAACTTGATTCTATTTTATGATTTCTTCCCAGCGAGCAAAACGTGCGGAACTGGAGGAAACTTGAACCGTTGGTTTCGATAGTCCATCTCGTAGTATGATTCCACCAACCGATCCACCGAAGGGGTGTATTCGGACATGACGGATAGGATGGAATCAAATTCTCTACCTGAAGGTGTGAATATTTGGCCCTTTCCATCTGACCCCCATCCACTGCTCCCAATGTCTTCCCATGCACCAATCCGTTTCAATAGTAGCTTGGCGTCATACGCTGCATTTTCCAAGTGACCCACAAAGTTAATTTGTTCCCAATACTTCTCTTCCATCCGAAGCGTTTGTGGATTCCAATGGCTCGCTTGACATTCTTGCATCTTGTTTAGAAACCGCGGAAGACTCTGTGTGGCTCGCTCGCATCCATCGTCGTCAGGACAACACAATTGCTTCAGTTGATGAGGTTCCTTCTTGTACTGATTGTACACAGACATGAGTCGGTCCTTTGGATTTCGAAGGAAGATTGCTTTCGTCCACTCCTTGCTTGACATCATTTCACTCGCCTTTTCGATACCATAGCTATACAAATACTTCAATCCGTTTTGACTCGGGTCATGCGGAAGTGCTGCCGTCGTGGCCTGCCAATTGTCAAACCCCTCCATTCTTCGAAATGCTTTCTTCCATACAGATGCCCCTATTCTTGGTGTCGTAAAGAAAATCAACTTGTACTTTTCTACCACAATGGGAGATTGGTCCCAATCTCCATGATTCCATACGGAATCTTTTGGCTGAACAAAATAGGTGGAATAATCCTTGGTCAGCAGGGTTCTCGGAAATTGGAATAATCGATAGTCATTCTCGTAGTGTGCTTCGACCATGCGTTCCGTCTCAGGTGTATAGTACTGCCAGACCTTGGAGTTGGAGTCAGTCGTATGAGACTGCCCTGTTTTAGTCACTTGATCAAACATGCTACTGTTGGAAAATTTCCCCCATCCGTTGCTACCATAGATGTCGTAGGCACCAATTTGCTGAAGCAGCCGTCTTCCATCTCGATCCAAAAAGTCCATCCGTCCTACAAAGTTGATGTACTTCCAATATTTTGGCTCCAATCGATCGTACATGGAATCCCAGTGTGCCTCGTGACAGCCTTCAATCGTCTTGAGGAATCCAGGTATGGTGAGGGCATCCGAGACGCACTTTTGACACGACTCATCTCCACGACAGGTCGCCCGCAGTTCGGGTGTCTTGGCACAACACTTGTCCCGCACAAAGACTCCGTCATTACTGACTGCCTTGTCTAGAAAGGCACTCAAGAAGCGTTCTTTGGGATCTCGTACAAAGATAGCTTTGGTCCAAGTTGGGTCCTCAAAGATTTGTGTCGCATAGGAACTATTGAGTTGATTGAGATAGGTCAATCCATTGTACTTCGGATTATGCGGAAGATACTTTTTGTAGTCTTGACTTTTCCAGTCATCAAAGCCGTTTATTCTTCGAAATAGCTGCTTCCACAAGGTACAGGACACTTTTGGAACAGTGAAAAACAAAAGCTTGTATTCTTCAATCACAATCGGACTATTGTCCCAGTCTTGGGACCAATCTTGTATCATCACCTTGTCGGTTGGCAGAACCCGAAATTCACCACCATCATCCTGGACAAAGTTAAGATCTGGTAGCATCGGAATGTCTCCGTTTGATGATGATGATGATGATGATCCACTTATGTGTTGCCATGTCGATTGAAGACTTGTTGAGATGGCAACCCACAAGAGAAATATGCCATAAAAGCACAGTTGAATGTTCTTTGTGATGAAGAGAGTCATTGGATTACGCTTTGATGACGACGATGTATATCTCAATGATGCTGTTGGCATGAACAACCTTCAGAAGAAAGCGTTATACTGTATGTTGGTGATGATGCAGAAATACGAGAAGAAGTTTCGAAGACACAGTGCTACTCCACTCACTCGCTACCGGTACCGGTACGTCCAACAGATAAATTCTCAGATGCAATTTTTTTGAAATTTGGATTTGAATACGCGGACTAAAGAAACAATACGGACAATTTGTGTCCGAGCCGAAATTTTTTGTCCGACTACGGAATTCACCCCTCGTCGACAATAAAACAATCGATCAATCGTATCGTATATCGTATCATAATATCTCTTTCAGTCTCCATCTCTTTGTACAAGCGACTTACTCACTTCACTGCGCATATATATAGATATAGATATATTGAATAATGCCCTCCAATTTTCTAAGCGATCTAGAAACCAAGGATGGTGACGCAGTGGATGCCAGTCAAGTGCTAAAGAGCAAGACTGTGGCACTTTACTTCTCATCGAGGTACGAATTATGTGGCAGATGGATGATCCAAAGTGGATGCTTTGCTCGTAAAGCTAGATACACTCACTTCGCAGTCCTCCAGTTTTCTAAGCGATCTAGAAACCAAGAATGGTGACGCAGTGGATGCCAGCCAAGTGTTAAAGAACAAGACTGTGGCTCTTTACTTCTCATCAAGGTACGAATATATAGGTCCAAAGTGGATGTTTTGCTCGTGAAAGAAAGAGATACTCGCTATTTTCAATTCTTGTATCATACGTGTCCTGTGTGTACGGTATGCACCTTCGCATTTTGAAACTGATGAACCATTCCATTTTTCTTTCCTCCCTCTGCGATAATTCTACTTTTTTTCAATCTTATTATTCTGATTCATTCGAATGTCGTTAGTTGGTGCCCAGCCTGTAAGACTTTTACGCCACTTTTGAGTGTCCTCCACGAGGATGCACAAGAGGAGGGCTTGGATTTTGAAGTGGTCTATGTCAGCTCTGATAACAGTGCAGAAGAGTGCAATCAGTACATGAAGGAGAAGCACGGAGACTGGCTTCGGGTCCCCTTTGACAAGACAGCAGAGTACAAAACTCAATTCGGTGTCTTTGCTGGAAAGGAACAATCATTATTTTCATCTACAAAGCGAAGATCAGGAATCCCTACGTTGGTTATTGTAAATCAAGAAGGAAAGGAACTAGACATTCTGGATTGTGACGATGCCGGTGTGATCAAGGAGATTGAATCCAAGGCTACTGGTTTCCTGACACGATGGGATTCTATGAAATGGTAGTGTAGTGACTAAGATATGCCATCATTTGTTTGAATAGGTTTCAAGTATTATCATACCTGTCGCCTGTAGCGATGTTTTGCTATTCGTACTTGCTTGTGGCCAAAAAAATATCGTCCAAATTTTGGAAAAGCGACTACTTCGAATGCCAACTGGCATCATCGTTTCGCAACACGACCGATGAGGTCCTCATGATGATACTGCCAAAGGCTGGATTGATTTTGGATACTTTCACCTGTTTATTTTCTTCATATCTACCATGAAGGCCTTTCAAGTATCTCTATTGTTGACCTTAGTGCCCTCGATCTATGGACAAGGATGTACTCAAGACCAAGACACCTTCTGCGAAGAGCAAGCCAACAAAATCTGTGCCTTGAAATCCGACGGGAACCCTGAGTGTGCCGGTTGTGTTGCAAATGCAGTTGCATTCCAATCTGGCTGTATTCCCTTGGATGAAATCGAACTCTTTGCCTATCTAGAAGAATTTCAAGTGGATTACCGCACCAGCATTTCACGTGAAGAGAGGTGGGCACTTCTTCGGGTAAGATTATGTATACGAAATTGGTCATCCATTGGATATGATGCATGTATTGCACCTTGAAAAGGACATTTTGCTCGAACGAGTTATTATTATGCTACACCACATTGGACTGACGCCACTGCATCTTCTGTTGCATTCACAGCAATCACTTCAACTCATCAGCGAACATCAGGCCAGGAATCCAGACCGAACGTACGAGCTTGGTTTGACGCCAGCGTCAGCCGACAATGAACAAGACTTGCTTCACCGAAGTGGTCTTCTTCCGGACCTAGCTGCAAGCGAGACCGCGACAAGTGCAGCCTTTCAAGCGTTTTCCTTCAATGCTTCGAATCCGATCCCTTCGGCAGTGAATTGGGTCAACGATGGGGCTGTAACACCACCAAAGGATCAGGGACGCTGTGCCGCGTAAGTCAATGTGCTTTTTCTGTCCGGGCATTAAAACTGTCTCGTATCTTTTGAATATGGATTGTTCAATATTATTTTGTCTTCTCTTGCTTGCCCTTTTCCAGTTCTTGGGCAATTGCCACTGCTGGAGCCATTGAAGGAGCTGCAGCAGTGTCTACTGGTCTCTTGCAGTCACTGTCGCATCAACAGTTCATTTCTTGTGATTCAATCAATCTTGGTTGCGAAGGAGGGGATCTCGTCACTGCCGCTGCCTATGCTTTTGAATACGAAGACCGGAATCCTACTGGTGGAATCGTATCTCTGGCGACTTATCCTTACACGGATTCGGAGGGAGTGGCAACGACAGGTTGCGCCGCGCCCCGCCGAGACATTGCGGTAGAAGTCACTTCCGGAAAGATTGTAATTCCATACAACTCACTCTTGTCTTTGGAGAAGCGAATGGAAAACATGAAGCAGCAACTATCCATTCAGCCCGTCGCTGTCGCCATCAAATCAGCATGTCCCACGTTTGCCAACTACAAATCTGGGATCTTGACTACTGACGGCGATTGCTTTTGCGCGGATAGTTTCTGTTTTGATCATGCTGTTCTTCTCGTTGGTTATAATGATGAGGATCCAATTCCCTATTGGATCATCAAAAAGTACGTATGAATGCACCAAGTGTTGCCAACTCGTGTCCTTTTTTTTGGCTCTCTCACACACACACACACACTTGATTCTTCTCTGACAAAATCAGCTCATGGTCAACTGATTGGGGTGAAGGAGGTATGTTGCTATTCAGTCTATCCTAATATACTTGCTGTCATGAAACATTGTGTTGTCTCACGCGTCTATGTCGCCACATACACACTGTCAATCTTCAGGTTACGCTCGCATTGCACAAACCGACACGGGAACAGCATATGGTTTGTTTGGAATCATGACTCATGGAGTGGTTCCCGAAGTTCCATTTGCTATTAGGGATCAAAGTGTGGAACCTGCCGTAGAAGACGATGATTTTGAGTTTGAATGGTGGCACATTTTTCTCATTACTGTTGGTGCAGTTTTGGTGTTGTGTTGCCTATTTTGGACATGTGCCAACCTACTTGCACCATCTCCTGAGCACCACAAACAGGAACAGTGAAAGGACAGAATGTGAACAGTATGTCCGTAGAAGTAATCATCTATATTTGTGCAAATGTTAATTTGACTTGAAAGCTGATCCTATAACTGAATAGCTGATGTTCTAAAGATTTGGAGTGGCAGGTGAACTGCCGATCGTTTCTGGTTCTGGGGGAATGTGAATCTGGGAAGCATCGTTGTAGTAGCAATCTTCGAAATCGTTGCTACGGTTTGTCTCGAATGGTTGTAATATTTCAATTTCGAGCAAGTCTTGGTCACCACAGTCGTCGGCGGCATGATGTTGAATTCGATTTCTGTGTTTCCGCTCGAATACCTTGGCATAATGCCGCGCTGACCGCCACGTGTTTTCTTGAACTAGGCCACGAAGATTCAGTTCAATGGCATCCATTATATTCTTGTACTTGTTACTCCCGTTTCGATGTTGCCGTATGCAAGCCGACACAATGAGTTTGGCTTGATCTTGTACCAATCTGTCACTGTCGATTAATTTTAACAGAATCTTGAGGAACAGGGCAAAACGGATGCGCCCGAGACGCTGAAGTTCATTCTTTTGTATAGTCATGTTTGTTGTTGTTGCTTTTGTTGATGGGGATGGTAATGAATGATGAGCGTTGGTGCAGTTCCGATAAAGTTGTAGGTTTTGATATGCGGTTCGGGTTGGGTTCCATTTCCCCACCATATATATATACCCCACCATGAATTGTGAGGGGAATATATACAGCCGACTTACAGACACTTCTGTGATTGAAACGCGGTGCTTCGGCTTCACAAAAGCTCCCTTACGGCTTCACTAGACAAGTACCTGGTACCTCTGACCACTACCGGGTTCGGGAATCAACGAATAAAAACAAGCTTGAGCTGGAACACGACTTTACAGTACAGTATATCCTTGACGCATATGACGAGCCAATCACTGAGTCACCGAAATGTCGATGGGGGATCCGAAGGCCCTCGACGATGACGTCAACCAAGATTCCAAGCCCACTTTTGACTGCAATTTCTTCTGTCCCATGGACGCACCCTTTGCCGAATTATCGATCAATCTACCTTCAAATCCCCCCTTTGGAAATTGTGGGCTGAGCTTAAAATCTTGACAACTGATATGATGATTGATCTAATATGTACCTATTAATTTACACTGTACATGTTTTATAGCCTTGAAGTAGCAAAGCAGGAAGATGATTGAGCGATTCGTGGTATCTGTGGCAGTATGGCAGTCATAGTGCCAATAGGAATCTATATGTGCAAGCTCATGCGGCCTTGGATCCAATCGTAGTGCAGCTAGGGACAGGCGTTGTGAAACGATCCTTCTTTGCAAGATAGAACCGCATCAGTTTGTGGGCGTGTCTCCATCTTGTTTCTCCTACCAGCTCGCGCAGTTGGAGTTCAACAACTTGGAATAGAGGAGGGAAGATGTGCTCGTTACTTCGGTGTAGGTGTATCGTTTGCTTTACGATTGCTTGAGCTTCGTAGAACAGGGTATGGTCATCTAACTCTTGCAGATGCTTGAAGAGAATCTTTGTGAAGAGGGTGAAACGAACGCGTTTGCTGCTTCGATTGCTGATAATGACTGGTTTGATCATGGTGGGTGGTGGGTTTGAAAGGACAAAATGGAGTTGTCGTGGTCGGAAAAGAAAAATATGGGCTTAGTGAAACGAAGCGTATTTTGAGAGTTTGGTTTTCGTGACTTCGGGTTGGTGTTCGAGTTCGGGTCGAGAGTTAAGTGTTTTGGTCATATTTTTGTCTCACCTAATAGAGTGACAGGGTCAATCTTCCGACACCGGTTCGAGTTCGGGTCGACTGTTAAGTGCTATTGTCATATTTTTTTGTCTCACCTAACTGAGCGACAGAGGTCCTGTTCTGTCACCGACGAGAACCTGTTCGATGGAAAAATGGAAACGGTAATACCAGAATGTGAATTCGAGAATGCAACAATTTTATTAGCGCGTTCCAGGCTGACCCTGGTATGACTTCTACGAGTAGTTGACAATTTCAATCAATGTTTGTTTGACAAGTGGACCCGAATCCTTGGCACTATCAGCTGTCGAGAATGTCAAATTTAGTTTATTAAAAGGTCTGGTAGCCTTCTTCCGATCAAAAGCCATTATGAGTGGATCCGAATCCTTGCCTCAACCTTCACTATTTTTAATAAAAACGTCGTTGCAATAATTGGGAACCTTCGCTCCATTTCAGTGCAGGGCCCATTCTTAGTTATCAGTTTGAGGGCCGACCGCCTTTGTCGTAGAAGTCATATTGACCAATGGTACAGGCCCTACTCAGTGTTGTAGTTTCCAGCTTGAGAGCCGATCACCACCCCTGCAGCTCTTATTGGCTACCAGTACTCTGCTTTCAAAGTCAAATTCTTGGGCCGATGCCAATTATCTTGCTCGCCACTAGCGCGAACAAGAGATCTTTTCAGAGCATCATATTTCATCCAAGCGAATTGGCAATAGCCTCAACAGTTGACACGATCTCATCCACAGACGATTCCCCAAGCTGGTAGAGTTCCGCCAAGAGCAAAATCTGAAGCAGGGACCGGTTGCTGCTATTGCTGTTGCTGGACTGATATATCGTCGATCTCTGTACCTTCCACTTTTCTTGAATGATCGATACTGCAGTCACTATCAGCAATAAGACGGCCCCATCTTGTCCAATTCCTGCAACGGTGAACACATTTGGCCCTGTTTGCCAGACTGGCATAAATGCATCGTAAGCACCACCAATCAAAGTAAAGATGCCCCCCACGATACTCAGAAACTGGATCCCCTGATTCTTGGAAAGGTTAAAGGGGAGCATGGATGGATTGCTTTTCCAGAATCGTTGCAGGATCGGATCTGCCGCATACAAACCACCAATCAATGGCCAAAAATACCGCCAATCTTGAAGCCATTCAAATTTGATTAGCAAGTCGCTAATAAGGTAGGACGTGGCAAAGCTTCCCAGTGTTAAGATAAGACATGCCGAAGCCGTTTCGGTCACTCTTGACATTATTGTTTCCTCTGTTTTGGTGGGGATCTCGGGTAGTCTATCGAATGACGTCAGAGATTCCAAGGTCGAGATGGAATCTGCGTCCTGATCGATTGATGCAAGATACTCGTAATCTACATCTTTAAAGAGAGATATGGAAGGGAATGTGGTTTCAGTTTGTTCCAAGGACACGTCATCTGTTGTCCCAAAATCGTCATTCTCTAATGACAAGAAATGCGTCAATGTCCTCGAGTATTGTTGTTTGGTTTGAAAATTAACAAGATGGAACGCAACCGAATTGTCTACTCTGGAGCAAATCTCAATGAGAATCAAGATTCGTATCATGTTCATCCGAGCCATGATGGTTTCATTCATTCGTTAACCCTTGACCAATCGAATCTGCAACGATGTCATGATAACATTCAGCTGCACATTGTGAACGAATGATGATGCAAGGTGATGAATCATCATCTATACCGCCGTCAATGTGTGCGCGTCTTTCGCACACTTTTCTGGAACTTCAATAGTCGTTTACCGGAATATTGCATGCATTTTTTATTACCACTGTAGTGATGTGACGTGCAAAATCTTCTTTGTAAAAAAAGGTTTCAAGTGATCAAAGTTTCGTGGTACAAATTATACGCAGAGTTACGAGAGAAAAACCTGGCACAGAATACGCCCGAGCGAACGTTTCACTCACTTTCCACACAACACAAAATATTCACTTCCTCATTTTCCACACAACACAAAATATTCACTTCCTCACTTTCCACACAACACAAAGATGCCCACTTTTTCATTCATAAAACAAGGACGAAATGCAATGAACCACCATTGATACAATGTCCTTCCTCCTTTTGCACTTATGATGGAAGGTGTTGTCACGAGAGACAAGTGAGAACGATTGGGCCTTGATTTGGGAAACCAAGCAAAGTTTGCAGGAGCCGACCCTTGTGATGATGGCATCCTTTTCAAGCCATCCAAGAAGAAAGCGCCTATTTTTTGGGAATGGACACATCCACGAGGACCAAGAACGAGCTGTCTTCATGAAGCAATGCACCCAGGAACAAGGGTTGGATCATGCATACCGGTACAAGTCTTGGCACGACCTACCGGTGTCCGTCACCATGGTTCCTGCTCAAGTTTAGCTGTCTGAGCACTTTGCACAATAATCTACCAGAGGGATTCTGGATTCCTTTGTTATATTTGGAATAATTGGACTGCAGGGAAATGACACGAACTGTATGTAGTCTTTTTTGTCAATATTTCTCAAATCCTGTATGCAGGAAAAGTAAAATGAGTAAAGTTGTATGCAGTTTTGCTAACTCTGCATGCAGTTTTTCAACGCAACACTGATGTTCAAAGTTCACCATTAAGTGTTCATGATCCATGTTACTTATACATGTAACCTTCGTTATGTCCGAACCTCATTGTTCATGGTTCTCTGCGCGAATCCATATATTTTAATAGATATCAACATGTCCAAACTTTCGTTTCTATTAGGGCCCTCAGATCCGCCAGCTTATTTTATCTTTTCACGAGAGACCTTACTGGTACCTTTCCAACATACACACAAGTTAATAAGAATACCACCTGACATACTGTTTCTCTTTCGAAGAGTTACTGACACACCTTGTACCCTATCCACCAAACACTGCTTAGAGACAGCCAAAACATCCCATCATGTCCACAATATCTTTCTTATTTCCAAACATGAACCTCATGGCTCTCGAACCATCAATGTTTGCACACAGCCCAGACGTTGCGGCTGATCACATGTACTCATCACTCCTGAACATGGCATGTGCTCCGCAATCGCCCGCTATTCCTGCTGGTGTCTCCAACAAAGGCTATCAGTGCACAGATGAACTCCTTCTTCCGGAAGACTTTCAGCCTTGTGCATACTCTGTGATCTGTGGCAGAGGTCGAAAGTCAACAGATGCTGTTGGCAACCGACGTTTAGCTGTAATTGCATCTCTCTTTGCACAGCGGTACTCGGAAGCAACCAAGAAGGATGAGAAGACACACATTGTGTCGGAGATTCTTGAAATCATGCGCTCTGCTAGCCCCAACCCACAACACGCGTTCGTGAGGCACTCCAAGGGAAGTTGGTTCCGAGTGGAGAACCTTCACGCTCGCGAAAAGATTGGAACCGTCCTTCGAGACACTCTACATTCCCAATACAGGTCCAGTACCAAGTCCAAGCTGGCGAAACGAAAGCAAAGGAAGGACCGCACCAAGAAGCAAACGAAGAAGAAAGAAGAGGTCCTACCAGAGCCTTCCCTGAGCTTATTCTCATTGGACAACGAAGTCCATGGAGATCTAGACGATATTTTCGCATAATCTACTAAGAACCTTAGACCAATCATTCTCATCTCAACTCTACCACGTGTCTAGTACATTGATGATTTCCTTCTTCAGTTTACGAACTGAAGGGACAGAAAGAAGCAGCGTCTCGCGTCTGCAACTATACTGTGGATTGCACTTCAAGTACCACCCATTGGAGACTGACTCGTATCGCCACGTGTCAGGGGATGCGAGGTCGAATGTTTTCCTTTCTTGATCAGCTGCTTCCTGTAGTAAGCTGCACATGGTGATGATGACCCCTGAATACGATTGATTTCACGCATGAAGAAGGAACCTCTATCAACGGGGGCTTCGAAGGTTGAATCGTCTTCTCCTATAGTTGCCACCTGGAACTCAGCAGATGTTCTTGCAAAGGGTCGTGAACAATAAAGTGGATAATTGAATGACCTTCGTCTTACGTTATACATCTTTCCCTGAGGTTCACTTTCGACCGAAGTCTCTCCTCTCGATGAATCAAACAATCTCAAATTATGGCTTGTTCAAGGATGACGATCGCCACAATGTAAAGAAGCAACAGGTAGAACAGGTTGCTGGTGTTGAGGGAAGCACAAATTCACTAAAGGCAGATTACAGGTGGCCTCAATTGTGGAGTTTAAACTTCGAAAATTGGTTACATCTTCTTGTCTTGTATCTGTGTGGGGTCTTTGTACCTACGTACTACCACCAAGAGGAGAAGCACGAAGAAGCACTCTGCTCTTGGCTTTCCTCAGCACCCTTCTTCCTTGTGGTTCATGGATTGTCGCTTGTTGCTTCTAGAAGAAGAAAAAAACAATCGGAAAGGAGACAACAATAATCTTAGACACTTTTAATACCCTGAATCGAGCACACGCATGGCGGGTCCATACTACTACCTCGAACACTGGTGGTCCAAAGTGATCCCCACCTAATACTTCTAGTAAAATTTCTATAACGTAGACATGCGATTGATGCTGTCTAAATTATTCAAAATATTGGCATCTATTTTATGTAATGTTGTTTTAGGAACTAGTCTGCTGGACCATATTCGTTGTCTTTCCAAGCACGAATTTGGAGGACGGGCTTCTAGAAACAGATCCTGGGCAAACTCAACCAGAGTTGTCAAAACTGCGACGACGAATTCCTTTGGGTCGTTTGCTGCCACTGCTTTTCACACTGGAAGGACTGCTGGTCAAATCCAGCCTATCCAATCTTGGTAGGGCGCTACCAGAGCCAGCCCTACGATTGGCTGCTCGTTTTGGAGAAATGTTACCCGATGCTCGTTGTTTTGGAGAAATGTTGCTCGATGATTGGACAGCCATACTCTGATGTCTTCTTGGCACGGTCGAGCGCTTTCTTTGTGGCGAAACGCCATCGGGAAGATTGCTCTCCGAAGCAGAAAGACTCTTGTTCCTCTTTGGCGCAGTTGAACTACGAATTGGCCTAGGAGACACAACGGAATTGGGGAGATTGATGTTCAACGGGTCGGATGTAGACAGGCTCGTATTTCTTCTTGGCGCTGTTGCACGTTTTCCTGCTTGATGAGGAGATATAAAGCCATCGGGAAGAGAGCTGCCAAAAGAGATACTGCTTTGGCGCTGAGGAACCTTCTCAGATTTCTTTGTCAACTGGTCAGGTGTGAACGAGTACTCGGTAGAAGCCTTGGGAGCCCGCGAGCTCATGGCACCCATGCTACTATGTCGTTTCGGCTTGTCTGTAGCCTTGCTTGTCCTTGTCCTTCTCTCTCGACAAGGCTTTAGATGGGCATCGTCGGTTTGCTTCTCCCTATCGCTGGAATGCAGCCGAATGTCATAGAATGGAACTAGCTGATCATCCAAATGCACCTTTAGAATGGTAGCATTTTCGCTGTCCCCGCTACTGCTGACATATACTACCTTATCGTTCTCGGCATATGTCATTCGGGGCTTGACGCTTTTGGAAGACCGTACGCTAGCCATGTTGCCCAGGCTGCTTCGTCGTTGTGGTTTGTTCTCTGTGCTGCTCTTGATGGACTTTCTCTCTCGTTTCGGTGGTGGGAGAGCCGCAAGATGTGCGTTATCTGTTTGCTTCTCCCGACCACTTGAGAGTAGTCGAATATCATAGAACGGAACAAGCTGGTCATCCAAATGCACTTTAAGAATCGTCGCTTTTTCGTTGTCTCCATTGCTACTGACATAGAGCACTTCATCATTCTTGGCATACTTCTTTTGGCGCGGTGTTCCATTATCATTGTTTACAAAGTCAAGTTTGCTCAAACTTTGACTGCCATCAAATTTCAAAGACATTTTTTTAGTCAGTCTTGATTTCTTGCTCTTGCCACTAGACCTCGTGCTAGCATCATCAGCACTGATGACTCTCCACTCGTTCTTCTTGCTGGATTTCTTGGTAGTATCATCAATTCCTTTCGTCTTCGTTTTCTTGCTCCTTTTGGCTGCAGTGCTGTCATTGTCGTCATCTTCCTGTGATAGTGGAGGCGCTGGAAGGAAAGATTCGATATCAGAAACAGACGATGTGGTTGATGTCAAGGGAGTATCAGAAGAGCCGAGTTTGAAAGCATCCGGATCATGCTTGTAAGGACTGTCTCGATTCAACGAGACATAGCCAGAGCTGGCTGACGAGTAGTCGTCCTCTGAGGGCAATGCTGCAGAATAACAAGAATCACCGTCGTCTTCTTCATACTTTGAGGATTTTGTCATCTTACTCTCGACAAAACGATCTTCTTTTAGTTCAGTTTTCATCAGGCAGTGTTGCTATGAATACAGTCAAGTTGTGAAGAGTGGAAGCTAAAAGAATAATGGATTGATACTGATACTCGTACTTTGACCACCACTATGCCAAGAATGCAAACTAAAATAACACGTTGGAAATATCATTTTTGAAGACCAGTTCAGTTGTCCTGCACGCTCAAAAAGTTGGCCTAAGGGTTTTCTCGTTTATTGCTTTCAGAATGAGCTACTTAAGCATTAGTGATTGAAAGTGTGGCACTCGCTTATGTAACAGGTCCAAGATCAAGACCAATGTGATCGTGGAGTTCACTTTCTACCAGTAATTCCACTGCCAAAAATTTCGAAACAAGAAAGCGCGTCAGTTGAACTGCAAATCCTCGATTATTGTTTCTCATTACAACAGTATGTAACGTATTTTCAATTTACTATCCACTGCTCAAATAATTGCTATGCTATTGAACCATTGTCCGTGATGGCAGACGATCACATCATTCCCATTGCATTACCTAGATTCCTATGAGTCTGGCCAGACGACTACTCCTCCCATTCGTCCTGATCAATATGTTACCTCATGATAATTGAACCTTAGTAGACTTTATCAACTGTTGGATTGTCTAATAGTTAGTCCAAGCCTACTACGTTATGCCATCAGCAGTCCGCGGATTCCACTGGAAAATAATTTTCTTCTTGGCCTTGCCAATCAGTGATGCCGATTTGCTTCTACCAACTGGGGAAGTAGGCTTGAAGTCGGCAGCACTGCCACCGGCGCCAGAGTTGTCAACGCTGCGAGTACGGAGGGCTTTGGGCCGTTTGCTGTTGCTGCCTCTTGAGCTTGTCAAATCCAATCTATCCAGTCTATCCTGTCTTGGTATGGCACTGTCAGAACCAGCCCTACGATTGGCTGATTTGGGAGACATCATCGATTGAGCAGTCATACCCATACTCTTGATCCTCCCAGGCATGCTCGTGCGCTTTCTTGTTTGTGAAGCAAGACCATCTGAAAAATCGTTGCTCAACGACGGCTTTGGCGCAGTTCTACGCTTTGGCTGAGGAGAGACAAAACCACCAGAATGGTTGCTTCCACCGAGGGAGTCTTGTGCAGGCAGACTCGTTCTTCGTCTAGGTGCCTTGTTTGTTCGCTTCCCTTCTTGACGAGGAGAGACAAAGCCGGCATGAAGACCATTGCCAAACTGATCTGGTGAAGGCAGACTTGTCCTTTTCCTTGGTGCCTTGCTCTTTCGTTTTCCTTGAGGAGAGACAAAGCCCTCGGGAAGAGCGTGATTAGACAGACTCGTTCTTCTTCTTGGTGCCTTTGTTTGCTTGCCTTGATGAGGAGAGACAAACCCGTCGGGAAGATTGATGTGCAACGGCACTGATGCGGAAAGATTGGACTTTCTACTTGGTGCCTTGTTTGTTTGCTTTTCTTGACGAGGAGAAACAAAGCCATTAGAATGGTTGCTTCCGCAAAGCGGGTCTGGCATAGGTAGACTCGTTCTTCGTTTTGGTGCCTTTGTTCGCTTTCCTGCTTGACGAGGAGAGACAAACCCTTCAGAATGAGCACTTCCACGACCAAGCGGCTCTGGTGCAGCCAGACTCGCAGTTTTTTTTGGCGCCCTATGAGGAGAGACAAAGCCATCTGGAAACACCTTTCCATAAGCAACAGACTTCTTCCTTTCTCGGCAGGGCTTAAGATGGGCGTCATCGGTTTGCTTCTCTCTATCGCTGGAATGCAGCCGAATGTCATAGAATGGAACAAGCTGGTCATCCAAATGTACTTTTATGATGGTAGCATTTTCGCTGTCTCCATCACTGCTAACATAGATGACCTTTTCGTTCTCTGCGTATGTCTTCTTTGGGACAGAGCCATCAGAATGATCAGCGCAACCAAAAGCAATACTGCTTCGGCGTCGAGGCGCGCCTGTTTTCTTCGTCCACTGATCGGGTGCGCTACTGCGTCTTTCCGGTTTGTTTGCACTCTCGATCGGCTGTGGCCTCTTTCTCTCGCGACAAGGCATGAGATGTGCGTCATCTGTTTGCTTCTCCCTGCCGCTTGAATGCAGCCGAATGTCATAAAATGGAACAAGCTCGGCGTCCAAATAGACCTTGACAACTGTAGCATTTTCACTCTCTCCGTTACTACTGACATATACCACCTTGTCATTCTCAGCGAACGTCTTTTGGGGCTTCACATCTGTGTCCACATTGCTTTGTTGTTGTGTTGGTGTCTCAGGTGTACATTCCTTGATGTCATTTGACACTCTTTTTTCTGAGTGGCTCTTTGGCGGAGCAGCTAGGTGTGTGCCATCGGTTTGCTTCTCCCTACCACTTAAATTCAGCTGAATATCATAGTATGGAACAAGCTGGTCATCCAAATGGACCTTTAGAATTGTCGCAATCTCAGTTTCCCTGTTGCTGCTGATATAGAGCACTTCGTCATTCTTTGAGTATTTCTTCTGGGCCACCGCGCTAGTATCATCAAATTCTTCAGACTCTTCCTTCTCCATTGATACATTGCCAGAGCTTCCAGACGAACAGTCGTCACCTGATACGAAGGATGCTTCTGCAGAATAAGAATAATCATCGCCTCGTCCTCGTTCATCAGACTTTGAAACATCTGCCTTCTCATCCGCAACAACAGAATCTTGATAAAGGTTCTTCATCTTTTTCAATTGATATCTCACTGCTAGCGTTAAGAGAGTGATACCCCCACACCGTAGCTATCGAAAATGAAATCGAAAACAGTTTCGATGTGTTGCCAGATAGTTTTGAGGACCTGGTTTGGCCTGCACGCTCCCACAAAAAAATAACCCGGTGAGAGCTATTTTCCGATTAGCAATTGTCGAGTCCATTCTTCGAACATTTATAAAATTTTGTATCTGGCGGAACGGGGTCATATAAAATGTCTCACAATCAATATATGTGCTGTACCTTCTGCACATCACGGTTAGATGACTGTAAAATTACGAAGCAAACACAAGTTGAAGTTCGACTCTAGAGTACCGGGTACCTATAGTCCCACTTGCAGGAATCATCACCAACAGTACCGTCCAGGTACCTGGTACGAGTACCGGTACAAGTAAATTAAATTCCCTGGTACTGGTACGTGTCAATGTTACCCATCACTAACCTTGGGTACAGCACCAGGTAATGATGTACAGCAGTGGATATGAGTCAAAATTGAAAATTCCATCCTACCAGTATCTGGTACAGTAAACTGTTTTGCAATTATCACTGAATAATGATTGTACCTTTTCTATAGTATACATGATAATAGTTTCATGGCAGTATAAATATTAAAATAATAATCTGCTATATTCTACAAGCAGCACTCCCTTAGTTTGTTCTTCACATTCCATTGATTTTGTCCGTTTAGGATGACATTCGCTTCTTTAACAATTTGGCCGAGTGACCATAGGATTGGGAACGTGGAGCAGCAGGACTTCGAACCGATTTGGGCCTTTTGGGAGACAGATCGGACTTGTTGCGATGTGTGGTGGAACAAGTAGGTCTCTTGGGCGACATATTATTCATGCTAAGATTGGCATTCCGAACGGGTGATATGGGAGCACTGTGGTGCCGCATCGATACCGGCCTTTTGGGAGGAATGGGTGACGTTGATCGCACCGAAGTGGTTGGACGTCCACCACCAGTGGAGGACCGTGTCGTAGCAGGGCGAGGTGGAATGTTGCTGCTGTCTGTCGAATCCCGGCGTCGACAGGATGCTGGACGGGTTGGCGAATTGCCTGTGATGGTTGTTCTGGATGCCCTTGTTGATCCAGGGCGAGATGGTGGTATATAGCTGTCGGTAGAATCCCTTCGTCGGCACGATGCTGGACGTGTGGGCGAGGTACCTGTGTTGGCACTGGTGCGTCGACGTGTTGGTGAGACATTATCCGTGTTAATACTGTTGGTGCGTCGACCGCGTGGTGTCGGTGATGGTCCATTGTTGCAACTCCGTCGAGAAGAGATAGGAGTTCGGGAGGGGGACACATTGTTGCTGCTGCGAAGTGCTGGTTGCCTGCTGCTGTTGTTGGGCGACATATTGTTACTGCCGCGACGAGGCGAAAACATGCTGTTTTTGGATACTCTCGCTCGGTTTTGATGCGGTGATTGTGAATAGTTGTTTCGTTGTTTCATACTGCTGGGCGTGGATGCGCCGATGGAATGACGATGTCCTCTGCTAGAAATGTTATTGTCTGCTAGGTTGCCAATCGAACGACCACGAGACCTTGTCGAGTTGTTGTTCTCTGCTGCAGCAGATCGATATGAATTGCCAATCGATCTTCTATGCGGTGAGGAATGATGTGAAATCTCCTCGTAGTACTCATTGTCGTCCATACCGTCCCAAGTTTGGGATCGCATGGACAAGTCAACTTGTTCTGGTGGTTGTACGACTTGTTCTTCCTCATCATCATCAAAGGTGAAGGCAATGGCATCAGGAATGGGACCACTATCTTGGTGATTTGCTGCTGGCACTTCAGACAGATGGGCGTCATCAGTCTGCTTCTCTTTACGACTACTTACCAACAGAATGTCGTAAAAGGGCACAAGATAGTCGTCCAAATGAATCTTTAGGATAGTCGCAACTTCCTGAGTTCCGTTGCTGCTGGTGTAGATCACCGATTCATGTTCCTCAAATCTACCCTTTGCTGCCAATGGACCCGACGATGTGATGTTGTTGTTGTTTAAATCCTCAGAATAATGAGACACGACGCTGACACTTCGGCTTCTGGTAGTATTGTCACCATTGATGTTGTTGGATGCCGCAGTATGTGTGCTACTTCTGTTTTGTTTCCTTGGTGCTGCTCTTGGTGGTGCTATGTTTTTGTTGTTATTCGAGTTTGTTGCTTCCCCTTGTCTGGCATCCTTGACAGCCTTGACCATTTCAATTTTTTCTAGGAAATTAGAAGGTGATATGCCAAAGGAAACGAGCTCGGCTTTCAATTCTTTCAGGGACATTTCAGAAGCTGGTTTCTTTCCATTATTATCGTCATTCGCAACACTGTCCATCATGCTTTCATCCAAGGAGGTTCCGGAGAGAAAGGGAAGGACAGGTAGACGTGAGGAGGATCCATAATAGCCCTCAAATAAAACCTCTTCAACACTGGAATCCTCATCCAGGTTGTCCCAATTAACATCATCGTTGGAATGCATGCTTCCGCTCATGTCAATCCGCGTGTTGGATTGTCTCCTAGCTGCTTGTGGTTGCTGTCGTACTGGTTTGTTTGCTTGACTGCTGCAAGACTCGGACCAATCCCCATCATCCACTTCCGTTGGACTTGACCGAGGCGTTTCACTCAGGTCGTCTGACACGGACAGGGATTCCCAAATTTCATTTTTTCGACTCGGTGGAAGCTTTTTCTTAGGGCTCTTGTTTTTCTTGGGGCTCTTTTTGGTCTTGGGTTTGCTAGTCGTCTTGGATTTCTTGATTTTGGTTTTAGTGTCTTTAGATTCCACCATCTTGATCTCTTCTATTTTTGACAACAAACTGACGAAAGATGAAATTGTTGACTCTCCGACTACTGTATTATTTTCACTTTCGAGCAGACGAGATGGGAACGAGTATTTGAAAAAGTGACATTTTTGGTTTCCAATTTTATCAAAGGCACGTTGTCAATTAGCCCCCTTTCACCTTCTTCAAGACTACCCCGTCGAAAATCAATTAAGGTTATGCGAAGGACGACTCGAAACATTTAACTGGTGACTCGAAACAGTTATAAATAGAAATCAATCCTGGCTATGCACGCGCTGGGGAAAATTCCGAACACTAAAACGAACAGCTCGAACACCTTCCTGTCCAGGGTTTTTGTTCGCCAACCGGTGAAATACAATACATGTGTCAACAGAAATAAGACCGATGTCACAGGGACAGATGTCGCTGTATGGAAATACAGTAGGTACCAGGAGTAATACAGTACAGTACTGTAGGTATTATGTTTTATAAGAAAGTATTGAGGTGTATTGTATAGCAATAAATAAAAATGAATGCATGCCTTCTGCACTGGTACACTGTAGTTGATCGGTCGAATCTATAGGTACAAAGACCAATGCGATCATGACATGGTAGTATTGTGTGCTACCCAACCAACCAACCAACCATGTGTGTATCTGTCTTGTTTTCTTACAAACAACGATAGACCTTGCGCAAGCTTCCTGGAGACTGGGCACTGGATAACTTTTGTCGCATGGAAACGGGGCTCTTGTGGATATTGGGGGCACCGGGAGCCTGCTTTTTGAGTCGTCGCCGCACAGAGACCGGACTGGCATCCACACGACGACCGCGAGCAGCCGTCGCTACGTCCATGCTTTTGCTGCGCCTTGCAGTAGCTGCGTCGACACTTTGGCTGCGCATTGTTCGTCTAGTGTTGTTGATGGTGGTGGACTTGATAGCGGACAAATGATTGTCATCTGTCTGCTTTTCCTTTCCACACTTACTCAGTTTAATGTCATAGAATGGAACCAAAAGATCGTCCAGATAAACCTTGACAATGACAGCTTCTTCCTTTTCTCCATTGGTGCTTGTGTACAAGACGGTTTGTTTCTCCTTGTACGGTTGCTTCTTCTGCTTCTGCTTCTGCATCTGCTGTTGCTGTTGTCTTTGGTTTTTCCCCTTGACTCCTCCTCGAAGATCGTCCCAGGAAAAGTTGGCTTTGGGGGCAGCAATGACGTCGGCAAATATCTCACGTGGGATGTCCACGTCGATAGTAGGATTGGATCGGGACTTTCGCATGTCCGCTCTTCTATTCTTTCTCATTCCTTTCTTCTTTCTTCCACCACTGTCTTTGGATCTCTTGGACGACCCGTCTTCTTCGCTGCTGTGCAGATGAATGCCAAGTGTGGGGTTGGAGGCAGATCTTCTCAAAGACATGCTTCTCTTGTTCTTTTTCGATAACCCGCCACCGTCAGCCAAAATCGCATCAATGTCCAGTTTGCTGCCAGAACTAGACTTTCTCAGACCTTTCTTTCTTCCTGCACTCTCCTTTGATCTTTTGGACGAGCCATCGTCGTTGCCATCTACATCATAAACGCCAAGTGTAGGATTGGAGCTGGATCGTCTCAACGACATGCTTCTCTTTTTCTTTTTCTTCTTTTTGGTTCCTATTTCATCACCACCAAGACCAAACGAGTCATTGGCCTTGGAGGGGGAGGTTACAAAGGCGCCGGGAAGTGGTGGCTCAACATCGAGTAAAGGGTTTGAGTTGGATTTTTTCAAGCCTTTTTTTCTTCGCCTTCCGGGGGTTTGAGTCAGATCCCAAGAAGCATTTCCATTGAATTTGGGCGCAGCAGCAGCAGCAATATCATCGTCATCATAATCAATGAAGTCATCAATAGCATTATTGGATTTGGCCTTTCGTAAGCCCCGCTTTCGTCGGCTGCTCTTGGATTCTTTTGAGCTCTTGGAACTCTCATCGCCGACCATCATATTCCACCACGAATGGATGTTTTTCTTTTGGAGTCTCGGTTGCAAGTTGTCGACGTCAAGAGGACTGTCATTCGACTTGGATCTGCCCTTAAGCTTGCTTCGGTTGCGCGTCTTGGGTGTTTCTTCCAAGGCACTGTTGGCCTTGTTGGATTTTGAGGTTATAAAGGCGCCTGAAAGTGGCAGCGCATCAATATCAAGTAAAGGGTTGGAGTTGGACTTTTTCAAACCCTTCCTTCTTCGTCTCCCTGGTGTCTGAGTCAGATCCCAAGTATCATTGGCACTAGATTTGGACAATTTGAGACGTGCGGCCAAAATATTATCATCATCACCAAGTGCGTTACTCGATCGGGCCTTTCGCATTCCCTTCTTTCGTCGGCTGCTCTTTGATTCCTTGGAGCTCTTGGAGGTCTCCTCTGTGCTGCTAAGGTTCCACCAGGAACTACTTGTCTTAACGGGCGAAGAATCACCAACATCAAATGTACCAGCCGACTTGGATCGAACCTTTTTCAAACCCTTCTTTCTTTGTCTCGGCGTCTTTGGTTCCTTTTCATCGCTAATTTCAAGATCCATCACAACCATGAGGTTATTCAAGTGGGCCCGAATAGGTGAGGCGGATATGCTACGGGGGGAAGGTTCCGTGGAACGACCTCTGGTGCGAGAAGCACGGGGGGTGCTCGGAGCACCATCGACGGTCCTGTTTTGTGCTGGCTTGGGTGGTTTCTGTGTGCGGTTCGTAGTGGTACAATTTGCACTGGAACGAGCATCTTTCAATGCTGCAATCATCTCGGATTTTTCGATGAAATTCATATTTTTGGCATCGAGACCCTTCAATTCGGCTAGGATTTCCTTTGCTGACATGGTGGACGCATCGGGAAGAGTTCCACTTCTCTCTGGAAAAGAAGAAGCACTTGGTGTAACTGGAAGAGGCATGTCAGCGCAGATACTCATACCCGTCAGGTCGTCTTTGCCGCCCATGGGCGGTGCATGTGGTAGATCTTGCAAAGCAGCTGATGACGTGTTGACCTGTGGGGGGTCATTTGGAAGAACTGGCGATACATCAGCCTCTTCAAGCCTTCGTTCGACACTATACCTACGCTCATCACTTTTTTTGCGTGATTCTTTTCGTTTTTTGCCAGGTCCCTTCTTCGTCTTTCGATTCTCTTTATCTTTTGTCTCAGGAATCAGTGTTCCAATGCTCGATTGAAATGCTCTGAGGTCGGCGGTGATATCATGATGTGCAGCTTCATAGTGATTAAGGAACTTTTTCACAATATCCACTGATCCATCATCTTCTTTGCCCTCTGAGAAATCATCAGGAGTGACTAAGGAATCAAATTTGCTGAAGCTGCTCATCAGGTCTTCCCTCGAGACTGTCTCAGCTTTTTCTTGATCTTTCATCACTTCGAATTCCACTTCAGCTATGTCCGCAACATTGAAATTCAATGACGCTAGGTCTAATGAGGCTATTGAATCATGCAAGCTGGTAGTCATCTTGCAAGTTGCGGTAGTGGAATTTTTGTGTTGATTCTATGATGAATGTGAGGAAGTGACATCTCGGAGGTCGGAGGCACAGATTCTCTGTTTGTCGATGGGTTCACGTGTGGAAATGAGTCTCTTGGGATCACTTTACTATGTCTATTTCTTATTAATTATTCTTATCAAACTGATAGATGTTCGTTAAATAGAAACGCCGGGATACAGATTGGGCCTAATCTTTGTTTGTAACATTTAGGGTTCATAAACACAAGAGATATCTCTATTTTCCACTTTCGGGTAATCAAACATTTTACCATGACCGCGTTGATGACCGTGCTGAAATGGAGTGGGTAAGTCGAGTCAGTCAAGATAGGTAATAAAACAAGCTCTACTCGTAGTCTAGAAAAAATCTAGAATATCAACAATCATTTGTATATTATGTTACAGATAACGATAGGCCTTGCGCAAGGTCCCTGGAGACCGGACGTTCGATAACTTTTGTCGCATGGGACTCGGGCTATCGTGGAGATTGGGGGCACTGCTGCTGGCAGTAGGCTGCTTTTTGGTGGGTCGTCGTCGCCGCACGGATACCGGACTGGCATCCGCACGACAAGCAACACGCCCCGCTGCGACCAGACTTCTGCGTCTTGGTAGTCGGTTGTTGCTTTTGCGGGATTTCAAAGCTGACAAATGACCAACATCCTCACGAGCAGCACGTCCACAAGCAGCAGTCGCCGCGCCTAGACTTCTGCACCTTTGCAGTCGGTTGTTGCTGCAATTAGATGTCAAAGCTGACAAATGAGCGACAGTCGTCTGCTTCTCCTTTCCACTGTGAGTCAGTTTAATGTCATAGAATGGGACCAAACCATCGTCGAGATAAACCTTGACAACGACAGCCTCCTCTGCTTCTCCATTCTTGGTGCTTGAGTACAAGACAGTTTGTTGCGGCTTGTATGGCTGGTGGTGCTGCTGCTTTCGGCGTTTTCCTTTCACTCCTCCTCGAAGATTGTCCCATGAAAAGTTGGCCTTGGGGGCGGAAATGACGTCAGCAAATATCTCAGAGGGGATATTCATGTTGACGGTAGGATTGGATCTGGACTTTTGCTTGGACTGATGTTGTTGTCTGCCTGTCACGAGCGCATCAATGTCCAGTCTATCGCCAGAACTGCACTTTCTCATTCCTTGCTTCTTTCTTCTACCACCACTGCCTTTTGATCTCTTGGACGATCCGTCTTCATCGCTACCGTGGTGCTTCTTCTTCTTTTGCTTGTTGGTTCCTGCATCGCCACCACTGACGTCAACGGGACTACCTAATGACCTGGACTTGCTTTTTAGCTTCTTTCTGTTGCGTGGCTTGGGCGTTTCTTCGCAGGCGATGTTGGCCTCGAATTCGACCAATGTGTCGCGGGTGGCAACCATATTATCCCGAATTGCATTTCTCGATCTTACCTTCTTCGTCAAACCATTCTCATTTTGTCGACTGCTCTTTGATTCCTTAGAGCTCTTGGACGTCTCCTCTATGCTGCTGAGGTTCCACCAGGAACTACTTGTCTTCTTGTGTGAATCAACAACGTCAGATGTACCAGCTGATCGCGATTCTTTTTGATTTTTGCCAATTACGTTCTTGATTTTCTGATTCTCTGCTGTTTCTTTTTCAGGAATCAAAGTTCCGATGGTCGATTGAAATGCTCTGAGGTCAACGGTGATATCATGCTGTGCAGCTTCATAGTGATTAAGGATTTTTCTCACAGTATCCACGTATCCATCACTCTCTGGGTCCTCTGAGAAATCATCCAAGCTGACCATGGCATTGAATTTGCAAAAGCTGCTGATCAGATCTTTCCGTAAGACTGTTTCGGCCTTTGCTCGATCCTTCATCACTTTCACATCCACTTCAGCCATGTCTATTTCATCACAATAAAGTGACGCCAGGTCCAGTGAAGCTATCGAGTAACGCAAGCTGTTCGGCATCTTTCACGTTGTTGTTTTGGAATTTTTGTGATTATTTGAAAAAATGAGGAAGTTTATATAAAAAACGGGCAAACAATCTTTGTGAGAGGTAATTTGAACGTTTAGTATTTGTAGATTTTCCGCTGAGGCTAGTTGCACGCGAGAGCCCGAAACCGCGTTTTTTACCCGTGTGGTACCCGTACCTGGTACGTCACGTTTTCAAACAATATGTAATGGAATCAAGGATAGATGGAATGTACCACTACCAGGTACTCGTAGACAGATCAGTCAGACCGGCACCGCATTGCAGACAAAACTACAGACGGACATTTACAGTACAATACAGGAATGGACGGACAGAGACAAGACATCGTAAAAACGACCGACCGCAACCGAAGTTTGACCGCGCGAACTACCCGGCCTGTCGGTTCATCGAAAACTTGTTTTTCTGTATTGTCGGACCCTGGCTGCGATATATATAGAAAAGTTTTTTGAGCAGCGTGATCGGACGATTTATTCGACGTAATTAACTCTACAAAAGGATTCTTTTACCCAAAGTGCTATTGATAAAGAGTCATTTTCTCTGCCCATATATGTAATTTTCGCAAACGTTATTGAAAAAGATGGGTCATGTAGAGACTGTCCCCAAGAGAACCAATGGCTCATTGGACCAAGGATAAAATAGGAAACTGCCATCGTACGTGTCACTTCTATTCGTATAATTTATTTGCTTGGTCTCTTCGTTTCGCTCTAGAGAGCGGCACCACAAACCACCCACCAAGTCCAATCCTTGGGCCACAACCACGATGGCGATCAATCGTTCGGAAGTTGCGCACGTTGTGCAACAAGCAGCGGGTCGCATGAACTTAAGCTTGGAAACTGAGCAGGAAATTTTGAAAAGTCTTGAATCAGAATCAATAAATGACGTCTGGCAACTTCATCATATTTCGTTGGATCGCTGGAAAGAAATGGGAGCTCCGGTGGGCTTTCTCGCAAGTTTGGAATCCTGCATTCAGGAAGCAGGACTCACAAAGGACGGAAAAGGCAAGGCAAAGGGACGAAAGAGTGGAAGGGTTTCAACCATATCTCCAACTAGGGCTTCAGGGAATTCAAGATCTTCAACACGGAATTCCAGCGGCAAGTCTACCACAAGAGATTCAGGCTCTATTGACGCATCTACTAGAAGTGCTTCCTCTATGCGTTCTGTGTCATCACAAAAGAGTTCAGCAGTATCAAACGACAGCAGACAAGCCGCGTTGAAACAGCTAAAAGACAGATTAAGGGCACTGTCCAAACAGGGACGAGCAAAGACTGAGATCGATGCTCATGGCGAAAAAGTATACGAATGGGATCAGAATGATTCATGTGTCCTGATTTACTTTGTTTGGCCGTTTGAATTCGAATTTGGACCTGATACCAAATTCAAATGTACCATATCGAAAGACACTGTATTGTTAAAGGGAAAGTGCAAAGATGCCCAACGAAGCTTACGATTCGCCACAGGGGAGTTGGTGAATGCACTGCATTCTGAATGGTGTGTCGTGAGCAAAGGCAATGCTTCCAATGGGGTCGATCAGCTATTTGCCATTGAAGTCGTACTGATTAAGAAAAAGCTTGGGGTCGCATGGGACACAGTTCTGATTGCAAAAAATATTCTTGGTACCAATCACATGTCACCCGATCAAATCCGAGATGAGCTAAAAAGTTATGGTATGGATCCAAACCCATACAAATCGACAGATGCATTGCTAAAGGCCTTGAGAATGGCACGTGCCAAGGGAAACTCGCACTTCTCAGCGTTGGGTTCTAATGCAAGAAAGGCGCCGGAACGAAGTCGATCCGCCGACAACATAGAGTTGTTTGAGAGCCCAGGAAAATGTAGTCCCGGTTCCTTGTCGAATAGCAAGAGAACAAGGCGGGCGCGATCGACCAGTGTCGATCGTCCATTGGTCGAAGAGACAAAAGTAAACAAATTCTCTGCGGGTCAGATCGTTTACTACACAAGCAGTGATGGCAATCATGAGAGGGCAAAAATCCTGAAGATTCACCTTGACGACGAACTGGTCCCGTTCTACGATATTCGATTGACGGAGAGTGGCAAAGATAAGCAGACAGATGACGCCCATCTTTCCCTAATGACGGACTTCTCAGAGGACGGCACGTCTTCGTTTGCAGGACTAGAAACCAACACGGCAAACGCACAAGATGGCGCGAGTGCTGAAATCAATCAAAAACCAGCTTCAAAAGCTCCAAAGAGTCGTTTTATGGAAAATCAAGTGGTTTACTACACGAATGATGGGCAGAAGGAGAAGGCCAAGATTTTGAGCATCCACTTGGATGATCATCTTGTGCCATTCTACGATATCCGTCTAGAAGATAGTGGTAAAGAGAAGCAAACGACTGACTCTCGTCTTTCTAGCCTGACAGATGACCTGTTCAAGGCAGCAGCTCAAGGACGGGTGCGTTCCGGGTCAGTGGATATTGAGTTACCTGCTTCTCCAGTGAGGAAGGTGCCCGGACGAAGCCGGTCGATGGGATCGTCGGGTGTTGCAGAATCACAGTCACCAGGCCCATTAAAGAAAGGACGAAGAGCTGGTCGGCGGCAATCCATCACAAAGCCTAGTGCTGCCACAGTAGCAGCACCATCGCCGAATACAAGTAGCGGGCCCAGTATTCAAGCGCTCGCAGCTTCGAAGAGTCGCTTCACAGAAAACCAAGTGGTTTACTACACGAATGATGGGCAGAAGGAGAAGGCCAAGATTTTGAGCATCCACTTGGATGATCATCTCGTACCATTCTACGATATTCGTTTAGAAGAAAGTGGCAACGAGAAACAAACGACTGACAACCGTCTCTCTAGCTTGACCGATGATCTATTCAAGGCAGCAGCTCAAGGACGGAGTGTTTCTCCAGTGAGGAAGCTGCCCGGGCGAAGCCGGTCGATGGGATCATCGGGTGTTGCAGAATCACAGTCACCAGGCCCATTGAAGAAAGGACGAAGAGCTGGTCGGCGCCAATCCCTCACAAAGACTAGTGCTGCCAAAGTAGCAGCACCATCGCCAAAAACAGGTGGCGGGTCTTGTAGTCAAGCGCTTACAGCTTCGAAGAGTCGCTTCACGGAAAACCAAGTGGTCTACTACACGAATAATGGGCAGAAGGAGAAGGCCAAGATTTTGAGCATCCATTTGGATGATCATCTCGTACCATTCTACGATATTCGTTTAGAAGAAAGTGGCAACGAGAAACAAACGACTGACAACCGTCTCTCTAGCTTGACCGATGATCTATTCAAGGCAGCAGCTCAAGGACGGAGTGTTTCTCCAGTGAGGAAGCTGCCCGGGCGAAGCCGGTCGATGGGTTCGTCGGGTGTTGCAGAGTCACAATCACCAGGCCCATTGAAGAAAGGACGAAGAGCTGGTCGGCGCCAATCCCTCACAAAAACTAGTGCTGCACAAATCCCAGCACCCACTGCTGGGAACATCAAGAAGGATTTGGAACGATACTCTGGCATGTCAGCAAATAATTACAACTACGCAAACGAGGACGAGATGCGTGAAGCGTGGAATCTTATTCAAGCAGATTCCAAACTATCGGTTGGGAGACTGAAAAAGGAACTCCAAAACCTGGGGGAATCAACAGAGTATATCGAGAAGAACGAGATGATTGGTGCTCTCTGCAAGGCCAGATTAGAGAAAAAGCTGAAGAAGGACAGAAAATAAGGGGTTCAGAGTGGGATGGACCAGTGGGAAAGAAATGCAGCGAAGACATTCGGTTGGTCCAATAAGTGTGCTAAATGTAGGTAAGCAACGGGTCGCAAGTGGAAAATAAGGGAGGGAGAACTGGCATAATGCATAAGAGCTTTGTCATTATTTTAGTATCAATGACTAGTATTGGATGTCGACTTGATTTCATGCTCCATCTCATTGCTGGTCTATCTGCGCTCCCTTTGTTTGGTTTGTAATTATAGCGTAAAAGAGTCTATCTGGCGGTAGGATCAAATAGTTGTGCGATCACCGCTTTGATGATGAAGTGACAACGCGCACATGCTTCATTTTAATCTCCCCATGGTCCACTGTTCGATGCATTATATCTTCCAACGCCTGGTGCCCTTTTACAACCGTGGCAAACGTTGCCTCGTGTTGTTCATCTTCTCCCTTGGTTTCCGACATTCGAATTACAAAAACCGGGCCCGCAGGTCGTCCTCCAGCAAACGCAACGGAATACTTTTGTAATATTGGTTTGGTGTACTCCTGAAATCCAAGATGCGTTAAATTAGCATTCTCGAGCTTTGACAGACCTGATCGATGGTGCTCATCCAAAGCCGACGGACTAGCAACAAGACGATCTTCCATTCCTCGAATTAGAGGCATTCCATCCCAAAGGCTTTGCTCTGCCATCTTTACAAAGTGGTTCGAAGCGTGAGGCATTTTCTTTGAATTCAACTCCACAACAACACTGGCAAGACTGTTGTCTTCCATTAGTAGCTCGATTTCTACTCTGATTTGATTTTTTCCGTATCTAAGGAGGGAACAAACCTGCATGAGTGATCGGTCGTTGAATTGAGCGACGAATCCAGTCGCCATGGGAAACTTACCGTGATTCCAGATCTTCCCTGTCATATTTTTGAATGAGTCTTTCGATCCTATCAACCCGCTCCAACAGCACTTCTTCCATTTGTTCCGTGGCCAAATATTTCTCATTCTCTAAATCTAGTGCCATATGCAGATCCTTCAGTCGTTTATATGAATTGTCGTTTCGCGCTGTCGTTTCTCGCAAATCTTTCTTGGCTGATGTGATTTCATCTGCCAACAGATGTAGTTGATCTGCTGTTTGTTGGTGCTCTTCGATTGCAAGATCTACCAGTTGTTTTTGTTGTTGCATAGCATTATAGTGTCCAGATACCGGGATCCAAGGAGCCAGACAAAGGACCAAGCATCCCAATAACTTCCAAGATCTATTGCCATCATCATCGTCCATTTGCTTTGTATAATCTGCATAGCGAGGGATGCTCGAAGACGAATGAGAAGACCTTCGGATCATCCATGGTTTCGGAGGCATGTTTTGTTCATAAATGAAAGGACTAGACGTCGCAATGCTTCTGTTGCGCCCCGTGCTGACAAGCGGAAGAGGTGACGACAATGAGCTTCTATCTCGTTTTCGAACAACCACCATCTTTTGTGCTTAGTCTTCTAGTGATCTAGTATTAATGGCTTGTTTTTATTTTGATAATTTGTCGAGAAGTTGGTAATCTGATTGATGATCACCTCTGTGGATGTCTTTGATTGTCCTCGTGGATTGATGATTTGATTGCCTTCCTGCTGGATTGGATGATTGTACTTGGTTTCGCTCACAAACCAAAATTGATGTGAGCGAAAGTTTGGCGATACATGTGAGAGGCAGGTATGTGCATGCACGTAAATAAAGTACGTGAGTCAATTTTCGGCCCGCGCGCACCAATACTTGACTCAACGGACTGTTTCTTCACAACAATTTGAAATTTGAACTGGCGAGTGTGATTATGATGGAGATCAAACAACGCAACGAACGCAAGAAAATCAACGTTTTAGACAAGAAAAAAAGATGTTATTGACTTTCAGTTTGCCTATTCTTCCAAAATCGAAATCTATGGCGTCTCGTGCTTTTTTTAGGTTTTGACGTTGGTGGTGGTGGTGATGATTCTTCCTCTTCTGATGCTTGATCTTTTCCCAATGACTTTAAGACGTCAGCCTTCGTTTGTTTTGATTCTTTCGTGCTAGCCGTCTCCTTAACTGCTGCAGCTTTTACAACTTTTGCCTTCTTCTGTTTTGCTTTTTCGGCGATAGCTGCCTGCTTGGCAGCAGCTTCCGCGGCTTCTTCCTCAATCTGTTGAAGGTAATAGGAATACGCGACGACGTAGCTAAGAACGATTGCGGATGTGGCACCACTAATGACGACTTCACCGTTTGAAATTTCAGAAAGGAATCCTGGGCCATCTGTTCCAAAAAGAGCCTGCGAAATGGAGAATCCAGTGACGAGGGAATAGTCCCGGTGGGTGAGACCAAATGGTAGATCCATTGACCAACACTATCAGACTACTTACCGTTGGAGAATCCCAAAATGACCAGAATCCGTCAAACCGAGACAACCAGCTTCGAATGGGCCCATAGTACGCTGTCGGTGGTGGCGCTTCTTTAGTTGCTTTAGGAATCATACCACCCTTGAACCCCTTGATACGAATGATCAAATCATCTTCGTCCTTTCCAAAGGTTGGTTCGACTGAAACGTTGATGATTTCCCCATCCACCAGGAGGTTCAGTTGGCCATTGCGTAAATCCCTCACGGTTGCTGCTAGGTCCACAGGGGGTGTAATTTGAACTTTTGGCACCACGTCACCTTCAATAGACAAGAGCTCTTGGTAGATTTCGGTCCAAATTGGAGCTGCAGTTGGGCCTGCTGTAGTGGAATCTTTCAGCTGCAGTTCATTTTGAATGCTCTGCTGGATACGCCCGATCGATGCACCCAATTCCTTGCGATTCTTGAGTAGTGTTTGTAGCAGTTTTTGTTCTTGAGAAGCATCAAACTTTTTGAATTGGCCCTTTGCGGTGCTTTGGGTCGATTCTCCATCGGATTCTTTGGTTGTTGTCGGTGCTGTCAATTGTATGACTATGGCACCTTTAGAAAGATTCAATTCGGCGGCATTGGCAACAGTGGACGACAGCTGGCTTGAATCCGAAGTGACAGCAGCAAAGGAGACTGCCGTGGCAGCAACAACTCCAGCTCCCATTTGTCGTAGGTGACGACCGAAGTCGTTATTCTTCCCAATATTCGAAAGAGGAATCAGTGGTTCTTCGTTATTGATGAAACATACCGGAGCCCCTTCCTGACTGTGATGAGAGTGAGCTGCAAGATCGCTTTCCCTTGTTGCCATGCTTTTTTTTGGACGAGGTTTTGAGACTATGGAAGCGTGCTGTTGAAAGGCACAAGTCGGACCAAACAATCCATTCTGAAAACCAGAAACAGCGAAGACGGCCAAAGTGATTGCAGAAAATTTCATGGTTTGTGTGGATTGTTACAATCACTGCTAAGCTGATCAAGCAAATGGACGCTCGCTTGTGCTATCGATGCTCGGTTTGAAAGATTTGCAATGGTGCCAAACCTGCGTTCAAGGTTGATCTGTAGTTGAAGTTTCAAGTTTGACCTTACTCTTGGTTTGACCCAATAGAATACGAGTGACGTACGCACGCACGGGACTGCCGAAGTGATTGATCGTTCATTCGGATAAATCAATCAATTTATTCTTTCAAATGACTTCTTGTCTTTCCACCGGTTGGTACCGGTACTGGTACACATGACTTCCAATAAATTGTTTTTTTTTATCAAAACTCGACTAACTGGCGGGAATTCTATGTCACTTAGAGATTGCAAGTCCTGCGACAAGTATATTCGATCTTCGTCGTTGAAGAACACATGACAGGTACTACCCAAAACTTGTACGTTTGAATCGCTAAGTACCGAGTTGGGGTTTCTATGAAAAAATTTACCAACCGAAAGCCGAGCCAGTCGCCACATTTTCCGTTCAGAAATCCCGGAAAAGGAAGAAAATCGACGCTGACACTCAAAAGCATAGAATAAGAACTTCTACAAGTACACTTTCAATCTTGTCAGATCGGCATCACTAGAACGCCAAACTTGTTATTTCCAACCCCTTATCCTGTCAAGTCAATCAACGGATCAGTGCAGTATCATTTGAGAAGGTCACCAAGAGATTGAAGCTCCCTTTCTATAGAATTTCTCACACCATCCATCGACAAAAATGGATTCTTCTTCGTTTGTTGATGTATCTGGAAACGATTCCAATAATGATACAAGCAGTAAGGGAAGCCGTGTGAGCCAAGAGGATGAGTGGCTGGATGTCGATGTCGTTACCAGTTCAACCACCAACGAAGAGCGCCTCCGCAATCAAGTCAAAGCCCTTCAGCGTGCTTTGGATGAGAAGAACTTGGAACTCATGGAAAGCAACGTCCGAGTTGATGTTCTCAAGGGTCATAAAATTCTTTTGGAGAATGCCAAATCAGGTCTCCAAGATGAACTCTCAGGCCAAACGAAACAAATTTCTTCTTTACGGGAGGACTTGAGCTCATCAAATTCTCAGGTGATGGAATTGGAAGAGAAGTTGATTGTATCAGAAAATTTGGTCCAAGCGACCAAGGCAGAGCTTCAGTCCCACCAAGTAAGAACCGCGGAAATGGAGCTTCAAATGAAACAGCTCCAAGAGCTTCATGAGGAAGAAGCAAGGGCAGCATCAGTGAAATTGCATGACGTTAGCAAGCTTGTCGAACAACTGAAGGCTAATTTGTTGGCCCAGGAAGAAGGTATTACGAGCCGAGATGCGTCTTTGGTCAAGTTCCAAGAAGACATGAAATCCTCTCAGAAGCAACAGGCAACGCTTCAGAGTAGCATCGTAGCATTCCAGCAAGAAAAGGACATGCTACAAAGCCAAGTATTGCGATTGACAGGTGATGCCAGGTCTATTGCAGTTGTCGCTGAGAATCTTCGAGTCGAGAAACAAACGCTGGAGCGAAAAATACAGCACCATCAGGAGAAGCTGCAGCAGTCGCAGCACAGGGTCCAGGGACTGGAAGACGCAATGGCCAATATGCAAGAAACTATTCAACAGAAGGAAGAAGAAAACCAACAGCAGCAGCATTATCAACAACAACAGCAAGAGGAAGAAGTCAAGAATCTATCGACTGCCTTCTCTTCCATAGCTCGTGAATTGGAAGATTCCAAGGATGCGGTGACACAACTTGCTGGTGAAGTGATGGCAGCTCGCGCCGAAGCAGATCATACAAACGAGGCACTTGAAGAGTTGAAACAAAAGCACGAACAATATGTGGCGGAACAAAACCATCTTCACGACGAATATGTAGAGCGAGAAGAACTCTTGCGTCTTGAATTGACACAGATTCAGAGTGCCAACGAAGAACGCTTGGAAGAACTCCGTCAAATTTTGGGTTTACGTTTCCGTGACATCGTGGTACGATCCAAGAAGGGTCGCTCTCCGGCAGTAGGCACTTCTCCCTCCACGGTAAAAATTGCTCCCAAAAAGGCGCAAAAATCTGGAAACTACATTCCACCTGTTCCTATTCTTCGCACCGTCATGGGTCTTGTATGATGTGACACCACATTGCTCCAGCCAGACAATCCGAACTCCTCCCTGCTCTTCCTCGTAGGTATGTAAGATATGTGCACCAGTATTTTTTAAATGATAATGATGATACAGTGATATTAGGACGTAACAAATATAATGAATGAATGAATGAATGATGAACATCAAAGGCAGCAATAATGATTGGTCATGTCTACTTCTGCGATGGATAGAGTGGAACCTCCAGATAATATATTTTTATCTCTTCCGAAGTGACGTGTTACTGTATTATTTGGTCGCATCGTGCGCAAGAAAAAAAAAACAAGTCGCAATAACCTGATGCTCGCATCTCATCCTTCCTATCGTATAATATATACCGCAGCACAAACACTAAAGCATCCAAACATTTGCTTGTAACGGAACACACACTGATTCAGTCTCCATATTGGTCAGCACACCTTGGAAATTATTCTGCATACTGTTGGACAACTCACTCATAAGCTGAACCGCAATACTTACTGGTATCTATTACTACAGCACAGACAATCAATATAAGCGAAAGTCAAGAAAATAATGAGAATCCACCCTTTCTTCACAGTCGCAGCTTTGCCGTCAGCTGCTGCATTTGTGGCACGGAATAAGAAAGCTTCACCAAGATCATCAACACTGCATGCAACTACCATCCCTTTCGAAGAAACTCGTGCTAGTGACACCATCGTTCATCGTGAGGGATACGACGCCATGGCGTGGGAAAAGGGATTTCAAAACGTCGAAAGCGAAGCTTGCTACGAACTAGATGGAGAATTTCCAGCTGATCTAGTTGGGACCTTCTTTCAAAATGGACATGCCAAGTTCTACATTTCCGATGACGAATTTCATGTTCATCCATTTGATGCTGATGGTATGATTCAAGCGGTCACATTTGGTAATAAGAATAACAGCAAGGCTTGGTTCCGAAATCGTTACATTCAGACACCGGGGTATCTGCAAGAACTGAAAGAAAACAAAGTATGCAAACGTGGTGTCTTCGGAACAGCACGGAATAAGGGAAAGTGGTGGTCAAACATCTTTGATGTTGATTTCAAGTAAGTTCATGTGCCAAATGAAAAATCTGAACAAAGACAAAATAAATGCTGAAACCCCTCTTCCTTGTGCTACGTGAAGGAATGTCGCCAACACACACGTTCTGTTCATGGGTGATGATGAATTGTATGCCCTTTGGGAAGCTGGGGCTCCTTTTCAGATTGATCCAACCACATTGGAAACCGTAGAAGAGAGTACTCTGTATGGTGCAATCAATGATGGTGAGATTGCTAACAACCGCTATGCTGCCCATTACAAAATTGATCCCATTCGTCAACAAGTCTGTGGGTTTTCCATCTTGCCAGGTGATAAGGATCCAGCCAACACTCACAAGATTTGTGTGATGGAACATGACCGAAAGGACAAGCGACTTTTGTATCAAAAAGCGTATCCCTTTGACGGTTTGGGCGTGGCCCATGACTGCGCTGTCACAGAGAACTATTTCATTTTCTTGCAGGCACCATTCGAGTTCAAACCAATCCCGCTCATCTTGGGTCTGAAGGGAGCTGCTGAAAGCATCGTTTTCGACGAAGAGGCAGAGTTCGGCAAGTTGATCCTTATCCCCCGTGGAGATAACCACAAGGAACCCATTGTCATTGACGTGCCAACCTACTTTTCCTTTCACACATCGAATTCGTTTGAGGACGAAGATGGGAATGTCATTCTGGACATGGTCGTTGCCAAATCGGACTACTCGATGTTGGCAATGGCTGGTGAGGAGACAGGATACCGGAAGCGTCCAGTTTGGGAGGGCATGAACTGGGCCAAGGATGTACCAGCCAACGAACTTTTGCGTGTCACTTTGGACCCGAAGACTTCGAAACTTGTCTCCGAAGTTAGCCTCTCTCCAGACTGTGCAACGATTGAATTTCCTGTCATCAATCCATCAAAGATGTCTCAACCGTACAAGTATGCCTACTGTGCCACTGCCGCCAGTGCGACGGAGATGAGTCCTCTGCAAGGAATCGCCAAGATTGACGTTGAGACTGGAACGCTCTTGGAGAAGTGGCTGCCTGAGCCAGATCAGTATATCACAGAAGTTGCATTTTGTCCCAAGGCAGGACAAGCTACTGACAAGGAAGACGATGGTTACCTAGTAACCTACTTGCTTGATTCAAATAAGAAGTCCAATGAGCTTATCGTCTTTGATGCAGCTAGCCCTGGCAAGGGGCCTATTGGCAGAGCTTCGTTGCAAGGTTGGTGCGTCAACCACTCATTACATGGAACGTTCGTCCCTGGATTTACGCCGGAACTGACGAACGAAGTGAAGGCTAGTTTTGATTCATAAGTGTATAGATATTATACTATAGTGGTGCAATACATGACGTGTTTTCTACTCCTTGCTCTGGTCACCTACCTTGCCAATCGCGCTGGAGCTGGATTTTTGTCGTTGATAGGACCGTCGCTTTCCAGCAGTCTTTGATCCTCTTCTGGATGGCGGACTAATGATATCACCTTGCTTCGACCGCCCAGTCGTCTCGAGCTTGGATGTGGAATTCGAACGCTGTAATGAGTTTGCAACCTGACGAGCTTGTTGTCGAGAGGATCGACGACCAACACGAACAGGGCCTACCGAGCTGTCACGTGTGGGTCTCGACTGCTTATCAACCACAACACGCTTTGCACCTGAATCATTCTTCAGTACCCGGCGGGATACTTTCTTCCTAGGCTCATTGCTAACTCGTCTTGGCGAGTCTGGCCTTTTATCCAGTGGTAGTGGTTGAAGGGCAGTTTGGGGCAAAGTTGGGTCGGTCACAGCCAAGGATAGAATATCTTCAGATGTCACAACTAATGCAGCATCAATTGATCTCTTGACCAGGTCTTGGTTTTCTTTGCTACTTCTACCCATGGAACGGTTGGAATCTGTTTTTCGAAGTCGACGCCTGCTGCCCAGCGAGGTGCTGGAATGCATCCTTGGAATTCTCCTTCGGCCATGATGTTGACTACCAAAGTCGCCGGTTTTAGCACGCAATTCATGGCAACTGCCACTGCGACCCAGGCTTACTTTTTCCTTTTTATCCCCAAGTGAATGGTTAGAATTTGCCTTTTGAATCGTCGGCCTCCCTTTAACATGCAAGCTTGGAAGATGGGAAGTTGTCTTGTTGAGGCCATTTGTCTTGTTGAGGCCATGGCGCTGAATTCTCCGATCCAAGGCAGTTGGTTCTAATTGTGCCAAGTTTGGATTGACAATAGGCGAACGCTTCGGATGATCTTCTTTTGCTCGCTTACCAAGAGGCGAGTGGATGGACTTTGCGTCGCACATTACCGTCTTCCACAACTCATCTGACATGTGCTTTGAACATGATTTCTTTGCTTTTGGGCCAGCTTTCGGAGTCGAAAGTGATAAGAGGATGTCTTCTGCTTTTGTTTTTACAATCTCATCATCGACTTTCCTGGCCGACTTCATTTCAAGCTTGAATCCTTTCAACAAACTTCGTTTGCCTTGCCGCAATGGCGTCCTGGCACCTCCTCCTCCTGGTGGTATTGCTGACTTTTTGCACGATTTTCGTGGGGTCGACATCAGGGCCTCCAAAGCCCTCTCGTTATTTTGGGATTCAGAATGTTCAGTATGAGTACTATTTTGAATGCCTTCACCGTCCGAATCAGCCAAAAATCCCGCATCGGGGTCGGGATTTGTTTTGGACGAAGGCCTCGTTGATTTAGTAGAACCAACAACAAGTAATTCAGCGGTCAGTCTTTCGCTAATATCGAATGTCATCCTCTTATCAAACTCCTCAAGCTTGCGGCTCAAGTCATCAGCATTGTCCTGGCGGGGTCTCATGTCCTCGACCATTCTGATGAGTGTTGATACCGCAACGATTTATTTATCTGCTTCATTTCGCTTCGCGTTGATCTGACCGCATCAAAGGATCTGACTGGCATGAAAAAAATACCCGGTATCATCATCGACACGCGACCCCACTACGGTATATATATATATCATACCGGTATATATATATATACGGTATATATACATGACGCATCAAATATTTTACTGTACTGTATGTTGCAGACCAGAAGTGGGGGCGAGCGCCAGGCAGACGTAAGTATATTATAAAAAAAAAGAACAGCCTGGAGGAGGTCGAACAAGAATAGCCTCCTTGCGGTGGAAAATCAGCTTACGCATGGAAGAATGACTGAATCAATCAATCGTCATCGCAGTCGTGAAAATGACGTGCTTGATCCTACCGGTACATCGTCTGCATCGGAAGTCTCAACGTGTGCAATGAAGATAGAATTCTAATAGTATGGTGCAAGTATTGATATTTCCTATTTTAATTGTTTCAGCTTTAGACTACAGTTTATGCTTTCATGTGATGTTCAAGAAGGAATGTACAAGGAGGAAATACTCGCACCGCGAGATGTCCGCACGATATATACAGGCTGGGGATGTGCTCAACAATGAGTTTCTCTGCTAGCACCTCATTCTTCCAAGTCGCTCTCGTCGTCACTGCTGAAGTCGACCAAACCTTGGCTATTCAGCAATAATAGTTCGGACAGACGGTCGCAGTTGTCTGACAGAAGTTCACTGGTTCTTCGTTGGCAGAGTAACGAGCCTCTCCTTTGGAGCATAGAGCCCCTTCGTTTAGCCACATTGTCATCGGAAGAGCTCAATGGGGAGTCAACGATTCCGAGTGCCGTGTCAATCAAATCGAATCGCGACTTCTCATTGGAATCAGAAAGCAGGTTTCTCATTGGATTTGCAGCAACAGTTGTTGCAGGAAGCCTGCTGGACAGGACGATTTTCCTCTTCATTCCATCACTTCTCTTCATACTAGTTTTGCTGGCATTCATGCTCGTTTGCGCCATGTTCATGTTGTTTGCGGTTGACATTATTCCTAGGATAGGATGCTGTTGATTATAAAAATAAAATAAATAGTTGAATGCGCAGAGGAAAGACGCACAGGAAGAAAAACTCTTGTGTAGAATGAAGTTAGAATTCTCTTTACATCCAGGCTTAGGTGGCGAGTCCTTTCACGATTACAACGCACCGGCCTGCAAATATATAAGCACTTATTGTTTCCATTTCAATTATCTACCGATCTTTTTTTTTTAAAAGTGTAAAGGAACCAACTCCCTGGAAAATGGAGCGAACTATATTTCAAAACGCAGTGGCGCCTCATATATCGGCTGAGTGAAAGGATTGACATGCCCTCTTGGCTTAAAAAAGAAGTCAGTTCCTTTTATGACGTACTTCTCGCTGTTGTTTGGTTACGACCTTATCGAAGGTTCTATGTTATTCCCAAAGCAGCTTCTATGAACACGAAAAGCACAATTGTATGTTTATAGTTGGACCCAACTTCATATCAGAGTGTGATTGAACCAATCCAGCTCAATTCCTCCCTGGAAAATAGAACAACCTCAATGCGAATGTCTTCTTCAAAGGGACGCAGTGAGCAGTGATTTGTCTTCTCTGACCTACCGGTAATCCAAGACAATGCGGTACACACACCATAATTAACCTTGATGCTCCCGATTCACATGTGTTCAATAGAACTACGGTAGGTGCCAACTTCACAGATCCACGATTATCCGCTTTTTGAGCCTGGGTGCAACCTGCACCAACCGGTGGGCTCTCGTTTGCCGCAACCAATCGTAAAAATGCAGTACATATTTATTTATACATACGTAACTAATGTAATGTGCTACGTAATGTGTTTGTTCCGACATGGAAAGCCAATGATGGATAACAGCACTTACCTATATCGAGCGTAATGAAGATAGAAGTTTTCTACCTATTCAGATTTGAAATATTGAATAATTCAGCGTTATTATTACAATTTACAGTATAGCTTTCATAGTATGTTCAAGTTATTTACATCATTGTACATGTTCAAGTTATTTACAAGAGTGTTCGTAGCTACCTGTCTGCACGTTCCAGACAAGTAGGGAAATATGTTTACAAACGTGCTTTGCTCTTAGCCTCTCAGTCTTCCAAGTCGCTCTCGTCGTCACTGCTGAACTCGGCCGAATCGGTTTGGCAATTGCGCATGAGTTCGGACAGGCGGTCGCCGTTATCGAAAAGAAGTTCACTTGCTCTTCGTTCACAGAGCAACGAGCCTCGTCTTTGCACCATGGAGCCCCGTCGTCTAGATACAATGCCATTGGAAGATCTCACTGGAGAGTTGACGATCCCAAGAGCCTCGTCAATCAAGTTGCATCGACTCTTCTTATTTGTATGAGATAGAATTCTGCGCATTGGACTTGCGGCAACAGTTGGTGCAGGAATCTTGGACAAGAACGACTTCCTCTTCATTCCATCGGTTCTTTTCATATTAGTTGCACTGACATGCATGCTGATTTGTGTCATGTTCATGTTGTTTGTGGTAGACATGATGTTGATTTTTACCAAAATATGATGATTTGAGAAATTATGAGTGATGGAGCTTCAGCCAATATTTCGGCAGATTTTTTTTACCGGTACGGAGAATCGGGATCACTAATATATATCCCGCTTTCGGACCGACTGAATTGCCTCCATATTCAACATGATGGTCATTCCCAATTTCCGACCCAATGAAAGTACGTGTACATTAAATAAAAACTCTAGTTCAACCAATCGAGACTTTTTCAAAACAAGCTTCAATACCCATTGGCGCTGCAATGTCAGTGGCGTGTAGCATCTTCATGGACTGACGCTCGCTCGTTTCATTAATTGAAATTGAAAATGCCAGAAGTAAAAAAATAATACATTACAGGTATTTTATACCAACTTCAAATTGAACTAATCAAGAAACTCCCCGGAAATACTGTACTCGTATCCGCCGGCAGGACGAACTTCGATTGATCCTCAAGGGCCTCTCCAAACCGGATAGGGGCTACTGTACATCATCTCGTCGTCAGCTCCTGCAGTGATCTTTTCATCTGTCATGAGACCTCGATAGAGGCACCGTCTTCGGAGACATTTTGCGCTCCAGCGCAAGTACACGTGTACCCTGGCCCCTGCCTGCTGACGTCGTACCGGCCTCGTCAAAAATCCAGCAGAAAGCATCGTACCTGGTAGAATTGCAATGACGATGCAAGTATAGTACAGTATTATCTTGTTAGTCTCTTTCTGATCAATTGATGTTCTGATAAAATACAATCTTTAATTATTACAGTTTATGCTTTCATGATACGACCGAGTGACGAAACAGGTCGGTTGGAAAAATGACTTAACATTTCGCTCGCTGCTTGCACCTTAGTCTTCCAAATCACTCTCGTCATCGCTGCTGAGATCGAACAAACCACCTTGGCTTTTTCGCAAGAGTTCTGACAGGTGGTCGCTGTTGTCTTTCAGAAGTTCACTTGCTCTTCGTTCGGAGAGTGATGAGCCTTTCCTTCGAAGAGGGCCTCTTCGTCCAATAACTCTACGCGATGAAGAGTTGATGATCTCAAGAGCCTCGTCAATCCATTCGCTTCGGGAACTCGTATCAGAATGCGAACGATTGTTGCTAATTGGAATTGCTGCGCCAGTAGGTTTTGCTGGAAGCTTCGACAAAAACAACTTCCTTTTCACGTCATCGACTTTCTTCATTTCATCGGTTCTTTTCCTATTCATGGCACAATCAGTCCTGTTAGTTTGAGCCATATTCATGTTGTTTGCGGTAGACATTGCGTTGTTGTTTCTGTTGATTTCACAAAGAAGTTGATGATTGATTCCGTGTAAAATTTGAATTATGAGAGTGATTTCGAACTTGAGGCAATTTTTGAATCATCATCGGAATCGGGATCGAGATTTCCCGACTTTTTAAATAAAACTGCACGTCAGCTAAAGAGTTTTCCAATTCCCGGATCATTTTTAATAAAAAGCGAGACAAAAGAATGCAGTTGAACTAACCATTATTTTATACATATAATATTATAACAACTGCTGCTGCGAGGGCCATATTAACAATAGCCTTTCAGCGTTCGGACTCGAGAGAAAGATTGGCATTACGGTATCGTGCCAGGCACAAGGTACCCGGAACAGTAGGGTAGACGTGTACCTGGTACACCCGGCTGACTGGACAGAGTGAAGTAAAGTATCGTTATATTACCGTTATTTTCTTTTATGGCGATTGTCATCTGATGCGAGGGCCGACAATAACATTCCGATACAGTAGGAGTAATGTCGGATGATGATTTTATCCGTTTTGATCTCCGAGAAAATAGCAATGATCGTTCTGACTAGCGCACTTCACTCTTCAGCGGCCTTATGCCATGACCTTTCGTTCTGAAGACTGCACCAGCCTGATCATCCAAAAGAGCTACCAGCAACACAGTACTGTAGGTCCAGACTTCGAACTAATTTAGAAAAGTGCTGCGGTATCTTTTAGTAGTTCCTAAATAGCCATGAAGGCCCTGTGTCCCTGGAAAATTGAGCGAACTTCAGTCATCGTTGGCAGAGAACGGGTTAACCTTTGTTCTGCATTTATCCGCCGTCTTCTCTCCTGACGACCTTGTGCAAAGTATCCTAAGTTACCGTGATGCTTCTGGTAAGCACACACGTAAATTTTAGTAACGCCTTGCCACTTCAAAGACTTACGGTCCTTGGCATGGAAAAACGTCCGTGGGCAACAGCCCAACTTCGGCAATCGACATTGGAAGTCTCTACTGGCGTAGTGAAGATGATGATCTATTACATTCGTGTTTACCATTGATTGCATCAGTTATATTGTTACATTCGCATTTACCACTGATTGCTTCAGTGCCATACAACAGTTTATGCTTTCATGTTTCCAAGGAATGTACGATACCGCAGGCAGTGAGGAGCTGGAAAAATGTATTCAAAACTTGTTTCTCTGCTAGCACCTTAGTCTTCCAAGTCGCTCTCATCGTCGCTGTTGAAATCGACCAAACCATCTTGACTTTTTCGCAAGAGTTCTGACAGGTGGTCGCTGTTGTCTTTCAGAAGTTCACTTGCTCTTCGTTCGCACAGCGATGAGCCTTTTCTTCGCAAAGGGCCTCCTCTTCGTTCAGCTACAACAAGAGTGCCGGAAATGTTCTCATTTGTGTTGACCATCCTCAAAGCCTCATCAATCAATTCGAATTGAGACCTCTTGTCACAACGAAAAAGATTGGGCATGGGATCATTTGTACCAACATTTGCTATTGCAGGAATCTTGGATAAAAAGAACTCCCTCTTCATTTCATCGGCTCGCTTCATACCAGTTGAACTGGCATTCATGCTGGTAGGGTCCGTCTTGATGTTCTTTGTGGTGGTCATTGTGATGGCGTATTTGGTGAATTCAAAAATATGTGTGATGATGATTTGAGAATGAAACTGATATGAGGGAAAATGAACTTCAATTTGAAATTTTGTCATTTCTCCTCGGCGAATCGCCAGGATGACTAGATTGATATTTTCATTAAATATCTTTGTAATGGCAAAAACTCCGAAGAATCAATCAAGATCAGATCGAAATAAAACTGAAGTTTTACGATACTGTCTTGGGACCTTCAAGATGATCCTTCCCCATGCGCAAACTCTCCCTCTATAGACTAGAAACTAGACCGAACTTCAATCATCATTTTCTATTGCCAGTTCCTAGATGGATACATTTATCCGTCTTCTCTGACAAACTCATCAAATCTGCTGCTGTACCTTCAAGAAGTTCCCGTGGAATGACAGACAAACTCCTCTGGGGCATTCAATAGCCCCTTGCCACTTCTATGATTTACGATCTTTAGCTTTCAAGAGTCAGGTCCCAATTTCATGGGAGACATCCGTTAGACGTTACTATAGTACCACAGCAATAAAAATCTCTACGTGTGGGTAGTATGATGAAGATGCAGGTTAATTGCATTCGTAGTTACTATTGCCAACGTAAAGGAATGTAAGATGCTCGTACGGTACCTATACCTGGTTCCTGTCTGCACCTTCCTGACGAGCCGGGGAATGTTTTTGTCTCTGCTGGCACCTTACAGTAGTTTTACAAGTCGCTCTCATCATCAAATTGACCAAACTGTTTTGAAGAGCTCTGACAAGGTGACGCGCGCCGTTGTCTGTAAGAAGTTCACTTGCTATTACAAAGTGAAAGGGGAATTGGTGAGATGATCCCAATGTTTCATTCGGTACCGGTATGCGAGAATACGATACTCACAATTTCCGTTTCAATTAGGCCACACAGCCAAAAGAAGAATGTCATTGAACCAATCGAGAAACAAAGAGTCCCTGGAAAATTGGACTTTAGCTTCAACTGCCATTATTGACGTCTGTCTGAAAAGGCACGACATCACCTATTGTCAGTTCCAATATTGACTTTTTTTTCTGTGTTGTACGGTGACCTCATCGAGAGTGATCCTCCGATATCTAGTATGGTAAATAGCCCCGGTGTTCCTGATAAGCACTGTGTTGCCTTCCCAGCTCAAGCCACTCCTAAATACCATGTGTTTGATCACAAGGAATGGGAAATCATCTGTAGGCATCAGCCACCACCTTTGGCAATCAACAGAAAAAGTATCTACTTGAGGTGTAATGAAGATGAAAGTATTGTACATTATTCTCATGCTAGTACTATTTCTTTTTAATTGATTGATGTATAAAATCTTATTGTTACAGTTTATACTTTTCATGTGTTGAAAGGATGTACGATTCCGCAGGCAGAGAGGTCGGTTGGAAAAATGTCTTGAAATTTGTTTCTCTGCTAGCACCTTAGTCTTCCAAGTCGCTCTCATCGTCGCTGCTGAGATCGACCAAACCACCTTGGCTTTTTCGCAAGAGCTCTGACAGGCAGTCGCTGTTGTCTTTCAGAAGTTCATTTGCTCTTCGTTCGGAGAGTGACGAGCCTTTCCTTCGTAGAGGACCTCTTTGCTGTGAAGAGTTGATGATTTCAATAGCCTCGCCGATCAAGTTGCGTCGAGATTTCATATTCGAATAACGATGCTCCTTCATATTCATTCCACTGGCGTTCAGTGCGATTGGGGCCATTCTCATATCGCTGGTGGTGCACATTCTGTTAGTTTGTTGATTTCCAAAAAATAATGAAGATTCGAATTGTGAGTGAAAGGGCTTCAAGCATGTAGACTTCTTCTTGACGGCGAATCGCTCGATTACTTTTTTAAAGGACATACTTCCAATCGACTGACGGAAGTGGTAAACAAATTTCCGTTTCAACTAACGATGTACACGCACCGGTACGAAAGAATACCCGAATTTGAATGTTCGTTGAAGTCTGAAAAGGGTGTCCTGCCTATGGTCCTGCCTATGGTGACGTTTCTTTTATTAGTTTGTTCCCAGAAGTGAAAAAGTCTGCAAAATGTTATTGAAGTATGGTATTTTGATGTCCAGCCTGCTGTACTGGTACCCGGAATGGTGACGTTCCTTGCCATTTGTTCCCAGAAGTGAGCTTCAATATTCATTGAAGAATAAATACACAAGGTCATTTCCTGTGGCGGTGTGTGTACGGATCTGTGCTCTCTGCCTTCATCGGACGATGTTCCACTTATGCGGTATCTATACCTTTTATGTAGCAAAAGTGCCAGGTTCGAAATTCACATTTTGGAGTGCAATGATACCAAAAATTGGGAAACCATTTTAAAAAAAGAGTCCCTGGAAAGTAGGATACTGTGGCGAACTTGAATGAATACCCATTGAAGACTGCAAACAGCTACCATCGTCCTGCCAGCTCCTTTTATAAAAAGGCATTGTCTTTATCCGTTGTTCCCTACCGTACGGTACCGACCAGCAGGTCGGAACTACATACAGCGATGTTGAAGTGTAGTTGAACATGCTGATCATACGCCGACCGAGAAACCAAAAAGAGTTCCTGGAAAGTCGATCGAGCCCAAATGCGTACGGAAGATTTTCTCCTTATTTCTACAACCGTGCCTACTCGATCTGTCACCAGACTTATTACTACCGGTACATCATAAAATCGACATTACCGGTACTACAGTACGTGTACCATAGTCGTTGGCATGCGCAGTTCGATAGCACCGGATGGATTTCACCAAATGGGCGCACCGACGGCGGACAGATTAGATCCCATTGACTCGGATGTGTGAAGAATGGAGAATTAGATTGTGGAAATCATCAAGGTGCGCCAAATCCTTCAGTTGACTTGTTTTTTCCTACTAGACACACTCGTCGTCTGCGTCAACAAAATCAGATACCAAGACACTCTCGATCATGGCCTTGAAGCCTACCACCAATTCCCAAAGTGCTTCGTGTCAATCGAGACATAACGGTTTGAATACTTGGTAAGAATAGATTTTCATTCAATGCTCTTCGCGCAAAAAGGTTCTGATTTTGTTTTCTCAATCCCTAATGCCATGGTTCTTCCGTGCATCGATTCTCCCATGGCACCCTTATTTCACACGAACATCCCGTAACTTTAGGCAAGGTGGGATTCTTTTGACTGCAGAATGCATGGGAACAGGGCTGTTGGCGTTGCCTCATAATGTCAAAGTCTTGGGGAAATGGTTCGGTATCAGCTTCATATTATTCAACTTGTTCATCAATCAGTATGCTGGGACAATTTTGAGTCAGTCTGCAACGAGGGTAGAAGAACGACAGGCCTCACTTCATCCAAAAAAAAGACAGCAGAAAGACAATAAAGACGTCCCCAAAGATAGCACAAATCCTGGTGACATTGAAAACGAACGAACCCCACTTATTCCGGTCGACAACAATACTGACAAAAGTATCAGTAGCGCTAGGTCCACGGTAGTTTCCAGATCCAACTCAATATCGAGTACAGTGGTTGAGAATGAGACCGAATATGTTTGGTTTGACGTGGATGATACGGCCAGTCTACGAGTGGACAAGGAAGAAAACAAGACGACCGACTTTATTGGAATGGCGGCATCCATCTTCCGTGGGGAACATCAACAACACGACTCGCCCGTGGTTGGCTTTGTCATGTTACTGTACTATACCAATGTGTATTTGGTACTGGGCAACTACATTCTGGTAATGTCCCATGCCGTGTCTTCTGTGTTTGGTGGCAAAATGTGCATTCCAATTGCGGGTTTGGTTGCATCGACAGTGATGTTTGGCTTAGCTCAAATGAGAACAATGGATCGGTTGGGAAGAAGCACTTCCATTGTGAGTTTATTGGCAATGTTTATTGTCATTGGTCAATGCGTATACTTTAGTGCTGCCCATCCAGCATCATCAGACGATGCCGGCCATTCGATGGATGCCCTACCTGTGGACCCTACCATCATTGACAAGCTCTCTTCTATGGGAAGCATTGGATTTGCAGTCGGATCACAAAAGCTACTTTTGAACATTCGACATGATCTGGCGGATCGAAGCACGGCGCCACAGAGTCTTGCCATGGCGCTCACAGCCTTTGGAGCAGTCTACGTTTTTGTTTCTCTTTCTGCTGGTGAAAATCCACCTTCTTTTCTGTTCGATGCCATTCCATCAGAAGGCATCCATCGACGCGTGGCAGGTTTGTGCTTGTGGATTCATGTAGCCGTTTCCTATGCCATCAACTCGCAAGCCATATGCTCTTCAATGGATCGGCTCTTTTTCAAGCATTGGGATCCAGTGAGATGTCTCCACGACGACCGCAGATGGATGCTTCTCAGTGGAGTGACGGCTTCTAGTGCCTTTTTTGTGGCCAATTCCATTCCATTCTTCAAAGACTTGGTTGGTCTGACGGGCGCTCTGACGAGCGTACCATTGACACTGCTGCTACCTGCCGTCTATCACCGAAAACTACTTAGTGTTCCAATATGGAAGTTTGATACCAATCACTTGCCATCCTTTGGGCTTATGATATTCTCAATCCTCTTCATGGTATCAGCACTTATTGGTTCGGTGAGATCCATCATGTTAGACTGGGAGAACAACAAGGTTGGGTTTTTTCCCTGTACTCGATAGAGATGGCAGCCGATAGTTTCAGATCATTTGAAATAATTGTACATTACCATCTGGTTAGTGGTGGTCGAAAATGGCCAAAAGTTGCGATATGACTCCCGCGCTTTCATCAAGGACGCGTGGATGAAGATGATCCATTGATGCCAAGAATCATAATTCAAACACTCTACAGTAGCAACAAATCCAGTAGACGCCGGACCATTGGAAAAGGTGACTGAATTAGATCATGATCATGATGATTCCCTTATCGAAAGACCCTTGAAAAGGTTTGGTACATAAACAGTCCTTCTTACGAAAATGAGAAGCCGCGTCATATCCCGGTATCCAATATTCGTCCCATCCATCAGAGAAGGCGAAGAAATCATCCATCGCAAACATCAGATCAATCAGATCATTCATCATCAGCCTTCAATACTTGACAATGTTTCAGATTGCCCAACACGCTAGCCGTCACAGCGCTTCCAAACTTGGGGTTTCCTCTGGCTTCACCTTTGGTGGTCACTTTGCTCGTTCCTTCTCATCCTCCTTGCTGAAAGATTCTTACGATAACTTGTTGGTTTCCAAACATGCCGTCTCGGAAGACTCCGACAACCAAGTGGCGATGATGCAATTGAATCGTCCCAAGGCATTGAATGCTCTATCGGATGCTGTCTTGGACGATGTCTTGCATGCTGCTCACGTTTTGGATAAAGACCCAACCGTTCGATGTCTCATCTTGACAGGATCGGCAAAGGCCTTTGCCGCAGGTGCAGACATTTCGGAAATGAAGACCAAAAACTTTGAAGATGCTTACGGAACTGATATGTTTGGTCACTGGCAAGAATTGAGTCGACTTCAAAAGCCTCTATTAGCAGCCGTTTCTGGTTTTTGTTTGGGTGGTGGTTGCGAAGTGGCCATGATGTGCGATATGATTCTCTGCAGCAAATCGGCCAAGTTTGGTCAGCCAGAGATTAACTTGGGGATTATTGCTGGTGGAGGCGGAACTCAACGATTGACCCGGGCCATTGGCAAATCAAAAAGCATGTACATGCACTTGACAGGTGAATTCATTTCAGCAGAAGAAGCCTACAATAGTGGTTTGGTGGCCAAGGTCTTCCCAGACGATGAACTTATGGACGAAACACTCAAGATTGCCAAGACAATTGCGTCCAAGGGAGTACTGAGTGTACAGGCAGCGAAGGAAGCTGTGAATGCAGCCGAAGAGTTGCCTCTCCAGGAAGGTCTGAGGTTGGAACGTCGCTTGTTTCATTCATTATTTGCTACCAAAGACCAAAAGGAGGGCATGGCGGCCTTTTTGGAAAAGCGGCCCGCAGACTTTAGCTAATTGTCTTTTCTATTGCTCTGACGGTAAATCAATCAGCAGTAGAGAACAAAGCAATCAAAATCTAAGAACCCCAAGCTAATTGAAACGATGATCATTCAAATCCCCAATCGTATCTCTTCCCTGCTATTATTATGCATTGAAGGTGAGGATCTCTTCGTCATCTTTCCAAAATGATCCTCTGCCTTTGTCAATTGGATCCATCATGCCGCAGTAGATGGCGCTTGGTTTATCGCGGTAATGACAGGTAACATTGGCTTGGGCCAAACAACATTTCAGTCCGCCTTCTTTACTGCATTCGTCCGTACCCTTTTTAGTGGCAATTGCCGTATACCATTCTCCCATTTGCTCAAAATATAATCTCTTGTTCTTCTTGTTGGTCGTCCAAGACATGTGGAATATCATCGGCTTGTCGTCGATGGATTTGGTAGTGATCCACTTTTTCATGGCAACCTTGTACCGATGGTATTCAGCTCCTCCTGGAAATTTAGTACTGTCGCCACGAGGAAAGGTTTTGACCCGCAACCCCTTCCAACTGACATGTTCGTTCATGACGGCTACTAGTCCGGCTTGATGACTCTTGACCTTGGTAATGTAGTCGCCATGGCGAAGGAGCATGTTGAAGAAATAAACAGTCTTTTCGTTGTGTCGCACATAGTAGAATCCTTAAAAGAGATGCATGGCAATACAAACGTGAGGAAATTGAATTGACAAGATTACAACCCGAGCCATATTGACTGCAGCAAGCGACATACCAGTATTGGGAGAGTATGGTGCATATCGATTGGATCGTGCACCATCATCTTGAAACATCATGTCCCATTCGGCCAACTCGGGTCCTTCCAAGTACGGCAGTGGATCTTTATACCATACCACGTCAACATCCTGAAAGAGAACATTGAAGCCACATTGCAACACCAAGTGGACGCAGTAAACCTTCGCCATCATCATTTTGGCAAAAATGCGGTCACCGTATCCTCCGGCAGCTTGTTCGGGCATATCCATAAAGACGGATTCGTCGTGGAAGGATGCAATTCCCAATGATTGGGCAAGTTCATGAGTCTTTTCGTCGGTGGCAAAGAGGAACAATTGACTCAAGTCCAAACCCTTGGCCCGGGCATTGCAGACAAAGTTGTGCAAGAGCTCGGATTGGCCGTGATTGCACACCAAGACAATAATTGTCTTTGAGTTGAGTTTTTCTAATTCCACCTTTAGTTCGGCAATGACTCGTTCCAACTGGCCCAAATACTCCACCAGAGTCTTGTAAAAGGGAAGCGTCTGTGTGTCCATGCCTGGAACTCCATTGAAAGCGCCATTTTCGCGATGACTGGTACTAACATACCTCAGAGGAATCGCTGGGTTTTCAGGTTTTGTTCCCTGTTTCTCTAACCGCATGAATTTATGTACATGGTAGGATTCCCATTGTGGCATAACCACCAGACACTGTTTCTTTTTCGGTTTGTTGTCTTGAAGAATGACCTTGACGGACATGCAGTTTTCCGTTGCCGTTGAGGCATTCATACTCATCAGTGAGTCCACATTTTTTGGCATGGTGTTTGCCGATGGGTACAAAATGATGGCATCTTTTGTTTCAGCAGGAGGTTTCATTTCGTCCAAGGGGACTCCGATTTCCAAGATGGAATTCAAGTCCTCTCGAGGGATTGTCCCATAATTGTGCATAAAGTTCTGGAGGGTTGACGGAAATCGATGACCAGTTGTATCACTTGCTCCTTCCTCCTTTTCTTGACTCCGCCTTGAAACAGATGCCTCTGGAGCTGGCTGAGAGGCTGGGCATTCAGGACAGGATGGACATGATGTCGTTTCAACAGGACCCGTCATCTTCATAAGTATTCCAAGGTAGAAGCATATCATCCCAACAACAACATGTGTAATGATTGGAACGACCTGAAATTTACTCTTGCCACCATGGGGGATCCTAAGTGGCCCCGAATTTGGGCCTCGTTTGAACTTCATATTGTCGTTTATTTAGAAGACCGAAGAAAGATAATTGTTGACTTTTGAATCTGTATGTTGGTGAGATTGCGATGGGAATTCTGTTCTTCTGATGAACTCAATCACAGCATTCGAGTATTGTCTTTATTTTCTGATGGCAACGGTAACTGTAGATTTACTCCTGATGCTTTATTACTATGCCTAAACAATCAAGTCAATGGTGAAGTTATTATTATTTTGAAATGTTTGGCATGTTCGGTCATTTGTGTCCACTGGTTCGAAAAAGCTGAATTAGTCCTTTCAATCATTTGAGTCAGTCAGCAGTCGTCATACAGATTTGACTTGCGATTGCTATTGCGCTTACTGTGGTATCATTGATCGTTCAATCTCAATAGATACACGGTGCACGATCACTACCTGTACTATAAGTTATCTTATCTATTTATTTTACATCTTTCGTATATTAGCATTTCTTCATCATCCATCATGCGGTGGCGATGGTGTTGTGTCCGACGTGCTTGCCCAAGTTTTGTTTGCATCCATCCAGTGCGATTTGACCAGACTGTTCGAAGAGTGGACGAAGCTCTTCAAAGCGTTTTTGACATTGCTGGAGTAGACTCTCTTCAACCCAGCAATCCCTCAAGGTCTCCGAAAAGTGCCCCTCCAGTACTTCAAAGTACCGTTCGTTCATTCCCATATGCCACAAGCCGTAGTATTTGATCATGAGTTGGTTCTTTAGAGTCGTGGCTTCTTTTTCAGTTACATCGAGAAAGACGGCATCCAAAAATTGTTTTTGGAGTTGGATCAATTCTTGCAAGTCAAGATGGCCAAAGAAGTATTCCAGTCGGTGATCTTTTTGAATGTTTTCACAGTATTCAATGACGACAAATTCATATTGACTCTGTCCGCCAATCTTTTCAATGAGGTCGTCCTTGTATTTCATATCTTTCATGGTCGTTGTTGTTTTGTTTCCTTTTTTGTGTTTTGTGAGCAAAACTGTCAGTTCGAGTCATCGCAAGGAAGACAAAGAATATGTTTCGATCCGAACCTACGTACAAAATCTACGAGGGTGATCCGAACTCTTTCGGTGTTCTTTGAGAAAGAAAAAAGGTCAACGAGAAATGCGCGGCACTCAAAAAGTCATTCCTCCGTACCTGGTACCAGTATCGTACTGTAGTTGTGGCATTTTGCACTTGCTCTACCGATGTACCGGGAGAAAAATGCCAGAGATGCTAAAAGTCGCAGTTTCGTTTTCAAGCATGCCTGACCAACCAACAACCAACCAACCATACAAGTGAATAAAAATCAGAAAGCTACAGTACAGTAGTAATAGGAAAAATAAATGGAAACTGTGTGATAGTTATTTGGAAGCAAACTCATTAAACTCGGCGTCATACCAGTTGTTTGCAACTATGTGTACGAAATATTGAGATATATGAAGCGTTGGCTGGGGTGTACGGTAGTCGAGACCAGCGTTGTCCGACATTCTGATCCGTTTTGAATTGCCATTATTTCCCCATTGGTTGTTGATCCATCATCGGTATGAGGATTTGACGGGAATGTAGCCAAGCCCAGTGTTTCGATAAACATGTATTGTTTTGCAATGGTGAAGTCTTCAATCGAAGTTCCTTATTCAAGATCGTCGTTGGATTCCAGTAGCTCCACCAGCCTGACGACGCAAGGTATTCTTGGTTCGACTAGTCGTTGTTGCTGTCAGCTGAATGCGATCGACAGCGACTTGCTTTTCAGTTTTCTTGGGTGATATGAGATTTCCTTTGTTCTGAAACAATGGACGCAAGCTCTCATAGTGCTTGTCAAAGAGTTTGACGAGTTTCTCGTCGAACCAGCAATCCCTGAGCGCCTCCACGAGGTGCGCCTTTAGGATATTAAAGTATGCTTCGTCCATACCCATTTGCCATAGGATTTGGTATTTCATGACCAAGTAGCCCATGACAATCTCTGTCTCCGCCATCGGGAGATTCAGTAATGCTCCGTCGAGAAAGTCTTTTTGCAATCGGATCAGGCCTCTGAGGTCCAAGTGGGCAAAGAAAAACTTGACGCGATGATCCTTTCGAATTCTCTCGCAATAATTGATGACAGCAAAATCATAATGCCTTTGTCCACCAACCTTTTCAACTAGAGCGTCTTTGTAGTAGCTCATGTTTTGTCGGTCCATGTCTGCGTGGTCCATGATACCCTTTTTTTGTTTTGGTGGAAAGTGATTTTGTGTGGACGGTATCTTGTCGATGTTTCTGAAACTTGAAATGTCTTACGATCAAATGTACCAGATTCCTACGAGTTGAGAAACTTGTGAAATATCCTGATGTTCAAACCTCAGTCAATTGGACGGTAGTTTTACTCGTAGAGAAAAGGCTGGATGAACCATTTACTTAGATACTGGCACTGCGGACATTGTACGCAAAGCGCTTGTTTGATGAAGAAATCACACATTTATGCGTTTAGAAGCCGACCATAAGTAGATTCTAAGACCACCGTGAGATTTTTATAAATGGGACAGTTGTGATTTTGCGTCTTTCTGGTTGGTTGATTTCTCATTGTTCTCAGAAAAAAATCAAACCAATGAGCTGTGAAACAGATACAATCGCCCCCGTCTCATAAATTTGAGTTCTTACTGATAGGTCGTACCAAACAAACACACAAAACACCCAGTTTACACCAACAAGAACGTCATGTCTCAGTCTACATTCCCGTACCGCCTGCATCAAGTCTTGGCCACAGAAAGCAAGACAGGTCAACCAGATTCCAGCAGCGTCATCTCGTGGACACCCAGTGGGAATTCATTTCGAATTCATGATCAAAATGCTTTCGAGACTGAGATACTGCCAAAATACTTCCCCAAACAAAGCAAGTACGGGTCATTCCGAAGACAGTTGCAGTACTATGGTTTCACCACGTTGGGATTGAATCATTTCGGTCACCCTCTCTTCATCAGGGACCAAGAAGAACAGCTGATCCACATCAAGCACAAGAAAGGTCAAGCTACCCAGGCCAAGAAATCAACTACGAAACAAAAACAAAAGAAGGAGAGACAAATCGACGCGACACCATCGTGCTCAAAGATCGCCAATCATCTTCGTGGGGCTCAGTCTCGATCTTCTCAGCATCTTCGCAACATGAAGCATTCTCAGCAAGAACAAGCTTCAAAACAGCTCATGTTGACAAGGAGGCAGCTTGATCTCGATTTACTATTGGCACTTCAACAACGAAGAGGATATATTCCATGCGCCAAACAGCAGACCCTTTTGTCTCAGCCACGAAGCACGGACTACAGCACAGCCCAAATGAGGGTTGACCCCGCTTCTGCGTTCATTCAACTCGCTCGTATGCAACTCGGCCTTTAAAGTTCATGGTTTCCATGAGGAACAAACTAGTTATAAAGATATAATATGAATTGTAACCGTACATTAGGTGATTCTCAAATGTGTGTACTATAGCCACATAGGTAGTGTATTGCTAGACTTATTGTTAGTAGAATGAAATTTTGGCGAGGCTTTCAGGCTCTTTTGATTGTACTCGTGCTACAATAGTGACGTACGTTATTTCAGATAAAAATAGTACTAAAATAGATAGATATAGTATAGATAGATAAGTCTGCAAAATGAAAAGCAATGTTACATAGTTAATACAGTAATTCTTTACATTCGCTGGTGGTGTCCAGCATGAGTGTTCTTGCTCAAAGGAGTTGGTCTTTGCGCAATAGATGGTCGGACGCTTTTGCTGCTTTGTTGAAACAAGGGAAGCAATATGTTGTATTGTGTGTCGATCATTTGGACGAGGCTCTCTTCGACCCAAGAGTGTCGCAGGGCCAAGAGAAAGTGAGCCTTCATTGCTTCAAAGTGCGTTTCGTTCAATCCGAGTTGCCCGATTTGGTAATTGACAGCCAGACGGCCCATGGCCGCTTCGGTCTCTTGGGGGGAAGCGTCCATAAAAGCGACCTTCAAGATGTCAGTTTGCAATACAATCAGACCTTTGAGGTCGACTTTGGCAAAAAAGTGTTTGATGGTAGGATCTTCTCGAATGCTCTCGCAATAGTTCATGACAACAAAGTTGAATACTGATTGTCCACCGACATCGTCGATGATATTGATCTTGCCTTGTGTCATTTTGTGTTTGTAGCTGTCTAAGTTTGTCTGTATTAGATATATATGTGAGGAGGTTTCGAAAATGGGTGCACATTGGAACAACACGATGATCCAGAGAACCTGACCAAAATGTCTCACGATTACAAGTACCACGTCGAAAAGTGGAAGATCGAGTGACAGAAGGGAACGCGAAAACATAGCCTGTCTGAAAGCTGGCGTTTCGCAAGATTCTTCATTCGCGACTTCTACAGTACCTGGTCGTAGGAATAACAGGATCACTCTGGATGCCAGCGCGAATGAACGAATGAATCTTTGATGAATCTGTTGCGGCTTGACCACACGAATTCGAGTTGGCGGAGTTGTCATTCGTCATGCTGTGCCGTGCCATTACTCGACACATCAGCAGCTACTACTGTACCGGTAGAGGATAGAAAGCTAAGATTCCTTTTGAAATCAGTGAAGTTCTTCTCCCTTTGCCGTGCTTCTATTAGTTACCATACTAGTTTCATGTCAATTTACTCTATAGAATCTCATTAGTTGAATTGATAATTTACATTTACATTTACAGTACTGTTAAGTTACAAGTCAAGGCAGTAATGTTGCTTTGTAGATTCATTCGACGGAAGGAATCTTGTTCAAAACCGTTGGATTCCGGCAAGATTGGTAACTCCGCGATCGAAGCTTCGAATGGCCCTCGGCCTTTGGGCAGAGGGGGCTGCTTTATCAACAAAGTTGATACTTTGTTGAAATAGAAGACGCAAACCATCAAAGTGCTTTTCGGCCATTTCAACTGCCGCCTCTTCGGCCCAGCAGCTTCTCAATGCCATGACAAAGTGCGCCTTGAGCTGTTCAAAGTTAGTTTCTTCCATGACTTGTTGCCATAGGAGCGGATATTTTACTGCAAGGCCAACGATGGTTGCTTGCGCTGCTTGTGATGAGGTGTCCATGAATGCGGCATTCAACAGCTCCTTTTGCAGTCCAATCAGACCATCGAGTTCCAAGTGGGCAAAAAAGGAATTCAAACTGTAGTCATCTCGGATGCTCTCGCAATAGGTGATGACGACAAAGTCGAATTGGCTTTGTCCGCCGATCTTTTCAACAATGTTGTCCTTGTAAATCAAAACGCTCATGATGTTGTGATGTGTGTGTATGTGTGGAGTTGTTCTAAGGAGTGTGTGCGTTTGGATGATTTCTGGTTTTATGATATGAGAAACACCAGTTTTCAGTCTGGGAACGCCAATTGTAAAGTGTGGGAACCAAATGCTCCAGAGAATCAGACTAAAATGTCCTACGATTAGAAGTACCAATCTACACGTGAAAGTTCCGTAAGACAAAACGGTGGGTTCCGGACATTCTGTCCTACATACAGAGGTTTCTCCGCAAGAGTCACTCTCCGAATGAATCCGCCCCTAATCGAGAGTTTTTACTGGCTCCGCATGAGTCCTCAGTCTGTCCAATGTCCGTCACTATTAGTTGCAAAAGACTTTTTGATACGAAGTATATGTTTGGAGTGGGGAACAATACCATAAGCTGTATAATACCTGGTACCACCAGTACCATACCAGGTAGTGGCAATACCTGGTACTGTACCTCCTCTCACGACGGCCACGGTTGGTACGGTAATGTAGATGAGAAATAGGAGGAAAGAAGACTTTTCTGTGAAGCAAATGCTGCTGTGCTGGGTCGTTTCCTCCATCTTTCTTTAACTTGTTTCGTTTGAGATACTACGATACTATACTATTATAGCTAGTATAACTATTGGCGAACCAAATTAGGTAACTTCTAGCTAGATGATGTGTATGATGGTAGGTAAATACTGTAGATGGTGCATACTATAGTACTAAACTGTTCAATTATACTGTAGCAATATTGTGTTAATACTGTACAAGTCAAGGTGATGGTGGTACCGTTTCTGAAATACAGAAACTTATTATAGTCCTCCAATCACGGATTCCATTAAAAAGCTGACTTGTTAGAGGGTGATGATGATGCATAAGCAAGATGAATGAATTGTGAGATTCCAGCACCTAGTGTGCTAAGAATCAAGGTGGCGTCTTTTCGGAACTCATGGTCGGATAGAACCTTGTTCTTAAGTCCGAACTCCATTCTTGTTGGCTCCAGCTTGATCCAAGGTGCGCACCGTCCTTGTTGACCATTGCTGGACAGGGGATGCTACTCCATTCTTGTTGGCTCCAGCTTGATCCAAGGTGCGCACCGTCCATGTTGACCGTTGCTGGACAGGGGATGCTACTGCTGCTGCTGCTGCTGCTGCTTTACCGGCAAACTTGTCACTTTGTAAGAATAGAAGAAGCAAATTGTTAAAATGCTTTCCAGCCGCTTGGATCAATTCTTCTCCGGCCCAGCAATCTCTCAGAGCCATGATGAAGTGCGTTTTAAGCTGTTCAAAGTGAGTTTCGTTCATGCCCTTTTCCCACAGGATTTTGTGTTTGACTGCCAGCCGACCAATGATGGTATCTGTTTCTTCTGGTGAGTTTTCAATCAGGGCGGCATCCAACCATTCCTTTTGGAGTAGAATCAGACCATCGAGGTCCAAATGGGCGAAGAATCCACCCAATCGAGGATCTTCCCGGATGCTCTCACAATAGGTCATAATGACAAAGTCAAATTGACTTTGTCCTCCAATCTTTTCGACGATGTTGTCCTTGTAAACTAGTGTGGTCATGATGTGCTGCGTAATTTTGTGATAATTTGCGTGCTGTTTCGTAGTAATGAATGAAGAGGTAGTTTGGCAGAAGTTGTGGTTCGTTCGTGGTTTGTGACGGAGTTTCTGCTCGAATGAGAAAAGTGAATCAATCAATCATTTCAATCCCGGTGACGCCAGCCGTGTCATAAGCACGGGTGTTTCGTGTTGATAAATTCAAAACATCCACCAAAACGTCTTACTTGAAAATGTAGCAAGAAAAAGCTACTGAGAGGTCGTCCTTTCGAGCTATCACGTTCTAAGAAACTCGAGCGGACACAAAGATCGGACATTTCACGTCTTTTGAGCGGTCCGAATTGTCTCAGAGGTTCGCCATTCTAACGCTTCCTAACGGACGTCATCATGTGACTGACAACTCCGAACCCTACAGTACTACCGGTACGTGTACAGCAAGACCATTTTGAATCTCTTCACTGCCTTCTGCGTTACCTCTGATCTACACGTACTGGTACTGCAAATGAGTGGAAAGTAATGAAATGTACTTGTAGTTTCTTTTTTAAATGAATTAGAATTGTAAAATACAATAGATGCATTGGTCCTATCCTTGGTCCTAGGTCCTACCGACCGTTTCATTTGAGTTTCAAAAACCTTTAGAGCTCAACGAATGTGGCCGAATGTTCACCTTCCTGACACTTCAGAAAAATGACGGTTTGTAGTGACTATGATGGATGCATGCATGAGTGCATGGAGTAAGAGCCGATACAACCCCTCTTCGGTACTTGTTCCTTTGTATATGTGTGTAATGATATAGCCTTGATGTTGATATGTATATATATATATATATATACATATATGTATAAATATGTGTATCTGCCCTCGCCGCTGTTTATGTTCTTGGATTTCCGGGCATTCCAGCACCCAAACGATTATTGCGCATAACGCTTCGTTGAGCCATGGAACTGTGAATGTGAATGCGCTCGGCAGTGTCTTTGTTATTGGTCTTGCCACCAGCTTGTTGGAATAGCGGTCTTAGACTGTCATAGTGCTTGTCAAAGAGAGCAACGTACTTCTCTTCGACCCAGCAATCGCGAAGGGCTTCGATGAAATGTGCCTTTAGCACATCAAAGTGGCGTTCTTCAAGGCCACTCCACAAGTGTTGGTGCTTCATGGCCAAACGGCCCATGGCAGCTTGTGCTTCTTCTTGATTTAGATCCAACAAGGCAGCGTTCAAGAATTCTTTTTGAAGGTCAATCAGACCGTTGAGGTCCATGTCCGCAAAAAACGTTTGGACGCTGCTGTCGTCTTGAATGCCTTCGCAATACTTGATGACGATATACTCGAATTGGCTTTGTCCGCCAACCTTTTCAACGAGATTGTCTCTGTAGTTGTTCATAATGCTCATGATGATATTGTTGTTGGTGTGGTTTGTGCTTGCTTTTCGTTTATCTTACGAATGGAATTGTGCGTGGTTTGTGTGATGAACGAATTTGTCGTATCAAAAGTTTGTGGGCGGAGTTGAAAAAGTCGTTGTGATTCGAAATGCGCTGACGATTTGTCCTACGATTACCATAGTACCAGGCATACACGACGTATGTCGAAACCAAAAAAAATGCGAATTAGGATGAGAAAGCAAAGAACAACCCGTTACTTATGTTCCCATTCAGAATTATGACATAAAGTGTCTTGCCCTTGTTCTTTTAGGATTCAAATATGGCCTTCATTCGCCCCAATGCGACAAAGAGAAAAAGTTTCTTTTGGGAAGTCGGGTGTCCAAGTTGGGACAATAAGCAAACGAGTGGAGATTTTGTTGACTTTCGATCAGAAGGAATTCATAGCCACTCGATCAAAAGCTGATATATCTACCCCAACAAGGGGGCGTCGATTATTGGATACCACGGTACCGGTAAGTCAATGGAAGAATGCGTCAACTGGTATCAAAATCCATGTCCAACGTCTTGTTGCAACGAGGAACGAAAAATGACGTACTCGACCGACAAGGAAAGTGAAACAAGCCGATAAATCCGTAAGGGGTGCCAGAAGGGGAGACATATTTTGATAGAAATTCCATTCTATAGAAGCATTCTACCATTGCGTTGATTTTATCTACCATCATGCATGATCAACACGTTGTGTTTCTATCCATAAGGGGCGCCATAAGGGTAGATAGTAGTAAAATCAGCTCAATGGAAGAATGCTTCTATACAATGGAATTTCTATCAAAATACGTCTCCCATCATTCATGATCAAAACCAATCAATCAATCAATCAATCAATCAGTTAGTGGTGTCAATGGCGCCCTTTTCATCATGCGCGGGCCATTTTATAGGTATAAAAGTACTGGGAAAGTCGGTAAATTGTTTTCGTCGAGCACTATACCTGTACCGGTATATCTGGACCTCTCATCAAATTCAAAATGCCGTCAACTACCGCAGGAATTTGAAATTCTGCACTTTCAAATTCTGCTATTCCAGCACTTCCCACCACCCAATTTGAAATTAGTCTCATATACAGTATATTTCCTCTTTCCATCTCTGTCAACAACAAAAAATCAAAGCACTTCATAGAGCAAGCTTGATTGATTCAGTACATACTGGTACACTCCTTTATTGCACTAGAATGTCGGTGTTGCGTGAAATGATTGCGGCTGGTCCAGGATGTGCGTTGGCCAACGGAATGTTGAATGGTCTGGAAACGACCAAAGTGAAAATGCAGCTTCACAATCATGCTTCGCCAGTATACCACAACCTTACGACACAAGGAGTTATGAAGCAGATCATTCAGGAGGAAGGTATCATTAATGGTTTACTAAAGCCTGGTCTCAGTGCGTCTCTGACAAGGTCGATGCTGTATGGTGCCTATCGAGTTGGGTTGTATTCCACCGCACGTGATTACTTGGGTGGCGATTCCCCGCGGTTATCCCATCGGATCGTCAGCGGTATGTTCACCGGAGGCCTGGGTGCAATGTTGACATGCCCGCTGGATGTCATTCGAACCCGCATGCAAGCCGATGCCGGTGTCATTCGACGAGGGGTCTATCAGACGGGACTTCGCACAGGATTTCCAGTTCGGTATGGGACTTTATACTCCACATTTGTGGCAATTCTCCAAGGAGAGGGATTGCGAAATGGTTTGTACAGAGGTGCATCTGTCACGATCGCTCGTGCATCGGTATTGAATGGTGCGCAACTGGCTAGCTACGATAGTCTGAAGCATGTTATTCCATTGCCAGAAGGTCCATTCCTGCACATTGTGTGTGCGTTTTCGAGCGGTGTCATTGCGCAATCCGTGGTCATGCCAATGGATACAATCAAAAGTAGTTTGATGATTGGAGAATCTAGACAAAGAGTTGTGGAAGCAATGATGAAGAATGGTGGTATACGGTGGTTGTATCGAGGTACGTTAAGTGATACGCGCAATTTGTTTTTTGTTTTTAGGTGGCTTCGATCTAAAAGAAAAAGTGCAATCCTATTTGTGTTTCCAGGCTATTTGCCCGCATGTGCTGGTCAAGGACTGATCATGGTGTTGCAAATGCCACTCATCGAACAATTTCGAAAACTGCTAGGTGCACAGCCAATTTAAAAAGAAAAGGAGTCAATCAATCAATCAATCAATTAATCAATCCATCCATCATCCTTTGGAGCAATACAACGTGACTCGCTGCAGTGAGAATTCCTGTTTTCGGCTGTTCTTCATTTTTAAAATCTGTGAGAATGAAGATGGAGAAGATGGTTGATTTGATTTGAAACGAAATATACATTTGAAATCTAGTAGAACCGGAAGTATGGTGCAGCAGGTTCTGATGATAAAACATGGATCACGATGTTTTTGACACAGAACAACAAGAGTCATGCATTCCAATTGCTATGGTACAACACTCTGGAGAAATTGCGCATATTGGCTTTCTGCAGGAATACAAAATATTTGAATTCTACAACACAGTGGTACATGAGTCTGATGCTTTGGAACCCAAAGCATTTTGGGTTATAAAATTTCAGTAAGGAGTAGTATAAACAATAGTATGAGTTGCACGAAATGCTGTTTGCCTCGTCTTTCAGGAAATAGTAGTAGAAAGTTTTGTTGTTGTGTATGCAGGAACGTCGCGAGACATCAGCCAAGCCGTGACGATCTATGTTTAGGTACACAGAAATGGAATGAAGCATAAAATTGAAATAAAAATTTATTAGGAGCTCATTAGGGATTTGTATTGTGTTGTTCATAGATCAAAGCAACTTCGCCGCTTCTCAAATAATCGAGGTGCCAATGAATCAATACTGCTAATTGATTGCTGGCTGGCTGTATCATAGATATACTTCAAAACTTTTGTATGGAGTAGAGCCCAATTTTAATTGGGCTCTAGTCGATACTGTTCTCCTGGTGAGTTTTTTTTTTAAAATGTTCAAAATGGTATAGGAACACACACACACGCAAGTGTGCTCAGGTTCGTGCATTTCCATTGGGGATTCTACCCAAACGGTTGGTGCGAGTACCACCAGCACTTCGTTGGGCAATACTAGAGATATGATGGTGCAGGCTGACAACTTGTTCTTGGATTTGCTTCTTGTTGGGGGAAACCTCATGGAACAATGGTCGTAGACTGTCAAAGTGTTGGTCAAAGAGGGTAATTAGATTCTCTTCGACCCAGCAATCTCGGAGAGATTCAATGAAATGAGCTTTCAGGGTATCAAAGTGACGTTCATTCAAACCAGATTCCCACAAGTCTTGGTAATTGACTACCAATCTTCCCATGGCAACTTCGGTAATGTGAGAAGGAAGGTCCAACAGGGCGGCACTGAGAAACTCCTTTTGTAGTTCAATGAGACTGTCGTGTTCCATGTCTTTGAAGAAGAGTTTCAGGCTCTGATCTGCGGTAATGTGCTCGCAATATTTGATGACGATAAAGTCAAATTGGCTTTGTCCGCCAACCTTTTCAACGAGATTGTCCTTGTAGTTCATGTTGATTTGCAGTTGTGACGAGTAGGGTTGAGTTGGGTGCAAACCAAAAATTATGCAACATTCATAAAAGTGAGACGAATTTGTCAGATGATCCGACCGAATCTTGTGCAAACACTCTTGTAACTGACTGACGATATTTGCACGATTTGTCTTACGATTAATACTTAGGGCAGTAAGATTCTTAAGATTTTTAAAAGCGGTGTTTGTTTATGTTATGTTCGCAGCCATTAAACAATGTTCGAATGTTGAAAATGTCAGAGAATTCTCAACCATCATTCGCACCGAGCACCACGTCCAAAACTAATTAAGGTCGATGCCCAAAATTCTTTGGCAATGACGGAAGCGATAATACCACGCCAAACAAATTGACCCAAAACTCTTCGGCTGCGACGGAAGCGGTTACCGCTCTGCTGATCATTCTTGTGTCCATTCATCATGAGCAGAATTTTGCAAGGGACTGCCTGGGCCTGCGACTCCACGTACCAGATTCGATACAGTATCTGGTACAGTGGTTACCTGGTATTATATATCCCTTAACGCTTCGATTTTATCCGATATATTATATCGGATATAAAAAAAATTACGCACTACTATTTACACCATACTACTACAATAATAAGCATTAAAATGATCATTACAAAGGGACAAATCTAAATATGAATACTTCCTAGCAGGTACAGTAAGCTTAGTTGTCGCTGTAGCTCCATTTTGCTTCTCCAGAGCCTTCTGATAAGCGAAATCGGCCACATGGAGTTGCTCATTTCCTTTCTTGATAGCAACAGTGTGCTTTTACTGTTTTCTACTGAATCTAGGCGCAGGAAGCCATGGCTTAGATGTGGCAATCATTCTAAACGTCTTCATTGGTGCTCCGCTTGGTATATTGTCACATAATGCGTTGGCCATGTAACTCTGCCACAACGCAATTGCCAACAGCCTACTTTGCAGGATTGACAGCCATGCAAATACAGTTACACACTGCAATCAACACTAGAATCACTTTCGAATGACTATCCTTCACCCTTGAAGGTGCTGGCCTTTGTCTTGCATGACTATTTACATTCGGGATGACGAGCAACATACTCAGATTTTTTTGGTCCATCAGACCACCAAATTGAGCCGCATGGTCCTCTCCCATGCCTATTGCACCTTCTGATAGGGCCGAGAAGTGCCATTGTGATAATACATATCAATGGCAAATGGTAGGGTGGAAGAATATGCCGTCTTCATGACCTGACAAGACAGTTTTGTGTTGGTGTCAGTTTTGGGGCAAATGGGTCTGTCCGACTTCGGAGGTTCATCCTTGTTTCTGTGATGGGCTGAGATATAACATGTAGCATACCGATGAATTCCTTATTTCACTGGCAATAAACTTATTTATGGCAGTAAAAGGTGTATTTGTACGTGGCGGAAGTTATTGCGTGAAATGTGTGCAATTTTTTTTTATCCGATATATTATATCGTCTAAAGCGTTAAGGGATAATATCCTTCCCACTGGAAAAAAAAAGTCAAAAGAAATGTAGCATCCTGTAGCTGTTTGGTACGCACCTACAGTACCTACTGTATCTGGTAGATGCGAGATGATATCGAATGTATCTACCTCGTCCAACTGCAGAAGCTAGATGCTGGATCTTTCAACCTCTTGTTTCAACCAGCATTAGTCAAAAGTACTTCATTCAATATAGCAGCAAGTGAAATAGCCCTAGGCTGTCATGTGAGATGACTGTTTTCAAGAGCCAGAACGCCAAAAAGACGATGTCGCAGCCATTTTTAGCCATTCTGACGGTTGTTGCTTGTTTGTTGTCCTACCGGTATGTACTACAGTAGAGTACCAGGTACAGCATATGAATATCGAGCTGAGAAAGTAGTCGACCGACTGACTCGAGAGGGGCGAAATAAATCTCTCCCCTAAACTAAAAACACATTGAATCCTCCCTCAAAACAGTCTCAATCGGTCCAACCGTTGTGCGGTGGTTTTCAAATCTCCATTGCGATCATCATAGCACGCATCGCATTTGTGATTGCTGTGCAACAGTTAGTTTGTTCAATCACATAGAAAAGACAATGGCATTCAACTTTGGTGGTGGTGGTGGTACACCCGCTCCTGCTCCTAGTGGTGGGGGAGGATTCTCGTTTGGTGGTGCTGCTCCAGCGCCAGCAGCACCCGCTGGAGGAGGAGGCTTTTCCTTTGGAGGAGCAACACCCGCACCTGCTGCCGGAGCTCCACCAGCAGCTCCCGCCTTTGGTTTTGGTGGTAATGGTGGTGGAGCTCCTGATGCTTCAGCACCTGCTGGTACTGGTGGTGGAAGAGATCAGAAACGTGCCTTTGGTGGAGCTGAGTTTGGCGGGGCTGCTCCAGCGGGTGGTGGTGGATTTAGTTTCGGAGGAGGAAGTGCCCCTGCTCCGGCGCCTCCAGCAGCAGGGTTTTCGTTTGGTGGAGCTGCTCCCACGCCCACACCCACGCCTGCTGCAACCCCAGCTCCGGCTCCAGCCGGAGGTGGATTTAGTTTTGGTGGTGCGGCTCCAGCAGCACCTTCTGCTACTCCAGCGCCCGCTCCAGCTGGCGGTGCTGCTGGTGGTAGCTTTTCCTTTGGAGGAGGAGACAAAACTCCAGCTCCGGCACCTAGTGCTGCTGCTGGTGGATCCTTTTCCTTTGGTGGAACAACAAGTACCACTCCAGCTCCAGCAGCCGGTGGTGGTGACGACAAGAAAGATGACAAGAAGGTTGGATTTTCTTTTGGTGGGGGAAGTTCTACTCCAGCCGCTACTACTACTACTGCTGCCCCGGCTCCCGTCACAACTCCGGCGGCGGGTGGAGGTAGCTTTTCCTTTGGTGGTGCCGCTCCCGTCACTCCCAAGGCGTCGGGTACACCAGCTCCAGTAGCGACGCCAGCTCCAGTGGCGACCCCCAATCCCGGAGCAAATGCAGGAACTCCAGCTGCCAGTAGTAGTACTACCCCTGCTCCTGTGAATACCCCAGCTCCAGCACCCAAGGCTCCCGAACCCGCTGCTCTCGAATACCAGTCTCTGACTGTGGAACAAATTTTGAACAAGTTTCAAAAGGAACTCGAGCAGGATTCCGTTGCCTTTTTGGATCAAGCCAAGCGGGTTTGTGAATACGATGCCATTTTGAGGGATTCCCAACGTGATTTGGCACAAATCACCGATCAGACCCAACGACTGCTGTTGGAACAAGAACAAATGGAAAAGGCATTGCAGGGCATTGATTCCTTCCAAGTCGAATTGTCTTCCACATTGGATACCGTTTCGGGACATGTTGACGAACTCTTTGCCAGTCAATCTCATTTGGCTCCACAAGATGCCGATGTCGAACGAGAACGAGCCTATCAAATGTCACAAACCATTGCTCAACGACTGGACGAATTGGAAAATGGATTGGGGGAGACCATGAGGACTCTTTCGGATCATGCGAGTGACATTAGTAGTGGTCCCAATAGTTTGTTGACGGTTCTGAATCAACATCAAGATGCTATCTTGTCGTTGGAAGGAGCAGCTGTCAAGTTGGAAAGGGACGTGAATCATGTGGGACGGATTTTGGCCGCTAGCAGTCGATAGATGAATCAACTCCAAGCGGTTGATTGGGAATGTCGATTGGGAGATACGTGTACTTTGTGCAAAACATCATCTGGTGTAGCTTGTCTAGTAGCTAATGTATGCGAATCAATCAATCAATCAATCAATCAATCAATCATAATTCAAGGCTAATATTTTCAAAATATTACAGTACAAATGGCAGCATCTTTCTCTTGTAGAAACTTTGTCCTTTGCTACAGCGGAATCTGGATAAAGTGCAGGCATGAATCCCGTGCACCAAAAACAATGGTCTTTGACTTGGAAAGGAAGACTGGGGTGGACCAAATCTCTGCTGGAATCCGATGCCGCCATAGGATTGTCCCATTTTCAGAATCCAGGACTGCTACATCACCAGCAGTAGTAGTAGCAGTAGTAATAGTGGCCACTTTAACACTTTTGTCATTGCCATCCTTCCATTGAATGATTGTCGGTTTGGCGTAAATGGAAGCACCAATTGGTGTTTCCCATACTGGTACTCCTTTTTCAGAGTCCAAGCATCGAATTACTCCATCATAGCTTCCAACGATATATCGGTTGGCATTATTCGGCAGTCTGGTCATGGAAGAAAGGGGGCTACTGGAAGGCTGTTGGGTCATTTGGACTTCGCCCTTTTCCAAATTGACTAGATGGGCAATGCCATAAGAACCAGCGATCCAAGCAGTCTCGTCGTCGACTGGAAGCATACCCTTGTGCACCGGACCAATTTCGTACTCCAAGATTTTGGTGATACTTCCATCAGCAGTATTGATCATCATTAGACAGGCGTCCCAATCCGAACTCGCGTAGGCCAAGTGGTTCGATCCATCATTCTTTGAAACGACCAATGGGCGCGTACAGCATGGGTGAGGCAACACAACTTCAATGTTTATTACCCGCGTCCCGGATGCGACATTCAAGGCAAGAACTGTAGATCCTGCAAGTACCCATAATTGATTTTGAAGCAATACAGGTGCAGTCTTGACGGGTCCATCCAGGACTTCTTGTTCCCAATGAGTTGTGTTCAAGTCGGATGAGAGAACCAAGATCATTCCTTTACCATCCATGGAATGGGCAGCGACAACAAGCCTTTTTGAATCCTCCAAATAAAGTAAATCGGCTTGAATCATCCATCCGTGAAAATACCTGTGGGCCAATATGGTACGACTTTCTGCTTGGAACTTGACAATCATTCCTCCTTGACAAGCGGCATAAATGACTTGGCCGCTACTACTACTACTATCGACTAATAGTGGAGTTGCATCGACACAGGCTTGTAGTCTGATAGATTGATGGCACGCCGAATGAGAGACAAGTTTTGGTTCCTCATAATTGCTGTGAGAAGAAGCCGCCGCCGCTACTACCTTAACACGCTTGGAAGGAGGTTCAGCCCCAGTCATCCTTGCCCATAAGTGCTCCAAGGAAGGAGCATTCAAAATATCAAGCACAGATAACTCCGCCAAAACTTGAGCGTCAAGATTCAGCTGCCTTTGTCGGATCAGATAGAGCAAGGTGATGGAGGTGGCACTGTTTCCTCCCATTTCCACAAAGGATTTGGATTTGTCGACTGATTCGATTGGAATTGAAAGTGCACTGGCAACCAGAGACAACAAGGTGGCTTCTATTAGAATGATGGAGCCATCATTGTTGGGAGTGGTAGCGGCCTGAGGAGCCATGGACGAGGGCCCTTTCTGTCGTCGGGCCTCGAGTAATTCCACGACCAGTTGCGTACATGCTCTTCGGTTTACCTTGGCAGCACCGCTCGTCGATCGTGGTATGCTCTCGACCAAAAAGACGTCATTGGGCACAGCATTCCAAGGAACCTGCTGAATTTCGTGCATGTCTCTTCTAGAGAATTTCTGACAGGCTTTCCTTTCCGTGCATAGAACATATGATTTGTATTGTTGCTGACCAGACGAGTCTTGACCACCAGTTGAATCCGGCAGAATGACAGCGACTACCATTGTGGCTTGGGACAATTCATAGGCCTTGGAAAAGGTTGCTTCGATTTCAGTTGGACTCGTCCATATCCCATTCATCTTGACAATATCATTCTTCCGTCCTTGGATATACCATTGACCATTCTCATGAAATCCAATATCGCCAGTGGCAAAACTGGAAAAAGGTTGCCGACCTTCACCACTCTCTGTCAAATATCCATTGGCCAGCTGATCGGCACCCATCAGAATCAACTCCTGTACTGGTTGTTCTGTGTTAGCATCCTCAAATGCTTCATCTGGAACCACATTCTGTAACTTGATCTGAATCGTGTCGAGGATGGGTGTTCCAATCGTCACACAACCTTGAACCACAACAGTAAAATTGTTGTTGCTGTTTTCATTCTGACGACTTATTTCAGGAGGAGGAGGAGGAGTCAACAGGGCAAAGCAAACATCTCCGGTAGATTCCGTCTGGCCATACAGATTGTACAATTGACATTCCGTAAAGTCATACTTGGCGTAGAATTGTGTGACCAAAAACGACGAGCACACTTCTCCTGATACCAGCACCCGTTTCAGCGATTGCGATTTGGGAAGGAGTAGCATTTGTTGCAATTGACTGGGCAATAGTAATAGATGACTGCACTTGTCGTAGAGACAAGCAATCCCCTTTTTTTGCAAGTGTTGCAGTGGTACGGATACCAGCACGCTCGTTGGATCCAAGAGTCCACTCCAAAGCTCGTTGACCCCATCCACAAAGGTCAATTTGCTGCGACGGCCTATCCGACTGCTGCCAACAATCCCGCCTTTTTTCTTATTAGTGTCAGTTTGCTGTTGCTCCACATGATCCAGAAACCACTGAATTCGATGAAAGGTAGCACTGTGGGATCCAACCACCGCCTTTGGTGGGCCCCTGGATGTTCCGGAAGTAAACAGAACGTACAAGTCGTCGGTAGGGTCAATGGTGCCCTTATTATTTGATCTCTTGCCTGCTTGTGGCGACTCTTGTACTACAATAATATCTTCTTGTGCAAGTATTTTGTCTGGAACATTCAATTGCTCGTTCAGACTTCCAGTTTTGGCATCCAAGTAGAGTATTTGGTGCACACCGGCTTGCTGAAACACGGAAAGGATTGGATCGCGATCATTGTCACACACCGTGACGGCCACCACCACGGATGGTAAGGTAGAAGATGTATGTTTCTTTGTTTTCTTCTGCTGTTGCAACAAGTGGACCACTTGCTCCAACTTGCCAGGTCGATGCTGATCGTAACACGAGACTGGAACAAAAGGAATCTCAAGTCTCATACACGCCAGAGTTGCTACAGCTTCTGGAACTACCCACCCCTTGCAATCCACCAAGACGTAATCTGGACGATAACGGTGGAACAGTTGAGCAGCCAGTGATTTGCTGTGTTCCTGCAGTTCGAAATAGCAAACAGACGACGTTGTGCCATCTTCGGCATCAATGAGTTCAACAGCATCGCAGTCTCCGATGGAGAAACAAATTTCGTCAAATCGTTTCACGAGGGATACTCGATTGGAAGAATCACTTTTCACTTGGGACTTATTGCTCTCATCTTTAGCAACTGTTTTCTTTGTTTTCATAATGCTATCATACTGCTTTGCTCATGCTTATTGTGTATGTACTGTATGTATGGAGGTATTTCAAAAACAATAATGTACAAGCGTCGAATCATCAGAAATGGAATCCGGAATCGGGTGCGTTTGAATCTGTGTTTGTAATAAATCAAAATTATACTCACATTTTCATAATTATCGTGCACCGCTGAGACACATAACATAAAAGATGCGTTGACTATATCCCACCGACTGATTTATTGTGACAGCCCCAAGAAGCTTAATTGCCATTCCAACATATCTCTCTCTTGAATGATTCCGAATCTATTGTACAACGGGTGTGGACTTTGCTACCACCAAGAATATGACGAACAGATACGAGACGACGTGATTGATATGAAAAAGGAAGATCGAGCTATTCAAGAATGGAGGTCTAGGAACAACAACAACAACCACAGACCATCGTCATTATCATCCGTATCATCACGGCGATATAGAAGTAAACGAACAAGATTCGCAGATAACAATGAGGAGGAGGATGGAGAAGAATATTCTTCTTCGCAACAGCAACAACAATATTCCGCTCAAACAACAGCATCACCATCATCGTGCCGTGTTCGTTCCACAAGAAAGCATGGTCGTGGTCGTTGCTGGGATGCTTCCACCGTGTCCGCATCAACTCGACAGATACAAGCAGAGAAGAATCTGCTGCATCGAAACTTACGAGCTGCTCAAAAAGAACTCTTGGCGCAAGACAAAATGATTGTTCAGCTGGAAAGTGATCTTCAGGTCTTTGAGATGGAACATTCCAAACTAGAAGACAAAATGTACTTGATGCAACTGGATCTGGAGGATGCCCAAACTGCGCTGCGACGAGAAGTGTTGAGGAATCAGGAAAATGAACGATTGCTTCAAGAGTATAAAAGAGCGGAAGCGATGAAACAAGAACAAGAACAAGAACAACGACAGGACGAAGATAATTCTTGGTTCGGCCTGTGGTACTGATGGGAATGCCTGGATGATAATAATGATACAACTAGAATATGAAACAACTGCCCTGCTGGAACCTTTCATCCTTTACATAATTATATTATTTCCACCATGATCCTTTTCCTTTGTCAATCGATGGACTATCCTTGCATGGTTCCTTACTTGGCTTGTCTCGGTAGTGACAGCTGAACAATGGTTCGGCAGCACAACACGTATCTAGAAAGCTCTTGCTACTACTCCTGCTTCCAAAGATTCCGGATCCCATAATTTCACTAGTCGTCTTGTGGACGCATTGATCTTGAACATACCATTCCCCCAGTTGTCTCAAGAATAGCAGCTTATTGTCCTTGTTCAGAGTCCAACTCATGTGGAAAATGAAAGGATTCACTTCTCCCGCAAAGAGTTGCCGCATGTACTTTCCACTCACTTGATGGAACTGGTAGCCACCGGGGAAGTCGGGCGAGTCTCGTGAAAAGACCTTGACCCGCAGACCATAGAGACTGACGTGCTCGTTCAATGTAGCAATGAGTGCCTGTTGGTGAGAATTGGTGGACAAGATGAGATCTCCACTCAACAAGAGCGAATGGAAAAAGTATTCCGATCGTTCATTGTACCGGACGTAATAGAATCCGCTATTGGCAGAGTATGGTGCATATCGGACGGAGTGACCTCCATCATCTTGGAACATCAGATCAAAGGTCATGTGGTTCGATTCAAAGTAATCAATAGGATTGCTGTACCATACAATGTCCACATCTTGGAATAGAATATTGTATTTGAGGCGGGATACCATATGCACGCAAAAGATCTTGGCCATCATCATGGCCGTAAATTTGCGGTCTCCGTAACCTCTAGCTTCTTCCTTGGGCATGGCACCGAAATTCTAAAAGCGGCAAACAAAGGAAAACAAGTGGTGAGCGACCAGAAATAATTCGTAGAGATAGAGAGAGATACTATTGTACTCACCGGCTCGTCATAGAATACTGCCAATCCCAATGAGGATGCCAAGTCCTTCGATTCTTCGTCCGTGGCAAAGACTAATATGGAGGAAGTATCCAATCCTCTAGACTTTGACGCACAAACATGATTGACCAATAGTTCCGATTGTCCAAAATTGACCACCATGATTGTGACAGTCTTTTTGGGAGTGGCCACCTTTTCCACCAAGGGTTTGAGCTCCGCCAAGGAGGATTCCAAATTCGTAAAATAGTTTTGCAACATCTCCATACCCTTGTCAATGTGCTTCCGTGCGGGTGGATCAAAGTCGTTCCGCCCAGTGGACTTTGTACCACGACTGACCAAACGCAAGGGTTCCTTGGGATTCAGTTCCTGCATGGGACGAACCCGCATCCACTTTTGCACATGATAGGATTCGTACTGTGGTACCATGGCCCAACATTGATTTCTGGAAGCAGAGTGATCCGTCAATATCACATTGACATACTCACAATGTTCCAGAGCTTCTTGAGTACTAAACTCTGGGAGGAGACCAGATGAGTCATTTTGCTTGGATCTGCTGTCATTATTATAGTCAGTCGGCAAAGCGGATGCCTTTTGATAGAGCAGTAGAACATCCTTTTCTTTGTTCCCAGTACGAGGGTTGTTGCTCGGATCGTCTACCGGTACTCCCAAGTCCAGTGTATCTACAAAATCCATCTTGTCGGTCCTTGCCATGCCCACCAAATACCGTGACATGGTGGAAGGAAACTGAAATGTTGATTGAGATGTTGATATTGAGCTTTCTTTGGCTTGTCGTTGTGTTGCAACTGGTATTTGTACTTCTTCTCTCTTTTTGCTTGCCTCACATTCTTTTGACAATTTCTCCTTCATGTCTGCAGTAAATTAGTAAATTGTGGAACAGAAGAGCGAGATAGGAATATTGCAAGGTGAGTTCAGTATAGGTCCCACAATGATGATATCTGGATTTTGGCATTTGCAACAATAATCATTTTCTCAAGATATCTTACCCATCATTCGTTTTTGTACAATTGGTTCCACCACATGAGCACACTGCGTCATTGGATCAAGCCGTTCCGTATCGTAATGCTCGTGACAGCTCGTCAGTCCGGAATACATGGTGACCAATGATCCCGAAAAGAAACCAAAGAGACCGACGCATATCAAAAGGACCGAGGACGGATAGCTCATTTTGTTTGCTGGTTTCCTGATTTCCATTTGCTTTTATGGCGAAACTATTATTGGGTCACTATGGCGAGTCCAATTAACCACTGATTTCCCCAACTCGAGATGTAATGATGGAAGAAAACACTTGAATGGTCCTTCTTTGTGTGAAAAACAAAATAGTCAATTGCAACTTTAGGACAAACGGTTATTGAAATGTATGTAATGTGTCGATGTCGAGTATTTATTCTCTCTTGTTTCAAGTCCCTGTTTTCTTCTGATTTCAAGACCAATGTGTAGAGTAAGGCTTTTAGTTTCAATGCTAAAGTCGACGTGTTTGCGTAGTCGTTGTCGTCTGATGGTTTTCGGTCCAACAAAGTACAGGTACACTACGCGGTTCAGTCAGTCATTGCGCCATCGATTCATCGTCGCACACAATGAAATATTCAACAGTTTGAAAAGGTACTGAGATAGGCTTATTGAGTGACATGAATTCAATGCAACTTTTATATTATATTCTCATTTGCTCTTCACAAACTTTGAAAGCATCTCAAAAACATAGCACATCTAACACAATTTGGCGTCTAACTGGAGAGAGATGCAGCTTTGTCGGTTCCACTGTGATCATCATTGCTATATGTGGCTGGTTGTATATTCCGTTGACGCCATTCGGATGGGCTTGGCATGCCCGCTTGATATATAGTTTCAACGATGAGTACCTGATAGTAGGTGTCAAACTATACTCGATGTTATCCTCTTATTGACAGGTCAAAAAAGTACCGGACAGACACATTCATGTAGAAGTTCTTTCGGACGGATGTCAATAAAAGAAACCTATCACTTCGTTTCCAAAACATATCTAAAATTCCACAACTGTTGTAGCTCAAAGTTTTTCAACGGGGAGTGTTGTGTTTTGATTGATACACGGTCTTTCTTTCTTTCTTTCTTTCTTTCACAAAGGCATCGTCAATGACAAATCGTCATATTGTCCTCCAAGACTCGCTCCCAATCCAACCGTAGAAATGGAGAGGGATGGTGATTTCTTGATAGCAATCATTGTACTACCAAAGACAATAACGCAAGAACTTATTGCAAGCCAGGTTTGAATCAATGTTGTCCACACCTGTATATTAGTATTCATCGAACTGATATTGTTGTTCAGTTCTTGGTTGGTGTTCAGCAGTATGCATAGCCTCTGATTCTCATAAACAATATACAGTATGCCATAGAAATAAGATTGCCATAGAAATAAGATTGCCATAGAAATAAGATTGCCTCGGATTGATTTAAAAAAATGGTTGAGAAAGGATATTGGTTCCCAAACCCTGTCCTTTGAATGAATGATGGTGCATTGAAGGCGCAGTTGTCCGCGTCATCAACCAACGGGCATGATGGTCCATATATAAGGAATAAGTGATGGCAACATATTTTTAATCATCTTGGAATGATTGCTATTAAAATCGATTATCGAGGAGCGTCATATCTGTTGCTAGAGGTCCTATTCTGGACTAAACATTAGTGACGATGCCAAGATAGAAAACTACAATATACTGTACATAATATAAGAGAACCAAGAAGCAGTCCTTGCCGGAGGAGAAATTGGTCTTGGTTGGTTTGGGCTCGCCGGATGGTTTTCGTTTCCTTCTAGCAATGGAATTTTGTTTTGGAATCTTGAGCACCGATCTGACTAAGAAAGTGCTGAATTCGTGCATAGGCACCATCCATTGATGTCCTCTAGCTATGCAGCTGAGTTACACATTGGATAGGTCTTTCTTGTCTACCGCTTGTAGATTTTCATGATGAGTGAATAACCGCAGTACTATGAATATACCGGTATACCATATACCTGATATTATATCGGTACCGACCTACAAAATTAAAATCTCAAACTTCTTGCAAGCTCGATTCCATATTCCTTCAAATGGTCACTTTCGCCGGCCGGGTACAGTAGTGTACCGGTATTGCGTTCCTTGTGAAATCTAACACTTAACAAAGGTGACTCGGTAAGTGATCCAACTTGATCCAAAATTGCTGATTTTGCTCACTTCGTAAAAAATAAATATCGGGTGAGTAATCAGGATGAAGAACTTTAAAGCCCCCGTCTGGTATCATTAAGTAGGAGAGAACTGTTGAAAGTGTCACTATAAGTTCAAAGTATGGCATGCAAGGGCGGAGTCGAACAACGGCAACTCGAAAAACATCCTTGGTCACTTCAGTCACACCTACCCAAGACGCCATTCCGATCACAAAGCCTCCAAAAACATTGCACGCAATAACGAATTGTTCAGGAAGACACACAAAACAAGCAACAGCATGATTCTTCAAAGACCTCTCTCTCCAACCATTGAGAAATCATCTGCTTTCAGCAACAACAACAACAAGAACAACAACAACAACAACAAGGTCACCATGCTATCTCACAATGTCGTCATGCTACAAGTTATTGTTCCTGCTCGTGATGTTGTTCGTTGCACCAAACAACAACAACAACAACAACAACAACAACAACAACAAGTCCTCCCTACAGCAACCATGATCCGTCGTGTTCACTTTTCAGCTGACGAGAACGATTCTCAGTCGGCACCTCACAAGGAAGAACTCACATCGGAAATGGTTCAAGACATGTGGTACACTCCCACCGAAATGAACGGTTTTAAGGAAGATGCGGCCAAATCCATCATCATTCGACAACGACGAAACCGCCGCCCACAAGAACTCAGCGACGACGACGACGAGGACGCTCTTGGGTTGGAACGCTACTACGAACCCAAGCGGGATGAATTCCGTCGAGCGGCCATCTTTTATACACTCCAAGCCCAAACCAAGTCTAGAGGAGACCCTAACTTTATTCGTTTGATTGCTCGCAAATGTTCTGACTTTGCCCGGGCCGCAGCGGTCCATCAAGGCAGGAAGGATTTTGATGCCGCATACAAGAACAACAACAACAACAACAACAACAACAACAACACCAACACCAGCAACAATGACTCTTCTCTTGACACCCAAGGGAAGAGACAACGCAATGGTTTCGTATGCTGCACAACAGACGTAGAGGAGCCAAGTGCCAAGAAGCAACGAACACTTTGCGTCGCATAAAACAGCTAAAAATACAATGCCAGAATATCAATTTTGACAAAAAGTTTTTACATATATAACATGCAAGTTATCACAGTAATACACTACTGTGTTTCATCAACAATGCATCAACAATCTAGTTTCGAAATACTACTGTCACGGTGAGCTTGGTAGTACCATCTCGTACACGGAACTGAACGGCGACGGACTAAGGAACACTTTGAAAGATCTTTATTTTCGTTGTTTGTGCCCACGATCAGATGTATACTTTATACAGTCAGTCGCAATGGAGATCATGACGCTTCTGTATATTCATATTGTTGACATTCGATCACAGTTCCACTCACTGATCAGATTTGAAAAAATACCATCCCGATGACTATACTATTGCACCTTGCAACCCACCCCAAGTTCATAGTATGGTGGTCTCGTCCCCCAAGTTCATATTGCGCCCTACCGGCAGCAGGAATGAATATCGGGGAATCTTTCTGCAGTCGTGTCGTTCGAAAATACAGCCTGAAACAACCTGAAGTGATTCGAATTCGATCGAAAGCAAAATGATTAGGAATTCGACCGAAATGGTTGTGGAAATATATATAATATCTCCGCAAATATACCGGTATATTTTGTATCAGTTCCCGATCGTTCCAAATGTGTAATTTTGAAAAGTGTCGCGTGAGGTCGAGACGTCCAATGAAACACAATTTCAAGAAAAGCAATCAAAACAAAAGAATAAACATCTATTGGATTGATCAGAACAAACAACTCAACGGAAATCAAAATCAACATGCTAAACACCAGACCACAATCACCAACCATGGCAACCAATACAGAAAAGGAACATCACAGCGATACACAAGACGTTCTTCTTGATTCTCAAGAAGAAGAAACAACAAGCCGACGGGTTCGATTTTCGGTCGATGAAAACGATACCCAGAGCGCCCCCAACCAAGAACTCACAGCGGAAATGATTAGCGAGCTCTGGTACACGCACGAAGAAGTTACAGGATTCAAGCAGGAAATTCGAACCCTCGTCATTCGACGAATGCAAAAAGGATCGTTGACCGAAGACGAAATGGCGGGATTGGAAAAATATCACCCTCAACGCTCGGAATACAAAAAGTCGGCCAAACATCACATTCTACATGCCCAAACAAAGAGACGAGGCCCTGAATTTCTTCGTTCTATATCACGGCGATGCACTGCCTGGGCCAGAGCGATCGCTACGGAACAAGGATTTCATGATTACTGCGCCGTGTACGATCCATGGGATGGCCTCAATTTCGAGTCTGTCATTGTTGCTGCTGACACTAATGACTCTTCAGTGACTATCACGGAGAAACGAATGCGCAACGAGGAGGTGGAAGCATCACAACGTTCTTCTTCTTCTTCTTCTGCTGCTGCCTCCAAGAGACAAAGGTTGTCGCCGCGATAGGAGGAGCAGGATTATCCTTTTTGTTGTTTTTGGAGACGATGGCTGATCGATCATGCAAGGGCGAGATGCACGACTCCTCACATATATAGTTCATACCGTGCTAAATTCCCCACAATTTTTGGATCAACATACCACTATAGTCATTATTGTTCGTAGTTGGTCCATTGAGATGGTTATTGCTGGTTGGGTGCGAGCGAGCTTCAATTTTAAAATGCAGCAGTCTCGCGGGAGGGAATAAGTGGGGGCGATCGATGACCAGACTTTTTGGGGGACATCGCATCTTTGATGAATGAATGAAGAATTGAAGAATTATTTTAGGAGACATATATTGCTTCAGTATCTGCGAGTGATTGATTCGGCGGTGTGGCAGTTACTTGGAGGAGTACGGTAATAATAAATAATGCGTGTCCAACCTAACGATGGCAGCAAATAATCAAGGGTTGTTGGGCAGCCAGCATGATAGTAGGTGCAAACAATGGATTCCAAATGGTGTTGAACTGGAGAAATGTAGTATTGCATCGGTAGCACCTGCAACGTAACAGAGACTATACGGCTTATCACAGGCCGCCGATTCGGTCCCATTGCGTCTATTTGCATTCCCAACGCAAAGGACATTTTAAATCTCCGAAGCTACCGGGCTCCCTAACATCTCAGATTCTCCCGATGTCCCGGGACTTTTCGATATCCCAGATGTGCCACAGCTTCCTGATGACACCGAATCTACGATAATTTCCGAAGCTGCTGCTGGGCTTCCAGACGTTCCTGATGCATCCTTACTCCCAGACACTAGTAGTACTACCGCTCAAATCTCGGATGCTGGCGGTCAAGGCGATCCACACTGTAAGTTTTCCAGGCTACAAATCAACGTTTTGAACTACTCTCCTTTTGAAGAATTCCAACACTCACCACTATATTGCTGTCACTTCAGTCACCACATGGAGAAACGAACACTTTGAATACCACGGACAGTGTGACTTGATCCTCGCCACGGACTCTAATTTTGCTGACGGACTTGGACTAGATGTCCAGATCCGAACCAAGGTGGTCCGATACTGGAGCTACATTAAGAGTGTGGCCATGCGTATCGGTGCTGACATTTTCGAGATTGAAGGCAATGCCGACATGTCCGAGGATCTTCGATACTGGATCAATATGGAGTTCAAGGGCGCCGTCAAGAATGTTGGCGGTTTCCCTGTCATTTTCAAGAATCGCAAGGGACAGGCCATGAAGCAAACTATTCTCATTGACTTGAACTCCAAGTACCCAGGTGCAAAGATTGAAATCCAAGTATGGAAGGAGTTTGTCAAGGTCAACTTTCAAAATCCCACCGTCGAAGCCTTTGGCAATACCGTCGGTATGTTAGGAGACTTTAGCACTGGCAAGACTGTTGGCCGTGATGGAGTGACTGTCTTCGATGATTATATGCTTTTGGGAGAAGAGTGGCAAGTGCTTCCAGCCAATGACATGCTCTTCCACAGTACGGAAGAACCTCAGTTCCCAAGCAAGTGCATCGAACCAGAAGATTCACAAGGAGATCGTCGCCGCCGACGCCTTGGTGAATCTGCTATCACAGAAGAACAAGCCGAGAAAGCCTGCGCAAGTCTGACTGGTATGCTTGACCGTAAAGATTGCGTGTATGACATCTTGGCCACACAAAATCTTGACATGGCTGTAGCATATTAGATGAGAGCAAACTGAGACAACCATTTTGATCCACATCCACATCCACATACATATAACATAGAATGTCGATTGCATAGCCAGTACTGTTCATCGTTGTTATCTTATGCCAAGAAGACCTTTAACAAGAGTCACTTTCAACCTCTCCTTGAAGTATGCTCTGAGAGCTCAGTTTCCGTACACCGTACTGTATAGTCTGTGATGGAAATTGCTGTGCCGTCACCATGCTTGGTTGAGGACTAAATGAGCCCAAAAAAGCAAAACACAGAGCCACACATGCGACATTCACAGTATCAAGGTGAAATTTTCAGGTCTTGCTGCAAGTGCATCGTTCATCAAGCAAGTGCATCGTTGCATACTGTACATCCGAGTTGTCAACGTGACAGTACTTCCGTACGGTACAGTACTTGCAAGTTTGAATTTTGAACGTATACCGCGGGTGATGGATGGACGAAATGACTACCCGCAATATTTGCTGGTCATTGGGAGCTACCAGTACCACCTTCTGTACGGTACTGCTAGCTCTACTTGAAGAATGGAACCTTACAGTAGATCTTATTAAATGAAACAAGAGAAGTGTGAAAAGCTAGCAGCAAATCATCGATGGTACAAGATACTCTACGGTACCATTAGGACCCGATACGCTACAGTAGGTGGTAGAAGAAATAGTCATTCCAAATGCCTCATTTTCTCCCATCGTATGACCGCAACATTGGTCGTGGTCTTCTCGTTGCAAATGCAAAAAATGGGTCCGGCTCATCTCCTCTTGCGTAGTAAGAAATCCCCTTTGGGGCGGCCAAGAATGTACATTGTGAATGAATCATTCTGCAATAATCTTGTATTCGGGATCAGTTTGGGCTCATTCATATGTGTTGATTTTCGCGATGAATTCCATCGAAATTAGCATGGTGTGTCTTGTGTCTTGGTTTTGATATTTTTATAAAAGAATGCAAATACACATTTATCTGCCTTTCCCACGGCTCTCCAGTTTTCCAAGCGACACCTAAGCCTCTATACAATGATAAGACGTCTGACGAACCTCCTCCCACGAGCAAGTTTGCGGTCGAAAGGCCTTTGACAATAAATGTTATGCGTTCGCAACAAGAAAGAAAGGGTAAGTATGCGCTGTTTCGCTAAAAAGCATTTTTCGACCCACCGTGCCCGTACAAACTGATGTGCATAAGATGTCCACAGAAACCAAATTGTACACAAGACCCGTCTAAATCTAAGTCATTTCGACGGCCCAGGCACAAGAACTGCCATATATGTTTCCTCATCACTTTTTCATGCAGTGTAGGAAGCAAGTTATTATTGTACCGGTCTTGGGTGTGCCTTGGAAATGACTTCGTCCAAGCCACTCTTTCTCATAAATTTACAAACTCACAAAACTCAAGTGTACTCGTAATCAAACAAACAAACTCCAAACAACAAAGACATACCAACACTAATCTCCAACTTCTTACTTACAACGAGAACAAAGAAAGCCCAGAGATGAACCTTCGCAGTTTCAGCAGTGCAGTTCTGCTAGCAGTCGCTGCTGCGCCTGCTTTCGCAGATGAGATTCGCGTGAAGATGAAACCTGATAACAACAGAGCCGAACAAATTCGCATCTTTACTCAGTTGGATCCAACCTGTACTGCTATTGGAGAGCGTACTGTCATCGGGATCGATGATGACGGGAAGTGCGAAGAGAAACAGAGTTTGTTCAAGGGAGATAGTATCAACTCAAAGTTTAATTGCTGCAAAGAAAACAACTTGAAAAACGACTACTATGTCTGGGAGGACAAGATGGATTATTTCCATGGCCCTGGCAGCAATCACTGGAGCCAGTGGAAGTACAAGGTTGACCAGCTTTTTGAAGACGGCGTTTGCTCTGAGAAATGGAATGGTGGGTATGGAGATTCGTGGCTTCCCGAAGGGGAAACATACAACGTTTACGTAGCCCAATACTACAAAAAAGGGGATTCACGAGGTTGGCGAGAGCTGGGTTGGAGAGATACATCCGATGAGAGTTCTGATGAGAGTTCTGATGAGAGTTTTGATATTGAACAGCTAATGGTCGACTTCCCGTGCCAAAAGATCAAGGCTATCATCTTTGACCCAAATAAATTGTAAGTGCTTTGTGTTTCGTTCATCCGGACCACTGTCGTATCAGCAACATCACCTCTAACTTTGCTTCTCGATAACGAAAAGGTATCGAACGGATTCGAAATACTCTGATGGAGGAGAAGACCAGTACAAAGATCTTCGAGGCAATGATTGGTGGGCCCGTGGACTGAATCCAGGAAACGCTGGTGAAGGATTCGCAGTGAACTGTCCAATTGGAACTGACACTTGCGATGCATTATCTTCCACTGTGTCTGCTGCCTCTGCTGCTTCTACTACTTGTGCCTCTGAAAACGATTCTCCTACTGTCGAAGACGTCACTGTCGGTCCCAACTCTTGCACTTCTCGCGGATGGGGAGATCCGCATATGGTCACTTGGGACGGTCTCCGTTACGATGTCCACGTGCATGGTGAACTCATCTTTGCCAAGTCTTTGGACCCCAACTCTTCCTTCCAAATCCAAGCCCGTACCGAGCCTGTGAAGAATCATCCCGCCAAGCCTGCTGTCACTACTGGCCTCGTCATTACCGATGACAACATGCCCAAGATCCAAGTTTCCATGCCACGTGATGAAGATGATCCATGTACCGAGGTCATCAATGGATGTCCAGTCGAGCTCTATGTTGATGATGTCCTTCGCAAGCCTTCTCACGGATCCGGAAGCGACAAGGCCAAGGTCGATGTCCGAGGAAGCAGGATCACTGTTGAATATCCTGGTGCTTCTCAGTTCAAGGTGGTGATGGACGTCACTAGCTGGAGCAACGAATGTCATTTCTCAGTTACCTACACTCTGGGTACTTGCCGTGATGACATTGTTGGTCTATTGGGCTCTCCCGATGGAGAATGGCGCAATGATTGGATGGACACTAGTGGCAATCCTCTTTCCATTCCTTCTGATCTTCGTCGCGGAAGCGGTTTTGCCCCTACTATGGAATATGCCCGTGACAACTGGTGTGTTCCCAACGAGCCTGCTTCCAACTTTGCTTATGAGCATGATACCAGTTTCGATACTTATGACATCTGTGACAATCCGTAAGTTCTCGTACCGGTACGAGCGAATCGAAACGTGCGAAGATATTTTGTCTCTAAATCTTGGTCTCTTATATTGTTTTGAATTACAGCAATGTCGGAGAGTTGGCGGGTGCGGTGGATCATGCTGATGAATCCATCAAGAAGGCTTGCCATGGAGACATCTTTTGTATTCTCGATACCGTTGCCTTCGCCGATGATGAGACGGATACCACGGTGGTTCAAGAAATCATTGACAACTTCAACAACGACGAAGGATTGCAGCACGAGTTGAAGCAAACTCAAACTGCTGACATTGAGATTGTGGAGCAAGTTCCCGAGGACCTTGGCAACGCCGACTGTCCTACGTGCAAGGCTGTTGGATGGGGTGATCGTAAGTCTGCTATATTGATATATTGTCATTTGTTCTTCCTATTATACTGACCACAAGTTAATTCGTTTTTTATCCATTCAGCACACATTGTCACTTTCGATGGTCTATCCTACGATGTCCATGTCAAGGGTGAACTAACCTTCCTCAAGTCTTTGGATCCTGAGAATGACTTCACTATTCAGGCTCGAACCGTTGCTGTCAAGAACCACAGCAAAGGACCAGCTGTTACTACTGCCGTTGTTGTCCACGAAGACTCTCGCCTTGGACTTCCCGATATCCAGGTTTCTCTTGGACAGGACGCGGACAGTGAATTGGCCACCGAGTTTAGCACTGGCAGAAACAACAAGTGCTATGTTCAGTTGTTCGTGGACAAGGAGGTCAAGAGCATTTTGGGCGGATCTGGTACTACTGGAGCCAGCGTGCAAGTGAACGGCAACCGTATTGTTGTTGAGTACCCATCTACAAATCTGAAATTGGATATCAAGGTAACATCCTGGCGTAATGAGTGTCACTTCAGTGTCGACTACTGGTTGGTGGACTGTCGATGTGACGAAACTTTGGTTGGTATTCTTGGACAACCTGACTCTCCCAAGGACTGGACGAATGATTGGCATGATCATGACGGAAACGCTGTGACCATTCCTTCTCGCCGCAGTGACCGTCGCGGAAAGAAGGCGTACGATTACTCTCGAACTTGGTGCATCACTGCTGGAGAATCGCACTTCGCGTACGAACCAAACATGAGCCATGGCGACTTTGATGAATGTACCGGAGCTACAGGAGACGACAAGTAAGTTTTGATGTATCGAATCTTGTTGATGATATGCACGGTCGAGCATTGTACTGACAATACTGTTTGCTTGCCTGACTTTTTCAGCTTTGAAATCGACATTGGTGCCATCATCGAAGAGTTTGAAAACACCACACCTGAAGTGATTGCTCAGTGTACTATGGATGGCGATGATGAGCCAGATGAAGGTTGTCTCGTGGACTGTTTCTTTGGTGGGGAAGATGCATGCAACGAGTTCACTGATACTGTTGCTACTGTCATCGCCGAGACCCAGACAGAAACCATTGAGTTCCCTCCGGAACCCGAGATCATATTGGAAGTCCCCGATACACCACCCGCTGGAGGAGACTGTCCCGTGTGCAAGGCCGTTGGCTGGGGTGATCGTAAGTCAAATATTGAATGCGCTTGCGATTTCATTATTTGTTGCTGCCGACTGACTAACCGTGATTGTCTCTCTTTCAAACCATTCAGCACACATCATCACCTTTGATGGTGTTACATACGACGTCCACGTCAAGGGTGAACTTACTTTCCTCAAGTCTTTGGGAGCAAGAGATTTCACCATCCAAGCCAGAACTGCAATCGTATCGAACCATCCAAAGGGACCAGCTGTCACCACCGGTGTTGTAGTCTACGAGACTGGACAACCTACCATCCAAGTTTCTCTCGGCAGCAGCTCCAACAGTGAGCTTGTGACCATGTTCGGTCAGTGTCCAGTTCAACTCTTTGTGAATGGGGTTGCTACCGACATTGACGCTGGCACTGGATTGAGTGATGCCACCGTTCAAACCAAGGGCAAGCGAATCGTTGTCGAATATCTTAATACTCAAATTCGATTGGACATGGATGTGAAGGTGTGGCGCAACACTTGCCACTTCAGTGTAACATACTACTTGGCCGACTGTCCTTGTGATGGAAGCTTGGTTGGTATTCTTGGTCAGCCCGATGGCGAATGGTCTAATGATTGGCATGAGCATGATGGAACAGCTGTCAGCATTCCAACCAGCAATCGCGATCGTCGCGGAAAGAAAGCTTACGATTACTCGTTGACTTGGTGTTTGACAGCTCCCGAATCCTACTTTTCGTATGAACCAACCATGGGCCACGCGGACCACGACTTCTGTACTGGAACCAAGGGCGATGACAAGTAAGTATCGGTTGAAATGATATTGCTGTGCTACAATGTTGTGATTGAAAGAATTGTTTCTGATGCTATTGCGTTTCTATTGTATCATCACTTCCAGCTTCGATGTCGATATTGATGAGATCATTGAAGAAGCCTCGCCAGAAATCATCACCAAGTGTACCGTCGACAACGAATTGGACGAAGGTTGTGTGGTCGAGTGCGTTTACCTTGGCGACGGAGCATGTGATGAGTACCTAGAAATTGTTCAGAATACTGCAACAGCAACCATCACGGAAGAACCAACTTCCGGACCAACACCAGTCCCAACTTCTGGACCAACTCCAGTCCCAACTTCCGGACCAACTCCTGTCCCAACTTCTGGACCAACTCCCGTCCCAACTTCTGGACCAACTCCAGTCCCAACTTCTGGACCAACTCCCGTCCCAACTTCCGGGCCTACTCCGTTGGTCCCTGCCCTACCCGATGACATCCCTGATGTTCCAGAAGACACTTACGCCATCTCTGATACTGAAATTAGTGATCAAAGCGATGCTGGAAGTCAAGGTGATCCCCACTTCAAGACTTGGAGAAACGAGCATTTTGAGTACCATGGACAGTGCGATTTGGTCTTGGCCAAGGATCCCAACTTTGCTGAAGGTCTCGGTTTCGACGTGCAAATCCGTACCAAGTTGGTTCGCTTCTGGTCTTACATCAAGAGTGCCGCCATTCGAATTGGTAACGATGTCTTCGAAGTGGAAGGAGATGCTGAAGGCACCTTGGAACTTCGCTATTGGATGAACCTGGAGTTCCAAGGTCCATTGGAGACCATTGGCGGATTCCCAATCATTTTCAACGGTCGCGACAACAACGCCAACAAGAAGATCGTTCAGATTGACTTGAGCTCCAAGTACCCCGGTGCCATGATCGAGATTCAAGTCTGGAAGGAATTCGTCAAGGTTGACTTCAAGAACCCATCTTTGGATGCCTTTGGAAACGCCGTTGGTATGCTTGGAGATTTCAAGACTGGAAAGACGTTGGCTCGTGATGGAGTAACCGAGATAGACGACTTCCACAAGTTCGGAAACGAATGGCAAGTGCTACCAACCGATCTCATGTTGTTCCACGATGCCGAGGCACCACAGTTCCCCAAGAAGTGCATCGAGCCTGAAGATCCTCGAGGTGAACGTCGCCGCCGTCTGGAAGAGTCCTCCGTCAGTGTTGAAGATGCCGAAAAAGCATGCGCAAGTCTGACCGATGATCTTGACCGCAAGGACTGTGTCTACGATATCGTTGCCACTCAAGACATGGCAATGGCTGGAGCGTACTAATTATTTAGTTTGAACGAAATCAATATATAAAAAGATTAGAATACCATTAGGAATACACCTTTTTTCTTGATTCTGTTGGATTACAGGGCGTTCCGCTCGGTTCCGTCGACTTTTTATAGTTGGTGAAAGTGCTACAGTACCCTGCTTGGTCATTATAGCATTGTACAACGTAACCGTTTGGTCACTTCACTTTTCAGAGACAGAGAAGGCATATGTCTGGACGTTCATGCTCATTGGATTTTATTAGACATGAAGATGAGTTCCTCTAATAAAAATTGGACGGCCAAAATTTAAATTCTGTAGTAAGAAGTTGATACGATATTAGAAGGTAAGACTCATTTCCAAGACCCTCATAAATGTTTCGAGAAACGACAGATTACGTAACCGTTTGGTCATTTCATTTTTCAGAAACAGCGAAGGCATATATACATCTGGACGTTTACGCTCCCTATTGGATTTTATTAAACATTAAGATGAGATCCTCTAATAAAAATTGGACGGCCAAAACTTAAGTTCTATTAAAAATTGGACGGCCCGAATGAGAAAATGCCAACAAAAGGTCATCGATGTACAGTAGAATAAACAAAAAAAGTTGATACGACATTAGAAGGTAAGACTCATTTCCAAGACCCTCATAAATGTTTCGAGATCATATAGCGCTCGTTTTTCACAATCCCGGTCATTATTGCAATCACTGAAAACCACTTTCATAGCCCTCACAAATTTGCACCCCGCAAAAATCAGGAGCACGAACCAACTATTTTATACTAGCAACACACTCTCAACAAACAAGACCAAACAAGACCAAACAAGACCAAACAAAGCAAAAAACAAGCCAAGAGATGAACCTTCGCACTTTGAGCGCTGTTCTGCTAGCAGCACCTGCTTTCGCAGATGAGATTCGCATGAAGATCATACCTAGCAATTATCATCTTGACAAACAAGCCGAACAAATTCGCATCTTCACTCAATTGGATCCAACCTGTACTGCTATTGGAGAGCCTAATGTCATCGGGATCGATGATGACGGCAAGTGCCAAGAGAAACAGAGTTTGTTCAAGGGGGATGACATGAACAATTGTTGCATGAAGGGCAACTTGAAGAATGAATACTATGTCTGGGAGGACAAGATGAATTATTACCATGACAGTCAGCACTGGACGGAGCGGGTTGACCACCTTTTCGAAGATGGCGTTTGCTTTGAGAATTGGAATCGTGGGGGTGAAAGTATATTCCTTCCCAGAAAGGAAACATATAACATTTACATGGTCCAATACTACAGACAGGGCAACAATGGAAACAGTAGACGACAGCTGGGTAGGAATGATAAATCTAAAAAGAATTCTGATGAGAGTCCCGATGAGGGTTCTGATGAGGGTTCCGATGATAATTTTGAAATTGATCAGCTGATGGTCGACTTCCCATGCCAAAAGATCAAAGCTATCATCTTTGACTCAAACAAATTGTAAGTGCTTTGTGTTTCGTTCATTTGGACAAATGTGATATCAGCAGCATCGCCTCTAACTTTGCTCTTTGGTAACGCACAGGAAATGGACGGATTCGAAATACTCTGATGGAGGAGAAAAATTCTACGAAGATGTTCGAAACAACTATTCTTGGGCCCGTGGACTCGAACCAGGAAATGGGGAAGGATTCGCAGTGAACTGTCCAATTGGAACTGACACTTGCGATGCATTATCGTCCGCCGTGTCTGCTGCCTCTGCTGCCTCTGCTGCTTCTAGTACTTGTGCTTCCAAAAACGACTCTCCTGCTGTCGAAGACGTCAATGTCGGTCCCAACTCTTGCACTTCTCGTGGATGGGGAGATCCGCACATGGTCACTTGGGATGGTCTCCGTTACGATGTCCACGTGCATGGTGAACTCATCTTTGCCAAGTCTTTGGACCCCAACTCTTCCTTCCAAATCCAAGCTCGTACCGAGCCTGTGAAGAATCATCCCGCCAAGCCTGCTGTCACTACTGGCCTCGTCATTACCGATGACAACATGCCCAAGATCCAAGTTTCCATGCCACGTGATGAAGATGATCCATGTACCGAGGTCATCAATGGATGTCCAGTCGAGCTCTATGTTGATGATGTCCTTCGCAAGCCTTCTCACGGATCCGGAAGCGACAAGGCCAAGGTCGATGTCCGAGGAAGAAGGATCACTGTTCAATACCCTGGTGCTTCTCAGATCAAGGTGGTGATGGACGTTACCAGCTGGCGCAACGAATGTCACTTCTCGGTTACCTACACTTTGGGTACTTGCCGTGATGACATTGTTGGTCTTTTGGGCTCTCCCGATGGAGAATGGCGCAATGATTGGATGGACACTAGCGGAAATCCTCTCTCCATTCCTTCTGACCTTCGCCGCGGAAGCGGTTTTGCCCCTACCATGGAATATGCCCGTGACAACTGGTGTGTCCCCAACGAGCCTGCTTCCAACTTTGCTTATGAGCATGATACCAGCTTTGATACTTATGACATCTGTGACAATCCGTAAGTTCTCGTCCAAACGACTTGACACCTTCGTCCATTGAAAGTATCGCATCTAACTTGTTGTCTCTTGCTTTGAAATACAGTAATGTTGGCGAGTTGGCAAGTGCTGTTGACAACGCCGATGAAGCTATCAAGAAGGCCTGCCATCAAGACATCTTTTGTGTTCTCGATACCGTTGCCTTCGCTGACCCAACGGATACTACCGAGGTTCAAGAGGTCATTGACACCTTTAACAACGACGAAGGATTGCACCACGAGTTGAAGCAAACTCAAGCTGCTGACATTGAGATTGTGGAACAAGTTCCCGAGGATCTTGGCAACGCCAACTGTCCTACGTGCAAGGCTGTTGGATGGGGTGATCGTAAGTCCACTATGATTGCTATATTGGTATTGTCTTTTGTTTCTTCTATTATACTGACCACAAGGTATTTCGTTTTTCATCCATTCAGCACACATTGTCACTTTCGATGGTCTATCCTACGATGTCCATGTCAAGGGTGAACTGACCTTCCTCAAGTCTTTGGATCCCGAGAACGACTTCACTATTCAGGCTCGAACCGTTGCTGTCAAGAACCACCGCAAAGGACCAGCTGTTACTACTGCCGTTGTTGTCCACGAAGACTCTCGCCTTGGACTTCCGGATATCCAGGTTTCTCTTGGGCAGGACGCGAATAGTGAATTGGCCACCGAGTTTAGCACTGGCAGAAACGACAAGTGCTATGTTCAGTTATTCGTGGACAAGGAGGTCAAGAGCATTTTGGGCGGATCTGGTACTACTGGAGCCAGTGTGCAAGTGAACGGCAACCGTATTGTTGTTGAGTACCCATCTACGAACTTGAAACTGGATATCAAGGTAACATCCTGGCGTAATGAGTGTCACTTCAGTGTCAACTACTGGTTGGTGGACTGTCGATGTGACGAGACTTTGGTTGGTATTCTTGGACAACCTGACTCTCCCAAGGACTGGACGAATGATTGGCATGATCATGACGGAAACGCTGTGACCATTCCTTCTCGCCGCAGTGACCGTCGCGGAAAGAAGGCGTACGATTACTCTCGAACTTGGTGCATCACTGCTGGAGAATCGCACTTCGCGTACGAACCAAACATGAGCCATGGCGACTTTGATGAATGTACCGGAGCTACAGGAGACGACAAGTAAGTTTTGATGTATCGAATCTTGTTGATGATATGCACGGTCGAGCATTGTACTGACAATACTGTTTGCTTGCCTGACTTTTTCAGCTTTGAAATCGACATTGGTGCCATCATCGAAGAGTTTGAAAACACCACACCTGAAGTGATTGCTCAGTGTACTATGGATGGCGATGATGAGCCAGATGAAGGTTGTCTCGTGGACTGTTTCTTTGGTGGGGAAGATGCATGCAACGAGTTCACTGATACTGTTGCTACTGTCATCGCCGAGACCCAGACAGAAACCATTGAGTTCCCTCCGGAACCCGAGATCATATTGGAAGTCCCCGATACACCACCCGCTGGAGGAGACTGTCCCGTGTGCAAGGCCGTTGGCTGGGGTGATCGTAAGTCAAATATTGAATGCGCTTGCGATTTCATTATTTGTTGCTGCCGACTGACTAACCGTGATTGTCTCTCTTTCAAACCATTCAGCACACATCATCACCTTTGATGGTGTTACATACGACGTCCACGTCAAGGGTGAACTTACTTTCCTCAAGTCTTTGGGAGCAAGAGATTTCACCATCCAAGCCAGAACTGCAATCGTATCGAACCATCCAAAGGGACCAGCTGTCACCACCGGTGTTGTAGTCTACGAGACTGGACAACCTACCATCCAAGTTTCTCTCGGCAGCAGCTCCAACAGTGAGCTTGTGACCATGTTCGGTCAGTGTCCAGTTCAACTCTTTGTGAATGGGGTTGCTACCGACATTGACGCTGGCACTGGATTGAGTGATGCCACCGTTCAAACCAAGGGCAAGCGAATCGTTGTCGAATATCTTAATACTCAAATTCGATTGGACATGGATGTGAAGGTGTGGCGCAACACTTGCCACTTCAGTGTAACATACTACTTGGCCGACTGTCCTTGTGATGGAAGTTTGGTTGGTATTCTTGGTCAGCCCGATGGCGAATGGTCTAATGATTGGCATGAGCATGATGGAACAGCTGTCAGCATTCCAACCAGCAATCGCGATCGTCGGGGAAAGAAAGCTTACGATTACTCGTTGACTTGGTGTTTGACAGCTCCCGAATCCTACTTTACGTATGAACCAACCATGGGCCACGCGGACCACGACTTCTGTACTGGAACCAAGGGCGATGACAAGTAAGTATCGGTTGAAATGATATTGCTGTGCTACAATGTTGTGATTGAAAGAATTGTTTCTGATGCTATTGCGTTTCTATTGTATCATCACTTCCAGCTTCGATGTCGATATTGATGAGATCATTGAAGAAGCCTCGCCAGAAATCATCACCAAGTGTACCGTCGACAACGAATTGGACGAAGGTTGTGTGGTCGAG